TGCCAGCAACCGAATCGAGGAAGATTGCCTCAAAAGCAGTCGGCAGATCCGTGTCGAGGCCATTGACACCCAGCGACTTGTGATGTGTGAGGTGGTAGGGCCTGAAGGAGGCGCTGTATGGAATGCCAATTGGCAGGTTCGCAAACACGGCAAAGATCCTGTTTGCCTGAGGCGATCGGAAAGCCAAGTTGTGCGATATCTCGTGAATGGCGAGGAAAAGGTTCTGGTTGGCCGTGGCACCGATCACGTATGCGGTAAGGAAGAAAGTCCATGATATGACGGGGGTATTGCGAAGGAGGTATGCGCAGAGGATTTGGATCGAGACGACGAGTAGGACAACGTATTTGGTGAGAGGCTCAGGGCCACAGAGCTTCGTTACCTGTATTCGGTTAGGTGATGCTCAATGGCAACGGTTTGACAGTAATCATACCTCAGGGTGTGCCTTGATGATAGCCATTCGTCGTGTCCTATGGGGCTCCTCGGTGTATGTCCAGAAAAAGTGATCGTGTTCATTTGGGGCTTTTGGCTCCTGTTGCTTCTCCCCTTTCACAGTAAAGCTTCGGGGAACAGGCTCCTTTGACGGCACTGTCGCGGTAGAAACTGAAGACCGCATGTTGGGCAGTCGTAAAGAACAATTGCAGAGTGTGTGAAGGGCAGAGGGGTCCAGCTCTCGAAGTTTGTGGAGTACTTGACCCTGAGCTTGGCGCTAGTGGAGGCGGTGGGGCGATCTCACGCCATGATTGGCTGACAATCACGTTCCGTTCGCCACCCCGCTAGCGCAGACGCAGGAACGTTGGGCCTGCCTTCTAGAACATCATCACTTTCTGTCCTCCGACAGCTTACATATGCCAGGAGCACTAGCAGACAAAAGTATCATTCCATTCTAGTTATAGTCTGAGCCCATAGTCAAGTAGCCAATCTCACTATCGCTCTTCGTCGAATTTCCCGACCTCTCGTGGCTCCAAATAATGAAAGACTGAATGACCTAGCCCCCTGGGGTCATCCTTCAGCAGCTCTATCTGATTGTAACCCTGAAAGAACCTTTTAACGCGTTCATCCGATGAATCGCATGATTCCGGATCCTGTTCCCCCCAAGGTCGACAGATGATCGCGCTAGGTTTCATCGGCTTCTTTCTTTTCCCTTGGATAGGGTTTGGCGACTCGGGCGGCTCGGGCCCGCAGACGTGTCCAGCGAGGACTTGCCGTACGGGCGTCTTCGTGTTGAACGTGATGAACATCCAGTCATCACCCATCCATCCACCGCGGCCATCAGTTGGTACTGTTGCGTCTAACCAACTTCCGTTATTGCTTGCGCGGACTGAGACGCTCACCTCATTTCTCACGTCAGGAAGGACGAAGAATTCTTTGCTCAAGAATTCGATGTCGAAGTCCGTGTACCAATCATCTTCGAAAATGACTTCGACGTGTGGCTTTTCGCTAATCCATACTTGTTAGTCTGTGGATTGCAGTGCTTTCAGTACGACGGCTTTGTGCTGCCAAGACCTACCTCCAATCCTGGATGTATTTCTCCCTCAGCATCTCCAACAAACTGCCTATAATCTGCCGCACCAACATGTAAGATCGATAGTTGTGAGGAAAGTCCTCCTGTTTAGCCTTTTCGAGTGTTCTAAGCCCCATCACAACGACCCTTCGGACCGTCTTGCCCATCTTCTCGAGCATGGTTTGCAGTTCAGGCTCCAGGAATAGCTCTTTCTCTGGTCGTTTGCCAGCCTTGACAATGGGTCGCTTGATATCTCGGCTGAGGATCTCCCCCAAATGCCATCTCAAAGTAGAGTACCAAATGTTCTTGACATCTCTATCGTATTCGCTGTCATCGTGGCTATCCGGCCACCAGGATTGGCATCCCTGCGCAAGCTCAAGAGTGGTAGCATGTCGTCCTGGGCCGTGGAAACCGACGTGAGCGACCTTCTTGGGGTCTTTCCAAATACTGATTTGGTCATCAGGTACTGGGGCTAGTTGCCTCACTTGATCTATCGTCGGCCCCGGAAAAGATTCCGACAGTGATAGTTTTAGGGCTTGCTGTGGAGCTTGCATGGTGACTTTGTTTGGTTCGTATATAGTTGGTATACTGGTATAGATAGGAATATCAAGTTGATAGTGATCAACGAAGAGGGTAACCAAAGCCGCCTTTTATACTGTTTCCTATATGACTCGAAACATTGTCTACTCAAAGTCAGAGTCACATCCGTATACGAGTATGACCATGCGATGAGGCGCACAGTCCCACCGAGTTGGTGTGGACTAACAAGATCCTCGAACCACAGCCTGGTATCGTCCATGATCTGAGCAATAATTCTACGCAATTGATCCTGTTTCAAGTTACTCGATTCACCTCTTCGGGCTATTGTACAACGGCACAATTCGGCAGCAGCCATTGCAAGTGCCATATATTGGCTCATGAAGCGGCTGAGTGGTTCACAATGACTCCAAAAAGGTCGCACAATGAGTCCGAACATGTGGGCCAGCCTGGAATGCAGTCATGGCCAATGCTCAGGTATTGTGTGACGAAGATGTGATCTCACATTCCGTCGCCGTTGATAATTGCACAGCAAACACCAAATACTTCATATTTCAGAATCCTTTACCAGTCTTTCAAGGTTTTGCCGCAAGTCCGTGACGCATAGGAAGGAGTGTCTATTTGAGCAGGCCAACATCTCAGTCAAGCATCACGATGCCATGTTGACATTAATGAGTGGGATTTCGGCAAACGTCTTCCAGTATTAAGGAGACTACTACAGTGTCATTATATGAACTGCTTAGCTATATCTAACTACATGAGCACCTCTATAACCGGTCTGCACCTAGTCATCTGTTCGACAGCCTACGAGCCATTCTTCTCTAGGCCTCAAGATCCAAAGATACATTTTTCCCTCGAATGGCCGATAGTCATCTACTGTAAACCTATGGACTTCTTTGTATCTGCTAAACCACTTGTCGACACGCGTATCGGTATCATCTTCACGACGCTCATTCGGTGCCAATGTTTCACGTTCCCGAGTAATTTTTGGAAACAGGATCTCCGTTGAATATCGGCAGATGATCGCGCGTGGCATGATAGCATTGGGTTTTTCTTCATCGTCCCATTCTTCTCTATGATCCCCATCCTTCCAAGTGTACCAGGCCAGAATCTGTCGAATGGAGTCTATGGGTTTGAAAGTCATAAAGATGTAGTCGCCACTGTCTTTTTGAGTGCCGGCCCAGCCCGTTCCATTGTTGGTCGCTTCGACTTTGACCCTTTTATCAAGGTATGATTTGTCCAGGAAGTGATCAGCCAGATATTGGCAGTCATCCTTATAGTAGTGACAATCCTCGAGAAGAACCCTCCAACGTGCTTCGTTTGCTGACTCTATTTTGTACGCGGCTTCGAAGATCCGACGAACCAACATGTGCTGCCACAAGCTGTCTTCATAGTCTTCGGTCTCGCTGTAGAGAAGGCTTCAAGACCGATTGCCACAATGTTATGGATGTTGCCTCCAGCCGCCCGAAGCTGTTGAGCCAGCTCGTCATCCGATAAATCGATAAATCCCGGCCATTGGCCATCATCTTCCACCCTTGTAACCCCCGCGAAGCCTGCAAGTACATCTGTGTCGTCGCGCTTCGGACTCTCATTTTTAAGTTTGCCTTCGTACCAGAAGAGATCAGTCTCTACCGCAGGGTTCAGCAGTCTCGTGGTTGCGTAAATTCCAGTCCTATCAGATGGGTGTTTGAGAGTCTCAAGAGTCCAAGGACATGGTTGTCGGCTGTCAGCCGCGGTCATTTGCCCCGGCGCGAGTCTGAAAGCACGAGTGGACATCTTTGGTTGTAGGTAGACTCAAAAATTGATGTGTTGTATGCTGATATGTTGGCAATGGATATGTGTGCCTGCTGAACTGACTTCTGGGTTGTTGAAAGCTGCTTTATTAGCGCAAAGGTAATGAAGCACCAGAGAAGGCTTTATATGGTGAAAGGTTTGATGACTCTACTCCGCGTGAGCATCATAGCAAACCCAGGCATGACTCCGATGAGGAAGATCGTGGAGCCAGGAATGACCGATCATTGATCCTGAGCGCACGCAGGAGCGCATTGTATACTTACTGACACTCTTCGTGCTACAACACAGGAGTCAATATGACTCTGACGGAAGTGATTATCCGTGATAACCAATAGTCGGCTCGTACCGTTGAGACCCAACTTGACACAAAGAAATCCGGAGCTTTGACACAGATCAAAAAGTGCCCGTCCGCGCCGCACTAAACTTGAATCCCACCCCAAGGTGTAGACTCATCGATAAGTGACTGCAATCTGACTGTGTATGCTGCAATACACATGACTAAGAACAGATCAGCTCCTGTGCAAGTTGGGTGTGTGCACGTTCACCGTAGTACGAGATACTCAGCAATGTAAAGCGCAGTCAACCTGGATGCTCTTGCTAATCTAATGGACGTGCGACATGCTGGTGGGGTATCATAATCGTTTCGTTCCTTTCACGTCACTCCATATCTCTTTCCCGATATTCTTCCAATTCCCGACCTCTTCATCACTTCTCTTTCTCCTAGTGAGGCCTGATCGCCTGACTTCTACGAGCCATACCACGCCCCAGTAAGCGACCGACAACGACACTAGTACATATGCCAGCCATACGATCAGAAGAACGGATGTACCTTGACTCAGCTTCCCCCCAGCAACGTCGATGATGTCACCAGCCACCGAGAAGACCCCAGAGATCAACACCGTGAGCAACACGGCGGCGACAAAAGCGAATGCGCTCGCAAGGAATGGCCAGAAGATGTTGAAGTAGGCGAGAAGTTTCGAATGCGGAAAGATAATGGCTGGAATGGCGGAGACGGCGGAGAACCCAGCACCGACGAGCGAGACGAGTAAGGAAGCGAAGACGGTGTATCGCACGCCGGCCAATACGGTAGCCATCGTCCTGAGGAGTGTTGAGACTAGGATGATTGGGGAGAGTGGGTCTTGAGACCCGTCAGTTGGCGTTGTCAGTGTTAATAGCCCTACAGAAGTATGGTCAGTCAAGCCTCAAACGCCTTTGGAATTATGGTACTCACTGTCACTGGTTTCGCTATAGCTTTCGCATCGTTCCACGACGATAGTATCGGAAGCATCATCTTGAGCATCTAAAATAGAGCCCGAACAAACTGTCCTGAGGTAGAGATAGTAGATGTCTGCTAGTGCCTCGCCGTCCACGCCTTCCGATCGTTGCGATGTTGCATCGGACTGTGAGCTCTCTCGGGCGATCATACTTGTATTCAGCTGCGGTTCGTCAACATCTGTCTTCTTTTCACCGAGGTCGGTATACGTACTGCCACGATGTACTGTCCACCAAACATATGTTCATCGCTCCCCGCCAGTACCAGTACCAGCGTGAAGACGAAGCTTGCGACCGCGAATGCGATTGAAAGAATCGCAGAGAACCGGTACTTCATCAACACCCTCTTCGGTGTCTTGGGCGGCGCCGGCAAGGCCTTGTCGGTAGACTTCCGCAAGTCTCCAAGGTCAGGCTCAATGGCGATCTCTTTCCCCGTGTAGAAGGTCTCCTCTATGTGATCCATCTTGCTCATCGACACTCCGTGTGGTTGAAAGGCGCTAGCGGCGAGACTGACAGTGCTGACGGATGTCAGTACATAAGGACGGGTGTATGATGTCCATAGCAGAAGACATATGCACTGTCGCAGAGATGATAAGTAAGGCGCTTCAACATGCGTGCAGCATGACGCAACTGTTCCTGGTTATCGGGAATCTTCAATCTCGATGTATGGGAAGCATGGATGTACGTGGTAGCTTGTCGCATGATTATAGTGTTGCATGATAGACTTGCTATATACCGTCGCGGATACGGCACATGCAGCCTTGCGCGGGGATAGACCGGTGGTTTCAAACAGCCTATTAGTCGCCAGATCGCGATGGATGTGCGCATTCGGCGATCAGCGTTCCTGTTTCGGCGTCGCAGGACGTGGCCAAAGCGTGGCATTGAGCAACAACCAGCTTCAGATGGATGGGGTCTGAGATGTTTCGTCGACATCCAAACAACTTGCGCATGGCCGGGCCCACGCACTGGGACTACGTGTCGTGCCGAACTGAGAGCGGTCGTGAAGTTCGCGAATGCGAGGTGGTAGCTCCCGCAGAAACGGGGAGCGCTTCACTAGTGCGACTGAAACGCCGAACTTTAGGAGCGACGATCGTGGCCTCTCCACATAATGCTTGAGCGATACCACGTCGCTCAAGTACATTTGCCAAAGCCTTTTGGCTGTCGGAGAGTGACTGAGAGTTGGTAAGATACTCGAACGCGCAGTTTTTCTACTGCTAGAAGAACGATCCTGGGGGATATTGTCCAAGAGGATGTGGCTGGAGGTTGGGAAACGCATCGCCCTAATCATAGGTTAGTCCAACAGCACCTGATGAGCCGAGCTAAACGTGCCCAATCGAGAGGTAAGGTATACTGGTCCAGATCCATTGGCATGAAGCCAAAATCGAACGGGTGACCAAAAGCACTATTACCCATGTCAAATGCATCCGAGTCGGGAACAGCGAATCCAAGATTGTTGGTGTCGAAAATCTGGGATGGGGAAGTCAAATCAGGTTGGGCACCTATGTGAGCCGCTATCGATGACGTTAGTAGATGTAAGCGGGTAGTGAATAAGATGCGGCTCACCGTGCGCCGAATCGGTAGCCTGTACCCCACTGCCGTGAACTTTAGAGAGAACAAGCTTCACGGCTGTAGCAACCTTCCGTGCCTCCTGCGATCTCTTGCTAGCCCTGATCCAGATGTGATAAGCGGAGCGCAACGACGCGACGATTTCCTCTTGCGTCGGGGACGCTTTGTCCAGTTGCACCCCGCTTTCCATAAGCTCAGAACCCAGTGGGATGGGAGCAATGAGTTCCTCATCAAGCTCGACTACCAAGACGGTAGTCGCGAGTAAGAAGTCTTGCGCAATAATGGAAGACATGTACCAGCTCAAGGTAGAGAGACGCCACCCTGGTGAAGTTAGTCGACCTCCTGGTTGGACCTCAGCGTCAAGCTTGCTCTGGAGGCGAAGCATCTCTATAGCAGCGTTCAAGCAGACCCTGCGGGAGTATGTATATCTGCTATCGGTTCGGCCGAGTACGAAGTAGGGTCGATGCAACATAAGCTCGGCCTTCAAGAAGGCTACGTTCAAATACGTGTAGCGCATGAAGTCTGGTGATAAATCGGTACTAAGATCGTCGAAGGTGTTCGATGCTGGCGATTGTGGTATCTTTTCGAAGACATCTCTTAGTGTGGCGTCCATCTCCGTGATCTCTCCGTACGGTGGCAGCGAGGTAGCATTGACGAGATCTACAATCCTGGCCTGCACACTTCGCAACCTCGTGAGAACGATGGAGTAGAGCAGTTGCGTCAACTCAGTTTCGGGCCTTGAGGGTGGTAGTTCTAGCATGTCTTCGTGAAGGTCGTCTTCACCCAAGTTGCGGGGCTCTTGAGTATCGTACATTTGCGGCATGATCGTCCGTGGCAGTCCGGCTTGAGAAGAGGTGGTAAAATCTAGCGACATGACTACGAGCCATTTACGACGCCTCAGCTCACCTTCGTGAGGCGAGATGTTCGGAAATCTCGACGGGTCCCTGTGGTATCCCATTCGGAAACAAAGACGTACAAGCATGCCAACAAGCATGTAGATGCTGAACTGGCTGTCGGTTGAGCGTAGAAATTCGGTACCAAAATACAACAAGAACGCTTCGATCGTGTATGGCGGTGTTTTGGTGTAGTTTGCAAGAATCATACCTAGATATTGGCGTACGGACTCAGCAGTTGCACCACATGTAGTTTGTACCCAGTTTCTGCTTACATTGCGCAGCCTTCTCGCGATAGAAGTTGATCCGCGCCAGATCAGGCGCCAGTTCAGTATCGCCAAGCTGATGAGCGTTCACCGCGGCTTGAAAACGAAAGCCAAGTGCCAGTGCAGCATAGAGGACACCCAACCACATAGTTGAAGTTTCCGATGGTTGTGTCCACAGCTCATTATACTGTATGATCATTAGCTACTAGAGGTGGAAATGATCACTTGACCTCACCTGTTTGAGAAAGGTTGGCTTGTGGATGAGGGCTGGAGACATCAGTGGACGCTCTTCAACCGAGGTAGTGAGCATACTTGGATGGGATTCCATTGATATGAAGAATGTATCAATGAGACGATCCGCTTCTGGCCGCGGAGGAAGAGCAGTGAGGAGCTCTTCTCTAGTCGCATGGGCATTACGTCCAAACAGCAGCTCTGGACCGGGTACTTCATTCACCACTTCATCATCCGGATCGGGCGATACGGGCACCTGGTCGAGATGTTCGCGCAGCTCTGATATCTGGGCTGGAATTAGAGAGGTAAGAGTCTCTGTGAGAGGTTTCACGTACGCTATCAAGTATGCTTGTCCAATGTCCACTGTTCGTATAGCTTGTTGCATCGCAGCTGAGATTTACGCGATCCGGCGTGCTAGGCAAGTCACCATTGTTTCCTCCGTTATGATGTTGCCGCGCTTGTGATGGGCTGGATGGTGCGGGATTAGCTGTATTAACAGGATTTCCACCGATGAGGTTGGTGACGAGCTTTTCGAGTTGGTCAATCCTGTCATGGACGCTGTTCGGGATTTTGGGTTCCTTTTGCACTGGTGGGTTGCGAACATAGACGCACGACAGCGAGAGTCCGCGATCGACACATGTTTTGCATGGCTGTTGTCGATCACATTTCAACCTTCAGACAATTAGCATGCAATTCTTCCGGTCAGGTAAGCTGATTCTTTACTTGCGTCGTCGACAAAGGGTGCAACTCAAGATGGGCTTGTCTCTTCGTCGACTTGGAGGTACCACTCTCGGCGTCTGACCATCCGCGCTCATTTCGAGTGGTAGTATCACAGTGGGTCAAAACAAGGCGTAAGGGCACAACTCGCGTTGTTACGAAGATGCCTTCGGGGCAGCCATCATCCCCGATGCCGAGGCTAACCGCTTCGGCCGAACACCCCCCGCATTCCATCTCAGCTTACGTCACTGTCAGCAATCATAATGTTCCTAGTTCGCGACTGCACCGGTGGAGATTATCCTAAAGACCGTTGCATTCTAATCATCCATCTAAATCGCTGGCACACATGCTAAAGTCGCCATCCATCCAGTTCCTGCTCCGCCTGGACATTGCCTGTATTCCACACGGGCACAGTTCCGATCACGCGATCTCCAACTCATCGGCAGTTCTCAGGATACCCTCCAGTCATGCCTCAAATATGACCTCAGGTGCTGTCTTTGCATGAACAAGGCGCAATGCGCGCACAAGAGAAGCCCTAGTATCGAGACTGAGGGCTGACGATTGCAGCCTCGAAGCTTTGACGTGAACCGTTTTCAGAGCCGGGAGCGCCTTCGCGTTAGCCCTCCCTTGACGCTCAACCCTATCCTGGAGTACTGTCGCCGGGTACCGCCAGTGTAAATTTTGGAATTCTACCGACAACATAGAAATTTGAATCGAGGTGATCCGCGCATACCGCTCAGCTCCAATGGCGACGATAGCGGCCTCGTAGCTTCAAGGCATGACCAGTTCCATTTCGAACGTCGCTGTAGAAATGAAGAGTGAGTTGGCTTCATGGCGGAGCTGCTGACAGCTGCAAATGAGACCGACAGGGTTGGGCTTTGTTCGCCTTTCCGCGGATGATACGTATCATAGAATCTGCAAACGTGAATAGATAGATGAGGTTGCGAAGTTCTGCAGGAAGTCGTAGAAGAGACGATGCAAGTTAGTTGACTCGCGCACTATTTCAGTCAGCGATTACATATGTATGTACCCGTGTCTTGAACAGTAGTGTACGCGTTAGCCTTCAAGGTAGAGATGTGAGCTCACATCTGGTCGCCTGTTGTAGTCGTCAAACCGGTTGACGCGGGGTTGAGCGCCATGATGCAGTGGTCACTGTAGTAAAGAGTAGCTGTTATGATCGCGAAGTGGGCGCCAGACTATAAAAAATCGAAAACGGAGGGAGATGTTGCCCTGCAGTTTTCATGGTCTGCCCAAACAGGCTAGGTGCTTCGTAGGTAGGCAATGACGTCATTGGCTGCTACGTCTAGAGAATGCAGCTTCTACCATCTCACAACTCAGCAGACATGTGCAGCGCGGAAGCTTTAGCATTGCCAGAACAAACTTCTCGGCGACTAGTCAGGCTGTCTACATGTCAACGAGAACAAAGATGTCGCCAGTCTTCGCTACACGCCTGATGCGTCGCCCGCAACCCCACACGCGCCCTTCCGCCACCGAAAGCATCATTGATAGTTTGTCCGGCCTACGAGTTCGACATCCGACTCCGAGAAATGCTCGCGCTTGACTTGGATATCGACAGCCTTCGAGATACCACCCAGAGACAGTTGATGACCTGATCTTCGTATACGATAGCGATCGTCACTAGAGACGTAGCTGCTCTTCCCGGAGCCTGAGGATATGCTGCATATCCTTGAAATTGTATGCTGGTATATCGCATGCATGGCAGGCATGCATGCGACTACGATAAAGAGGTTGGCTTCGGTCACACACCAGTAAACACCGGATACGTTGTCGTCTATGATTGCGCCGTCAGTCATTGTGCAGCCAACAGGAGGAGCAGTACTCACAAGTCGGATTTGAGCTCTGATCGAATCGGACGAGAGCCCATAAGCGAAGGCAACTGACGATGAAGATGATGAAGCCCACAGCGAACATAGAGATAATCTGGACCTTCTTCTTCCAGGACATCTGTAGTCTCGCTAACATGGGCAATGGTAGCGATAGGATTGCCACGTCGAGCATGATTTCAATGGCGCCGCGAATGAATCCAAATAGCCGAACATCGACGGTGCATAGGCCACTTGTTTCGCCTTTCCACCCGTCCCAGAAGAATGAGATAGGTTGGCATTGAAACATCATGGCTCCTGTATTGCTGATACCGAAGCCGGTAACAATCCCCATCAGGATATACGTGGTTGTCCGTAGTTTTGGCGAGGTTGCGATCCGCAGGTAAAAGGCCAGGATGGACAGTTGACAGAAGGCTTCTGCGATTTGGTACATGAAATAGGTAACGTACAACCACTGCAGCAGAATTTAGCTTCAGAACGGGCGCTCAAGGCGAGGCTTACCTTGAAGCTATTTGTTATCGCCGCTGGCGATATCCCCCACATGTCTCTTCCGAATCCGAGACGACCCGCTAGGAGACCCATCAGTTGACCGTTGCATCTCTAAATGGAATGTTGGGAGTGATTTACCGACGATGACAGGGACGTTCTGAAACAACGAGGCCAACTACCTTCCGTCAGCTCTAGCACCCCGCACGCTCAACGTTCATGACTTACTCCAGATAGCCCGATGAGCAGGTCGTCTAGGCCAAGCTTGGCTTTGGCTGAAAAGAACCGGTCTGTCAGTCGCAAGACAACCATTAGTACAGCAAGAGCGCCAATAGAGGCCGTTACAGCGATCATTGTCTCGCTCTCATCCCTGATCGGTATGCCACAAGCTGCGTAGGTTTGGTTAGTCGCACTAAGTGATGCGGGCACAGTGCAATTGGCAGCATTGCAATTCGCAGATTTTGTCCGGAAGGCCGTGTCGGCACACAGACAACCGAAGTCATCTGGTTTGCAACTGCTCGAGGGTACAAGAGCTTGGAAGCACTTTACCTGCGGTTCTCAGTTCAATGCCACGAAAGCTCAATCATCAACTAACTGCACAGGTCGGTAGTTTTCGCAGGAAATTGTCTTGCGCGAGTAAAGGCAGCACAAAGATGGCGAGTGCTGCAAAGCACCGGAAGATCTTCATCGCGACGATGGTCGAGTGAAAAGATGTGTAGCGGCGCAATATCTGCTACGAAGGAAGTATTTGGGGTATATGTCCAACATGACGCATGATCTATAGCTCAGGTCAGCGACGATCCGTTAAGGGGATTACCTTCTTGAGCGTTTGACAGCTCGCAGGATCCGAAGGAATATGGGCGTGGTTTCAGTCGCCCCGTCAAACTACCATGCCTTGGAAAGATACGCGCGCAATGGGAGACGATCACTGGTAGGCTCCAGGGCTTGCCCTTTTCTGGCAGGTCGGTGCCGCAACCAACAAAATCGACGTTCATAACTTGACGGATTTACCCTTTCGACACGGCCCAAATCCCACGGGAATTACTGCGCTTTATCTCACTGGCGGAGAAGTTCCCGAGCACTTTGTATCTGCACCAATGCGGCGCAGTCGTTCTAAGCGAACCGTTATCACGCAGCAAGATCCTAATACGGCGAAGGATCTGGCTTGGCAGGACAGGTATCTCGATTATGTTACAATCCCGGCAATTGCTTTTCCTCATCACTTTCATCACCATGGCTATCGTGCTATCAGCCACGATTGGCATTGCGTTCGCTACATTTGCCATAATTTACGCAATCCGTTGGCATCTAGGGAGAAAGAATGCTCTACCTCTTCCCCCGGGCCCAAAAGGCCTCCCACTTCTTGGAAATGTCAACGATATGCCCAAATCTGGCACGCTTGAGTGTCACCATTGGCTGCAGCACAAGGAATTTTACGGCCCCATCAGTTCCGTCACAGTGCTAGGGCAGACCTTCATCATCATTAACGACCCTGAGATCGCGTTTGAGCTGTTGCGCGATCGCTCGGCGATTCATTCTTCGAGACCTAGCCAAACCTTTAGCGGTGATATGTACGTCAATGGCTCGCAATAGCTACGTGGTGTTGTATGATCGGCCACTTGTTGACCACGCGAACAGGGTAGGATGGCGGCATGCCACTGCGATGGCTCCGTACTCCACAGAATGGAAAATCCAGCGAAAGAATATCACCAAGATAGCGAGCACGAACATCTCCGTATCTGTATTCGATAAGGTGCAAGAGACGGAAGCTGCGCACTTCTTGCTCGACCTTCTGGACTCACCCGACAAGCTGTTTGATCATATACGAAAAGAGGCTGGCAGTGTGATTCTCAAGATCACCTACGGCTACACCACCGTATCCAGCGGCAACGATCCGTTCGTTGATCTGGCAGCCAAAACCATGCAACAGTTCGCAGATGCTACAGTTCCTGGGAAATGGTCGGTAGATATCTTTCCATTCTGTGAGTATCGCTTCTTAATGATTCACGCAGCTTCTGATATCGGCTAGTGCGGTACTTGCCAGCATGGCTGCCAGGTACGGGGTTCAAAGACACGGCGAGACGAATGGAAGCGCAGCTCCGCCAATGCACTAACCAGCCGTATGAGTTCGTGAAGAAGCAGATGAGAGAGAAGAGGCATTCGCCGTCTTTCTTGTCGCAATGCATTGAAGGACTCGGTTCAGACGCTGAGATTGAGTTTGTTCATAAGTGGGCTGCATTGGCGCTATACCTCGGCGGTGCTGATACGGTAAGCTTTTATGCAGATATCGGCGCCTCTATTACTTTACTGACTCAACCAATAGACTGTGTCGTCCATAATGACCTTCTTCCTTGCCATGACCGTATTCCCGGAAGTCCAAAAGAAGGCCCAAGAAGAGCTAGATCGCGTCATCGGCGTAAGCCGGTTACCCGTTAGTAAAGATCACGAGAGCCTTCCGTATATCGAGGCAATTATGAAGGAGACACATCGCTGGCACCTCGTTTTACCAATGTGCCTTCCGCATTGCAGCACCGAAGAAGATACGTGTCGCGGGTATCGCATTCCAAAAGGCTCCATCCTTCTACCCAACAACTGGCATTTTACGCACGACCCCGAAGTCTACCCCGACCCAATGGTGTTCAGACCAGAGCGCTTCCTCGAAACACCCACTCATAAGAGTGAGCCCGACCCTAGAAACTTCATCTTCGGGTACGGTCGCCGCATCTGCCCGGGCCGATACGTGGCGGATAACGCGCTCTTCATTACCATCGCCCAGACTCTCGCGGTGTTTGACATCACCAAGTTCGTTGATGGAGATGGTCGCGTTGTGGAGCCGGAGGTGAAGTTTGAGCCTGGAGCGATCAGTCACCCTGTGCCATACCGTTGTTCGATCAAACCGCGATCGGAGGATCATGAGCGGTTGATCAAGGATTCAGAGCAATTGTTCCCTTGGGAGGAAAGTGACGCCAAAGAGCTGGAAAATATAAGCTGGTAAAGTAAGGGCAAACGCCCGCCCAAGCACATGCGTGTTGCGTAAGGCTTCGTTGCTACCTGCGCGTTGTGAGTGCAGGGGTATGTGTAACGTCTGTTCCATAACATTAGGTACTATGGAAGAATTGAAGACTTGTGGTGGGTGCGAGACAAGATGCAAGCCATCCGGGACTTTTGTATTTTGGTACGCACTGCCTACCTGCGCCTCGCCCCTCTTAGTCACCGTCTTCGTATAATGTTGGAATTTTCTTTAATGTACAAAGGTCGACAAATGCCTGTGTTTAAAACACAGTGCTGACAACAAACTATGATGTAAGTCGAGTAAAGTCTCAGCTCATGAAACACACACGTCCCGCCATCGTTGCTTCAACTATTCCTTCTTCGGTAGCGGATTGACAAACTTGTCCTCGTGAAGCTCTTCGTCTTTAGGCGCCACACCACGTTCTTGTAGCTGTTTGAGCGCCTCAGGGGCTACCTTCCCAATTTGGTGGCTCCTGTATTGATTGGTCTCAGAACGCATCAGCCACGTCAAACGACCCTCGATTTGCGTATCGTGGATGTTCTCGATCGCTTTATCTGCGCCCTCTTTGGTTGCAAAATCAATGAAGCAAAGAATGCGCGGTTCTTTTTTCTTGTCGCCATAGAATGGCGCGAAGTCACTGAAGCGTTCGATGGTACCATGTTTGGCAAACTGCTCTTCAAGGATCCGCAGTGCGTTCTGTTTTTGTCTGGCAATGCTGGCATTGGACGTCCAACCGGGTGTCTGAACTCTAACCATCAAGCGACGACCTTCGAGCAATGGGCGTACAGCTTCGAGTGCAGCGGCGGGGCCCTCGTCAAAGAAGTAGCGAGTAGCGTACTTATGGTCTTGCTTCTCCTGCACAGGGCCCCAAACGAAGTCTTCTTTGAGAGGCCTGACGATAAGCTTCTTGCGCTGTATCTCTGTGTCATTAAGCTCTGCAATGACCTTGGCGGCCTCTGCTTCGCTTCCAAGTTCCGCGAAACACCTGGTGTCGTTCTGGAAACTGTAGCGATCAAGACGCATCTGCAACCTCTTGCTGGGTGATCATTAGCTCGAAACCCTGTTTGCGAAATCTTCAAAGAAATGCTATAAGACGTACACGGTGCATCCTTTTGATCGTAGTAGATCCTCGACCTCTCCTCTTGTCAGTCGTTTTGGTATACCCAATAAAGCAACCCCTGATGATGCGCTTGATGTCGGAGCGCGCGCATCAGTGAGTGCAATCTCTGGTCCTCTCGACGGTGTTTCGATGATATTTTCCCGTCTCAGCTGGCTGGCAGCGAACTCTCGCTTCGTAATTGATGTTCTGATCAACGGAACAGCTGACTGAGCAACGCGTACGGAAGGTGTTGTCCGAGCAAAGAGACAGCGCCCACGAGAGAGTATCCTGGGTACAGCCATAGTCAATTGTGTTAGTCCGAAAGTGATGGTATGTGCATCCGCAATCGATGATGGCGAATGATCGCGTCTACTCGAAAAGACGCCAGCCATTATCGCGCTAAACAGAGAAAGTTCCTTGGCTTGCCAAGACCTGGCTTATCGATAACACTGTAACGAAAGCAGCGAACCCGCGACCGCCGCGCCGGTCAGTCCTTTGCAGCTCGACCAAGCTTTCGCCCACTTGATATACTGGCACAGCAGAAAAAGATCTTATCACACGTCTCCGAGATTTGTAACAAGACAGTTCATTAATCAAGCTACTTAGGGATCATCTAGCCCTAAACTGTAAGACTGGCCCGTCTTTCTTGCTCGCAAAGACGTCCTGGATCTGATATTCAGACGCCCTTGTCCTACCGACTTCCAAGTCTTTGCTTCCAGCACCCAACGTCGTGCCCGGCGCCAGTCTCAGATCATACAGATAAAGTACCCTGGCAATCGTTACCGACAGCTCAACATACGCGAGACCCTTGCCAATGCATCCACGAGGACCGATGCTGAAGGGGTTGTACGCCGACTGCGCTGCCTGGAGACTGCTATGAAGCGGGTTCGCGGATGGATCAGATAGCCATCGCTCAGGAATGTAGTCGAACGGTTGAGGGAAGTAGTCGGCGTTGTGGTGAATGGCGTAGATTGGGACGCCGACGTCGCATCCGGCAGGAATGTGGCGACCATCGATATCCAGACCACCGGCAAGGACTTCCCGGGGAAGAGCACCGGCGACTGGGGGTGTCATGCGCATGGTCTCGTCAATGCAAGCGCGTAGGAATGAGCAGCCGCTGAGCTTGGGTCCGGTTACGATTTCCTCAACATCATTGAATGTTTCGCGGATCTCTTTGCAGACTTTCTGCATCGCTGCGGGGTTGTGTGCGAGATAGAAGAAGGCGCCAGCCATAGCCGTGGAAGTTGTATCGGAACCAGCGATGATCAGCAAGTTTGATTCGCCCCAAAGCTCGTCCATGCTGAAGCCCTTGCCGGTTTCTGGGTCCTTCGCGTTGAGCAGGTAGTAGAAGAAATCTTTACGATCAACGTCGACGCCCAACTTCGTTCGCTCCATAGCCTGGCCCTTGCTGTACTGCATGTACTGCGCCCGCTGGCCTGCAATCTTGCGGAAGAAGAGCTTGTCCAGGTGCCAGTTGTGGATGGTAAGGTGCGTTCCGCAGATGAGATGTCGGTGTGCCGCGTTGCCAACCAGCTGAGTTGCGAAACGATTGGTAGGGCTTTCCAACATGCCAAAAGCCTTGCCGAATACTAAATCACCCATGATGTCGAATACGAGCCACTCGCACCAATGCGCAGCGTTCCAAGCGTCGTTCCAGCCACCATCTTTCTCATCGGCGAGGCTCTTCTCGGCAGACCAGTTGTTGCTCTTGCGTCCAAGCAATTCGCAGCCAACACGTACATTTGCCAGGATGTACTTCTCGAGACTCTTGATGGCCGAGTCGCTGAAAGCGTGGCTCATCACACGTCTCTTGCGTGCATGCTGCATCTTGTCGATAGAACTATGCACGCTGACCGCTTTGGGTGTGCTGGGGAACGCTTCGTAGAACGACGCCTTCTTGACGTTTGATCGGAATCCATAGATGGTCTTTAGACCAGTGGCGGTGTTGACAGAAAGTAGATTCGGTCCAAGACGGACGTACGGTCCATATTGCTCGTGCGCGCGGTGGAAAGCGAGATGCCGAGAGCCCTTGTAGGCGTAGTACGCCAGATAGATATCTGTGATCTTTGCCAGGAAAGGGCCTGGGTATGATGCAAGAGGATGGAAAGTCAGGCGGTAAACGATCACTCCGAAGATCTGAGCATGGTGTTAGCTTTTAATTGCATGAGAACGGGAAGCAACGTACGTAGAGAACCAGCGCTCCGAAGATGGAGGCCAGTAGGAATAGAATTGCCATATTTGTGACAGCTCAAGGCGAGTTGAATGTGTGTTGTGTTATTGATATCGAACAAAGACCATTGCCACAAACACGCGTGCAGTTGTACAATTCGTGTGCACGAAGGAGAGTACCAAAATCGTTTCACCAACGAGATCCTGTGCAGATAAAGGTACATAAGTACTCATTCACCCTCCACCACCATCCGCAGCTCCCGCAATACCCTCCCTGATCCCAGCTCCATCGCGATGACAAAGAAAAACAGCGTTGTGGAGTAGTCTCGTGCCCTTCTCATCGCAGAATCGGCGAGCGGGTGTCTTGGGTATACGTAGCGGCGTGTCACGGCTAATGTCGGATATCGATGCAGAACGCCGTGTCGCAATCACGTGCAGCGGATATCACAGCAAGCGAGGACACTAGTGCGGATACCCGTGTCATCCCACCTTTTTCGGGGTTGGAAGGGCGCGGATATCGTGCGCGTAAGCCTGGCAACAATCACGATTGCAGTGGGCAGTGGGTAGGAACGATTTTGCGTCATGCATACCTAGGTAGTCAACGACGCACACCTGGGCATGCACAGACGCTAGTTCAAATCATCTTGCACTCGCAGCCACACCATAACTTTACTGCAGCCAGCAGGTGGGAAGGTGATGTACGGTGGAGCTGCGAGCCATCTACTATCAATGCCTTCAGCCGGGACGCTTCTCAGATCCGGCAAAGTATCAATAGACCCAGCAATCAGAGGCGTTCATGCAGCGATGTTGACCGTGAAGCGCACCAGTACCTTGCGGGATGAGGGTTTCACAGAGGAATTGACAGTGAAAGAGTGATTCATCAAGAAGAGTGATTGAGATTAGAGCCAAAGCGACAGAGTGCGAGTGTACCTAAGTAGTCGCAGGTCTGATTAAGGAACGACAATGATGTTCGCGACACGCCTGACGAATGAAAAGGCGCGAGTATCAAAGCGGATAGTGCCGTCTTGGCATCCATCGAGCTTCGCGAACATCACCAAGCGTCACGATAGTCGACCCAAACGCGCAACAGCACGGCACCGGCCCATTGACCTATTGACACCCTTGCAGTCTTTCTGGAAGGCCAATCCCTCAAGATGTCTGTCGCCAAGAATGTGAAGACTACTGTCTTTTCGGTACGCAGCCCGAACCGATCTCGAATGCCTTTACCTCGCCGCCCCTCTTCAGCCATTAACCATTGCGAACACGGGTACTGACTGTAGACCTGTAGAAATACACTGTCCAGCCTACCGGAATCTATGCCGCTATTAATAGGCTCTTCGCGCTCGACCCCAAGCGCTCCACGGGTATCCCCATGAACCCGCAATTCCGCAACCCACCCCCAGGCGGTCTGGACCCCAACTCTTACGACGACCCCGTCACTCTTCCTGCCGCTGATATCGCCGAGAACCCATACTGGAAGCGCGACGTGCGACGACGATACCCCAGGCTCTCGACAGTCACCCAGTCCGACGCGGTCGCGCTGCTCGAAGTTGGAAGCGCGGCAGCACCCAAGCAGGAGCTGATTGGCGAGGCAGGCACAAAGTCGCTGGTTGCGGCGAAAGAGGAAGGCGCCAAGGGACTGGCGGTCGCGTTTGAGAAGAACACTGGACTTGCAAAGGATGTACTGGGTCCTGGTGGTATGCCTCCGCTACCAAGCGGGCTACACAACACCCTTGCTGGCGGACACAAGCGATACGAGCTGGAGAACGAGCAGTCATATGGCACAGCGTAGGTATTTTCATCTGATTTTACAGGAACGACACTAACGCGATACAGATACCCATGCCGGACGTTTGCTTAGAGTACAAGATGAACTGGGTAGGTAGAGAAAGATGATCCGTTTTCTGTATATATGGAGACATTTCTTCCATGCTTTCCGTGTAGCCATCAGTGAACTTTCACAACACCCCTTGTCATGAGCGCGTGGGAGTGTTGTAGGTGGAGCGCACGTGTCCGAATGTCTGATCCATGTCTCTTGTGTCTCACCGTGAGTTTGTGTCGATTCTTCACCTCGCATCCTTTGTTGTTCCTTATCGTCCGTCACCGCGTCGAGAAAGGAAAGCACGACGTGTGTTGATGTCTTGGCGCTGTTGACAGCGACTGCCTCGCCGTCACTTCCATATCCCAACTGCCCCCACCATCCACCCCCGCGTCGCTCCTGTCCTCTTTCCACATCGTCGCAACCGCAGTCATGAGCGCTGTGTCGGAGAAGGGACCAACAGAGCTGGGCGCTGATCCCCTCAACTTCATCTACGCCTGCTCGGTGTGTTGCGCCTCCTTCGCCGATGTCTACGAAGGCCACAACGAGACAGTCCGTGGCCTGTCAGATGGTATCAACCCGAAAGAGCGCCTTGTGACGCGCCTGTTCCTCGCCAGTTGCTGTCATGTCTTCTGCAGCAGTCATTTGGAGGGCGGCGGTAAGTGAAGCGCGACCGCACATTAGGCAGCTGCTGACAGCCACGACAGGACCGCCTTTCCACACAGCCGGACAGCGACCTCAATCACCCTGTCCCGTCTGTATCAAAGAGAAAGGCGACAGTGAGCCGCGCGATCTCTTCTCGATACGCGGCTTCAAGAAAGATGAATACGATCCTCAGATTCCGCTCGCATGGTTCACCGCGCCTCCCATCCGCCTCGATGGTAGCGGAAAAGAGATGGAGGCATTGCGCGTACGTCATGTCACCCACAGGTCATGACACCAGCTAACAATAATCAGTTCCAGTATATTGCGCTTATTCGATACTGCCAGAACACCTATGCGACCCGCAAGCCCCTTCAAGAAGCCTTAACCAATATGGAGAAGAAACTGGCTAGTGTGCAGGATCTTGCCTCCAAGGAACACGCGAAAGTCGTTACACTCCAGCAAGAGAACGAGCGACTACGACTGCAGAAGGATCAGTTTCAAGCCATGAAAGCCGAGGTTCAGCGACTCCAGGGTCTCGATGAAGAGGTTGCGCATTTTCGCGATGTCAACCCAAAGGACCTCGCAACATTCCTGGCAAACAAGTCAGCAATTCGCCATTACTTGAAGCTTGTGCCTATGCTAGTCGAGTAGGCCGAATACGCCATGCTACGAGGCATTTGCTAACCGCTCCAGTCAAAACGAGAGGATGCAGAAGCGACTTGCCCAACTCGGCTTTGCGATGGCACTAGAACCTGTACCTAACTTCAAAGGCATTGACCCCCACGCATTCGATAGCGACGAAGCTTCGCCTGAACGCAGCGGACGATCGGGCGGTAAACTACGAACGACTGCCTCAAGCCATACCGCCGGTAGATCGGCTCATACAACTGGACGATTGGGAACCGCATCTTCCGGCTCCTTTGTCCCGCGACCCATGAAGCGGCAACGCCTCGATTCACCCCTTCCCACCAACACCCAAGCCTGCCATCCTTCAAGCCGAGATGCCATGCCACCTCCACCAAAGCCGATGTCCAGGATGCAATCCATGCGCAAGATGTTTCCGAGCCTGCGAAAGAAGTTCTCCAGTGATCGCTCCAGGTATGCAGCAGATGGGTCCTTTGAGGACGACCCAGACGTGCAAATGTATGATAACGGACACTGGCAAGATGTTGAAGTCGGTCATCAGCCAGGACGCGATGACTTCCGCGACGAGACACCGTACATGTCGGGAGCGCTGCCTGTAGAACAGCCCCATCAAGCCTCTGACGTTCGAGGATCGCAGCTACTTTCTAGTGTAGGCCTCAAAGACAACCGGTCAGACTTCACATTCCGAGCATCGTCTCCAGTCAAAATGGATAAGCAAAGCAGTGGCCATCGTCCGGTTCATTTGCCTACTGAGCCCTCATACATTCGTCTTATGGATGGTCTGTCGCGCGACAATGGGATGGAGCTAGGTCTGAAAGATCCTCGCGAGCAGACGAGCACGGACTATCGTAACGATGGCAGGAATAGGCAAGTACTACCTGCTTATCGACATGAGCACAACGCCGAAGGAGTTGATTACCGGAAGCCTCTGGATCTTGGACATCCGTTCATGCACCAGTCGCCACACAGATCTCCGGCCTCTGTCGATGCGCGTCAATATCCTTCTAGCGACCACCAAACTAACGAATACACAAACAGAGCTCACGGCATGCCGGATCTTGGCCCCACTACGCCAGCACCGAGGCGCCAACAAAATCCCGGCCATCAGATCGAGAGTGTAGTAAGTCCCTATTTCCGAAGCGGTCATAACCAGGCCCGAATCCATCCATCGCCCGGCCGCGCTGAACTTCAGGATAGTTCCGATCATTCCGGCGATTATCGGTCACGAAGATCAAGGACGAACCAACCTCGGGCCGGCTGGGTTGAGGCTCGTAGTCTAAACGGCCTCTCATTCTTCGATTCACCCGTCGATTCTAGGAACGAGCCTATCGAGGTGGACCACCGCCGCAGATTGGTAGAGCTAGCACCAACGCCACCATACTCACATCAGCATCAAAGACGTCATCTTAATTCACGTGGCTTCATCATACGTCCGGAAGAGGGACGCTCACCGTATACCAGCGACAGTGCCTATGGCTCTTCCCAAAACCGAGAATTCTACAATAGAGACGCGCCCAGTTATTCCCAAGCAGCGGTTGATGTACCGCCCGCATATCGCCCAAGTCGTTCCCGCATCGGTCAGGTGCCCTCTATCATGCCTTCCATTGTTCCAAGCCGTCCACCTGCCCGGGTCCAACCTCAATGGGAGAACCTGCAGCGAGCGGGCGTCAGGAGTAGCCGTAATGCTTTCAGTAGTGTCGCTGGGAACAATTATGCTGCGCCTTCGAGGAATGTCTTCCCCAGCGCTGGTCGGCGCAATGTTAGACGTTAAAGGCAACCTATGCGTTTGCTTTCCTATCGAATAGCGAATTGGAGTACTTGGCTTTATGAATGGCCATTTTCGCATGGGGATTCGGTGTATGTATGACCGGGCAAAGAAATGATTAGATTTCTAGTTCTGCTATCAGCGATTTTCATCTGTGAACTACTCCTGCAGGACGAGATTTTAGGTACGATCAGCGTCAACCTCGTCTATATGCTCGACTGTAAATCACCCCTTTATGACTACGATTGCAGCTTGCAAGACGGAGATGCGCACCGCGTTCCGCAGACCGTTCGATGCGACGATCAAAAAACCCTCGCAGTGAGCAGATTTGCTGTCTCGCATCACGTTCAATCAAGAGTCTGCCCCGTGATGCTTAGCACGCCCACGCCTTCCCTCTCTCAACACGGAGTCTGTCGATTCAACTCACATGTGGGTAGACAGCCGGCAGATGGGAAGCTAAGACGAATGCGGTAAGGATCAAGGAGGTTTAATATGCGAGGACTATGCAACGAAGCTTCCTCGGCATGCAAGGGCCAATGCCGGTTTTCGATGACATTCATTGGCGGAGTATCATGCGCAACTTATTGTGTCACATACGCACCTGATTACTTATTCTCCATGTTGCAGGACTTCGACAGTTGGCGCGATGGTTTCATCTTAGCGTTTTTCTTTGCCGACAGGCCGTTGTAACCTCCACACGAATCGTAACCCCTGCGTCCCCGCAAAGCCACCGCGCATGACCCACGATCCCGGTTATTGAAGCTTCCCTTAATATGGCCAAGCAATCTATCAGGCACAGCGGCTTCGAAGCTTCAGAACTATGATGCCACATCCATCACTTTCATATTGGCATCAGATGAAGGCCCACTCATTGCCATGGAAGAAACGGAAGGCAAAGCCTGTCCATTTGTGGGGCATTGAATCATTGGCATGCGAACTATTCGCGGTATAAGAGTAGTGTTTGCCCAGCAGGTGCAACATAGGACTGTGGAAGTACTCTTCGCATCTCTACACCATGCTATTCAAGACTCTTTTGGCGGCGGCCGCTCTGGCCAGCACCGCTTTCGCGGCTCCTGCTGAGAAACGCCAAACCTCTCGCAAGATGAAGTGGTTCGGAATCAACGAGTCTGGTGCCGAATTTGGCGAGAAGAACTTCACAGGTGTCTACGGAAAAGAATACACCTGGTACGATCTCAACACCATCGACAAGTTCATGGACGAGGGAATGAACATGTTCCGCCTGAACTTCTGTAAGTCACACAACCCCCATATCCCACATCTTCCCAAAGACCACGACCTAACACCCCCCAGTAATGGAGCGCTTAACCCCCAACTCCCTCACCGGCGCCTTCGACCCGCTCTACCTCGGCAACCTCACCGAGCAAGTAAACCACATAACCTCCAAAGGCTCGTATGCCATGATTCAACCTCACAACTACGGGAGGTTCCTGGGCAACATCATCACCGACACCTCTGCGTTCAAAACCTGGTGGACCAACGTCGCGGCCGAATACAAAGACAACGACCTCGTCGTCTTCGACACAAACAACGAATACCACGACATGGACCAACAGCTCGTCTTCGACCTCAACCAAGCCGCCATCGACGGCATCCGCGCCGCAGGCGCCACAAAACAATACATCACCCCTGAGGGCAACAGCTGGACTGGCGCATGGACGTGGATTTCCTCCGGCAACGGCGCCAGTATGGTTAATCTGAAAGACCCAGAGAACAAACTGGTATACCAAATGCACCAGTATCTCGATACCGATGGCTCTGGTACTTCGGCCACGTGTGTTAGCGCCACGATTTTCAAGGAGAGACTTCAGGCTGCGACTAAGTGGCTCAAGGATAATAAGAAGCAGGGTGTTATTGGTGAGTTTGCGGGCGGGAACAATGCGCAGTGTATTTCGGCGCTGCAGGATGGATTGAAGTATATGGGTGAGAACAGCGATGTTTGGCTCGGAGGTATTTGGTGGGCGGCGGGACCGTGGTGGGCGGATTACATCTATAACATGGAGCCTACGACGGGAGTTGCTTGGACGGGGATCTTGCCCAAGATCAAGAGTTACTTTTTGTAGATGAGGAGGACTCGTGAGGAAGAGGTTGGGTGTATATACTTTACTCTTTTCTTCTTGTAGATATTCATATGAAGAAGCCTTCATTCGCCACCGTTCCTGCCCACCTCGATGCACCCCGTGCTGTATCCAACTACCCCCATCTAAGGCTGCCCCTCCCAAGCCCTACTCAAATACTCCTCCGCGCTCATAAACTTGTACTCGGGGAACCGCTGATTAAACTCATCACTAACATCCCAAGCCCCCCTCCTAATCGCCTCAAAGAACATGATAACAAACTGCTTGCTGAAACCCTCCCTCACCTCATCCGTAACAGTAGGATGACTGATCAACGGCAACCAACTCGCTTTCAATTCCCCCTTCTCCAGATCCTCGCTCTTGACATACTCGACGAGCCAGTCTCCGCCTCTGATCTTCTTGCCTAGAGCGAGGAGTTCGTTGATGGAAGTACGGCAACCCCTAATACCGCCGATCTTCGGCCATGGACGCGTGTCGTCGAGGGCGCGAGCGAGGATCTCGCAGTCGTCTTGGATGGCGGTGATGACGATGGGTTGGTTTCCATCGTCCAGAACCATGGCACGTCGGTTCTCAAAGTCGAGGAAGAAAGGCCAGGTGTAGAGGTCGCGTTCTAGCGGGTATGGGTGCGCGAAGTAGTCCATGAAGATGGAGGGTTGGAAGAGGCAGTACTGCATCGATCCCAGTTCGCCCTTGGCGTCTAGGTCTTCGAGGTACTTCCGGATGTAGTCTTTGTTGTCGTAGCTGGGGACGCCGGCGTAGTTTGCGATGCCCCATTCGCTGGGTGCGAAGCGGGAGACGCCTGCTGCGATGGCGGCGTGGATTAGGTTCTTCTGGGCGACGTTGTCGGTGTCGAGGTGGACGACGAAGAAGGATAGGAGGGTATGGAAGCCCTGGAGAGCCGTGGTGAGGCCATTGAGGTCGGTGTAGTCGACTTGCTTGTAGGTGACTTTGGGGGAAACATGCGGTTTAGTTGGGGCGGATCGCGTGAAGATGGTGATGTCGTGCTTGCCGGAGGCGATTGTGGATTTAAGCAGGTTGGTTGCGACGTCTTTGGACAGCGTTAGTAAGGTACGGTATGTTCATATTTCTAGCAACGGAGGAGTGCCATCTGGTGTCTCGATAGAGGCGGGGTAAGCATATGTAGAAGGGGAGGAAGCATACTTCCGGTGCCGCCTGCAACTGCGATCTTCACCATGATTGCACGTGATGCTATATTGCTCTTTCGATGTCGAAGGATTCAACTGTAAGCACTACAGATTACAAGCTCCCTTCTTTTGTATGTCCAACGGCCGCTATCTGTTGCTCCGCTTTGAGCCCCCGCAATTTTTCGCTACGAAGGCGTGTCTTCGGCGGTGTACGGCATGGTCCTGACTCGTGTCACAAAACCCCAAGTTGTGAAGCTACGATCTCGGCTATCGCGATATCATTGATGTTTGAGTATTCCTTGTGGTGCTCGACGCATACCGATTGCATGATACGCTGCGAATGGGCTGAGCGCTCCTTGCCAATGTTGGTGGCGATCTCATACGAGCTACCGCCATAGTACGATGCTGTACGACCAGATATATTATATTGCTTGGAGACTGTTGACTGCTGATCTGGGTAGACTTCCAATGCGGAATGTGATCAGTCGAAACCCCCCTGTGGAGTGCTGTGAGAGAGACAATTGATTGCCCGACCAGGTTCAGGAATGTAGATATACACAAGATTGGAAAGTTGAAAGGCGTGGTAAAGAAGGTAAATGGTGAAAGATGGGATACTCGCAAGTAAATATTAGGAAAATGGCGGTCATGCATCGAATTCCTCAAGCATCGATCAACGGTACCGCCGGTAAAGGCTTCTCGGGCAGAGGTTTACTCGGCAGCGGTTTCAACGCATCCTCATACGCCGGTGGTCTCGATGAGCTGCCTTCGTCCGGATCATCGCGATACGCGCCGTGGGCGTTCAGCAGTGCGCCTTCTTCTTCAGCCACCCTGTCCCTTCTCATGTTCTCCCAAACATCCTCCATGCCGTCCCACTTCATGAGCTCGCGCTGCGCAACGATCCACCAGTACATCTTCCATAAGAGAAAGATGGTGAATAAGCCGCCAACGACACTGCTGAAGATGACCCAGAACAGGCCCCACCATTCCCAGTGTACGAATTCGCCAAACATGTTGCGAAGCGTTCCTTTCTTGCCATAGTATCCCCATTCTTCTTTGCGATAGAGGAAGCGGCTCCCCTCTAGTTCCCAGACGTCGCTGCCAAGGAAGTGACCTATTGTGCCCCAAATTGTCAAAGATTTCTTGAGAGGGAAGGTGTAGGCTCGAGCTACTATGCGCATATCGACGATTTGGTACTCGTAGATCTGGTCGTCCGTGGTAGATTGACCGAACGGGTCGGCGACCTTGGCTGGCCCTCCTTTGTCTCCCCTTTTCAGAGGTGTCCCCTTGATACGCATCCACAGCATCTTCTGCTCCGGGTTGTTGAACTTCCAAAGAGGGTCGTCAGGGTACCGCGATTTCCCGATCACGTCCAGCGCAACGCTCCAGTATTCCGCATCCGCGTCATCGCCTTCCTGGTTATCGCTCGGGTTCGTGATATATAAATAATCGATATACATTCGCGGGGCATGTGTCAAGGGTACTTCGTGGCACCATCGTCCTCTGCCACTCCAGCTTTCTCGACAATACGGGTCTTCGGAGTTTAGGCCCCAGTACAGTTCCGCGTGGGAGAGGTTTTGGCGATATCGTGTAACGAGGAAGGTGGAGGGTGTGGGTATGGTCGGTAAGGGATATAGCGGGCGATCGTTGAGGAGGACAGTGCGATTATCGTGCGTGAGGGTTACGTTGAGAAGCTATAGCGCTCAGCGTGGTTAGCACCGCTCTTTAGGCACATGCTGGACTTAGGCTCGACACTTATACATACAAGCACATTATCACCAGTTATGACCTCGTGATCTTCAGGGTCCTCATAAGGGCAGCCCTTGCATTCTATCTTCGCGATGTAGGACGATCCGGGTACCACGGCTGCGACCGGTGCAATGGGTGCCTCGCACCCTTCAGGCACTTTTCCTCTTCCATCTAGGTCGCAGTCGAGTACTTCGGGAATATCTGCAGCATAGGCCGAAGATAGAAGGCCGGCCAGCAGCGCGATACCGGACAGCAGCATGGTGGGCTGGTGGTGGAATGATCGAGGGCAGGTGCCTGGCGCTCGTCGCTGCCGCCGCTGTCAGGGGCGTAGCGTGGCGGAGCCTTGCAGGGGTGTCGCGCGATTAGCCGGCGATCATGAGGCACGAACGCTGGTTCCCCCGCCAAACTTCTCTGCCACCTCCGCCCATAGCGCGTGCAGAAACACTGATGTTGACGACGATGCGATTATCGTATTCTCATACTTCCGGTGCTGTATACATTTCGACGGCATCCATTGCTCACGCGGCCATGATCTGCCTCAACTCAGATAACACCATCCTCAGAGCTCTATGGAGCCATAACGATACCATTGGAGATCAAGAGTTGCTGTGTGCGTAGAGTGATTGATAGTTCTATCGCGAAACATCGGCTGCTATGCAAAATGGGGAAAATAATGCGACCATTCAGGAGTGTCGAAAGCCGACTCGGGAAGATGGAAGACGTCCAAAAAGCACTCGACGATAATGAAAACCCTGCAGAATATGTAAAAGAGCCACACAGTAATGTGCAGCGACCATGCCAGCTCAGGCCTCAGCAAGATCCAGCGGCACGTCATACCTATCCTCAGCACTCCGTTGTGTAGTTCCTTCCCCTCCGGTGAGAAAGTCGACGCCCAATCAACCGCAGTCTCCCCCATCAGATAGACCGGTATGAAAAGCAGGCCAAAAATGCTAATTGTTGTGGCGGATATCCTCCACAGCAGTTCTTCAGTTGCAGTTCGAAATACATGGTGCCATACCAACATATGAGCTCCACCATAGCAGAGATTGGCAAAGACCAACCTGTGTGTAAGCACTATCTTCCAGGCTCGGTCTGGTCCGCTGAACTCGTCGCGGAGTTTGAGTTTGAGCTGTTCGGAGGTAGGTCGCGCCTTGATCCTTCGCGAAAAGATATGACGCTTAGCTTGTATAGGGTTGAATCCGACGTCGGCATGGATAAGGGCGTCATAAAGTGTTACCTTCTTCCCTCCGCCACTTTGCGGCAGTGGCATAAGATCAAACGTTCTGGTAGCTTCAGACGCGAGCTGAAGAAGGTGTTGTTGTGAGTCCGCGGCTTCTTCGCGTTCCAACGACAAGCGACTGAGATCTGAACCGGGTAGAGAATCCGCGGCCGCTAAGAAAGCCCCCAGAAGTTCGATATCCTTCCCCTGTAGAACGAACCCTTCCTCCACGTCCAGTGGTTTGCTCCACATGGTGAACACGTGGTGCATCAGGGCGCCTGCGCTGTGTATCCCTACATTCAATTCCAGTAACGAAACCGTGAGACCCTGCGAGTGTCTGGTCAGACATTGGATGCAGAACCACGCCGCTTGAGAGCATGCCAGAATCTTCACCATGGGGTTCCCTTTGCTCTTGTCCAGGATGTAAGATTCTGAAACTCTTTCGAAGAACTTGGGAACGTGCTTTGCAATAAATTTGATGCTGGGCACGGATAGAACCAGCCTGGTTTCGCCGCGCGGTAGGTAGCTCTCTCTATCTCCGGTATCGATGACAAAGCCGCCCATGACGGCGAAGAAAGAATGGGTGTCTGTCCAAAGATGGGTTGATGGTCTTTTGCTGTCCAGGACCGTTTTCTGATGTCGTACCTTTGAGGGAATGTATCGGATGGCGTCTTGCAATTGCTGGTAAGCTCTGCGGATGATGTTAGGAGGCGGATCTTGGTTGAGCTGCTTTCGCATGTAATCGCCCAGCTCCATCGCCTCTTTGTTATGGCAGTATGCTTGAAAGACGACCTACAATTGGGACGGAATCAGCGGAGCCGTTATGGGCACTTGAAAGATGGTCGTACCAGTTCTGGGGTGAACAGCGCCATCATCACCCAACCAGCTTTCCTCCAGAATAGATCGGCTGTTTTACCGTACTCTGGAATGTTTACATGAATAGCCTTCCAAACGCACAACACTAGAGTGAGGATGCATGTAGAGAGTATCGAAAAGGTTCCGCGGTTCTGAGGCTCAGCCTTCCAGGTATGATATTGCGTGATGTTTTCGGTTGAGTTCATAGTGAAAGATAGGCTCGGGTGGAATTGAAAATGCGAGATCGTCTTCGTCACGGCGTGTGAAGGATTCTTATACCATATCGCGAACCGTGTTTTCAGGTTGGCACGGAGATTCGCACACAGTAGCTTTGCTTTTGAGCCTTTGGGGGCGTAAACCAGGCCATTAATAGAGTTGGTATGCAAGGGCGTGCTGAGTGGCTGGAGGAATCTTCCAGTAAGCGATTGGTTGTACAACGCAAGTTCTGTGCTTTTTCGTCTACCTGTGAACATCCACAAATGGGGCCGATTTGGCTGCATCTGGATCTCGTACTGAATCTGATGTGTCATACACCATTGGGCTGGTAGGGTCGCATCGACCAGACAGCCTATCATGATCCTATTTCGGAAAGTGAAGCTTGCGTGGCGAGTTTGGACCACACATCGGGTACCACCTTCTTTTCTGTCATGGTATCTTATTTTCCTTGCTTCTTAACTCTGTTGCGGTTACGGTCCAACCCGGCGGCGTTCGACTGAAGGTGATAACCCGTGTTGTCTTGCGTAGAGCCGGCGGTTTTGACGATTAGTGACACCACGCTGGCTGAGCAAAAGGCACTACAGGCACCTCTTCTGCACATATCAAGATTGCTTGCTACAAGTGCTGTCATCCATCGCGCAGATTCCTTTTCATTTGCTAGCAAACCATGTCGAACGCATGTCTACTCAGTTGTGTTCTCTCTGCTATTCCCTTCCTCTTTCACCGCGATTATGGCGCAGCTTTCCTGTGAGCGACGTAGTGGGAATATCATCAGAGTCGACGATCACCTGGAGATCGAATTCCACCGGACATCTATCGATCCCGACCGCGACCTGGCCGATCTGCTTCCTGAAGACGGTATATTTCCTCTGCATTTTCTGCAAAGGGATAGTAATGGACAGCAATTTGATGAGGCAAAATGTAGGGGGCTTTATCTACATATGAAGCGTGAGTCGCATACCAGCAAATCCACTCACACGCGCTAACCATGGTGCAACTGCAGAGAGTGAAGCCATGTGGATCAAGCTTGACGCAGACAGGCTGTACGTGATCCGTATCTACATTGACAACGTGAACGTGGTAACAGGCCAAACCTCGCAAGTACAAGGCCAGCAAGATTATTTTATTGTGCCGGATCAGGCCTTCGTCAATGGATACAAGTCCAACATCAATGCGTTCACGAGACAGTTTCGCCGTCCACCGTATGCACCGAATTCTACACAGCAAGATGCTCAGACCGTACGCTTCGAGGTAACCCCATCCACGAACACTGGAATACTGACAGGCATCGGTATGGGTGTTGAGGGTGAAGTACTTAACCGAACTGTAGTAACGTTACCCGGCATGACTGTTAAGGATTACACGAGGAAGTACGAGCTTCAATTCGAAGATGGTGTTGATGTCTCGGCTAGACTTACCAGTAAAGGGGAACAGGTTGACGGTATTAGGAGCGACCATGTGGTGTAACACAAGCTGACTCGATCGTAGACACTTTCTTAGTTGCTGACTGCGAGAATCTTCATGTACGTCTTAACGTCCTTTCACGACGAAGATTACGCTGAAACCGTTGATAGGATCATACAGTAGTAGTGACCAACCGCGACGGACACCTACACTCTCGCCTGCTCAAACTCGACACTTATCCATCTATCGGATGGGAGCCACATCGTACAACCATCTTCAATGTTCGCATGCTCAATTCGAAAGCAGCTTGCGACCTATTTGGTGCGCCCAGATTTGAAGAGACTGACAAAGAAGAAGAGAGGTTGCATGGAATCGATGGCCTTCTCGTAAAATTCGACCCCGAACCAGCATCAACAAAACCTTTGGTACTGTTTCGTAGAGTACCGCGACCCCTCGAGATCTATTGAGGGGCAAGCTGGAGATTGACTAAAGGCCCTTGTCTCGTATGTAAATATCTGATGTGAGTTGGTAATGTCGATCAGTCGAGTAAGCCACGACCTTCCCATACAGCGTGCAAAGTGCGTCACAACTCCTGTGCGGCAATCACGAATCTACGCATCAGACATCAGCCAATCCCGCATCTCAGTATCTTTCGTTTCCGCCCCTGGCGTATTTTACATTCGCGGTCCGTCCCGGCGTCGCTCGCGTAGTCATCGGCGTTGTCCATCGGTCTTTCGCAAAGCCCACGGTTCAGCCGCTGGGCTACACTTTGTTAGTGGAGATGACAGAACTATGGGCGACGTTCCTTGATGCGAAAGGCGCACGCGACAGATCAGTCGCGTCGAGTCGCGAAGTGGTTGGCTGTCGTTTCGAGTTGCTAGACACTATGACGTCACTCATGAGATCACAACGCGTAACACACGACCTCGGTCCATGAGTAGGTTTAACAACCCAACAACCTCTCATCTCAACCACCTACACCAACAACTTCAAACTACCTACCGTCACAAATCCATCAACTCGTCAAACCTTACAAATCAAACCACATACCCAACCCACCAACCACCACCACAATGCCCAGCTCAACATTCCAATCCTTCAGCACATCCTCATCCAGCACAACCATCAACGGCCAAACAACCTCAAAGTCCGAGCACACCTTCACAGACCCCAGCGGCACCCGTGTCGAGCGTACACATCAAGCTCCAGGTGAAGCGCCGCGCGTTGAGCGATTTGAGACGGATTCGTCGGGAAGACAGTTGGAAGACCACAGACATGCGGATGCGAAGCGGATTCAGGATGTGACGGAAGAGGAGGACGCTAAGAGCAAAGAGAGGGAGTATGAGGAGAGGATGCAGGATGAATATGCTAAGAGGGAGGGGGGTGCTTGAGTGAAAGGGATAAAGTGGACATAGTCGATTTTAGTACAGATATATCACGTCAAATACACACATCACAAGATAGGTTTGCAGAATACAATGTGATCGGGAAGACGCCACCGGCAAACAAGCAGGCAGCGAGGAGACTCCATTCAACTATATAGGCGGCCAGAGCGCGCCGAACAGAGACCCAGGAGGCTACAACCCCAGCCCACACCCCCCAAACCCAAGCACACAGCCCACCCAGACACCCACAGACCCAGAACCAGAGAGAAAAGGCCGGAACCAAACCATGTCGTCGTCGTCATCGTCGTTTTCGTCCTCGTCCTCATCCTCGTCCTCGTCCTCGTCGTCCTCACGACAGCTGCTCAACATAGTCGTGGAGAGCAACCACATCGAGGGTGGCCAGGAAGCGGTGGAGCGGCCCATGCGCCAGAGCCAACTCCTGCGGGGTGAAGGTCTGGTGACCATGCAGGGGCGGGGGCGGCGGGGGCGGCGGGGGCGGCGGCTGCCACTGCTGCGGTGGCGGCGGAGGAGGCGGAGGGGGCGGAGGAGGGGGTGGAGGGGGTGGAGGGGGCGGAGGCGGAGAAGGGGGAGGCGAGGGAGGGCCTTCCTCTTCATCGGCCTCAGGCCCAACCTGCGGAAGATACCGCGTGCTCATGTTGTTGCCGGTGGAGTTCCGGACTTGGTGGTGTAGGATGGTGGGAGGTTGCCGAAAGGTCTTGTTGTTGGTGTTGTTGTTGGTGTTGAGGAAGGAGGGAAGAGACTTTTTAGAATTGTAAACAATTCTGTAACTGGGCAGAGTGATGTGGTTGCCAAAGAGCAGAAGAGGGATCCCAAAAGTCGCTTGTTTATATAGTCGGCGCCCCGAGGCCCCAGCTCCCGCACCAAGACGAGAGCGACGGTGACCTGTACTCGACGACGACCCCCTATTGAGACCTAACGAAGAGATAATATTGTTCAATGGCCATGTAGCAACCAGCTCAGGCAATTGCAAGCTTTTCCGGGGCGTGCAGCACCTCTATTGTCTACGTGAAGTACTGTTGACCATTTGGGTGACCGACTAGCGCCAGTTTTCTGCTAGGGTTCTGCGACTTCCATTGACCGCAAGGGTAGGTGGGGTATGGTGAGAGACCACCGAAGGTCATTGGTATTGTGGACGTAGCATCCCAAGAACGTATACTGATCAGTCCTGTCCGGGATATCTTTCACCGACAGCAGTCTTATGAACCTCTGACGGCGACCTACTAGGACAACGTCCAATTCCCGATTCTCCAACCTACGGCCTTCATCGTACCGAAGCCAGCACAAGGAAGCCACGATGGGTACAAGCCAAGGCGATAGGCGAGCAGGAGGGAGGCCAGGGGGATACGCGGTTCCTGACATACGTAGACGAAGGCGGCAGGACTAGCGAGGATGCCTTGAGTAAGCATGCAAGTAGGGCAGCAGCGGCAGGACGATGAGCCAGGGGGATACCATGAGCCCACGTAGGAGGCCCTTGAGACAATGACCAGCATGTATCTAGCATGTAGCAGCCGCAGGCAATCAGAGCGGTCAATTGCATGTCTTGAACACTTGGTGCTTCATCTCCACGCTTGACCTTCGTGCTTGACATCGTATGAGACGATCCCTGATGTCTATAGTGCAAGCTACTCAGGAGCGCGTTGCATACAATTTTACGTGTTCGAGAGCTGGACGCAGACATGCTGTCCCAATAGGCGCTGTTTGTACGTGGCCAAATCGCGGGAGTCTTCTTCTAGCCGCTCCGCAGAAGGCCAGTAGGCTTTGGAATGCAGGCCTTCTTTGGCTGTGCAAGGCGCGACTCACAGCTGTGCTTGGGCGCATGCTGGAACTTCGCCTCCTCGTGCATGATGACCCTCCCGTTACTCCATGCTTACCGCGTCTCCTCAGCGTTGATGAAGGGCGGGCTGCATCGTGGTGGGGCTGATATCGTGCTTCGTCTCGCTCCGCCGACCGCCGCCTCAGCTTCACCACACACACGACCACAACGCCATCATAGGAGTGCGGCTACTCGCCAAACCTTGACCAGAGCCTTGTCAAGCGCGAAAACCTCTACTGCAACGGCTTTCTCGAAAGGCATCATGCCCCGCGACAGCAGGCTCGTCCAAGATTCCTTCACGGCAACAACCCACGCATTTGCGCCACGAGCCCCTCGACCCTCAGACCAACGAGAGAGGCTTGCTACGAGCTTCTCCGACGTTAGAGCATCGTCCATAATAGGCAGAATCGCGCGACGTCTCTTTGAAGGCGAGGCTAGGATCCCCTCACCCCTAACGGAGAGCTCACTCCTGTGGTGACGGGCTCCTCCGCGGCGTTGAGAATGAGCTTAGAGACTTTTGCTGCCCCGAGACGGCGACTTGACACACCAAGTTTGAAGCCCATGCTGGAGATCCAAGAGCGACTGACAAAGGATACAGTGGTCTAGAGAAAACTTCGGGCACTCCCTGCGACCATTTCCAATCGCCGCCCTCCTCGCGCACAACCTCCCACGAAGCCGCAGACCGCCTCCGCCTCGACCAGTACCGCCAGTGTGTCCTGATCGCAAGGCAAACACAAGGCTTTGATGAGCTGCATACCGAATGCGAGAGCGGCAACGGGCCAGACAACAGCGAGATAGAAGGAGTACCTCTTGGATGAAGGACAGCTCGACGAAACGGCGGCGAAAGCTCCAAACGCGACAGATAGGCGACGAGCCACAGCGACATTCGAGCGGCATATCTGCTTCTCCCGCATGCACACTGCAGCCGGGGAATGCGATCAACGAATCGCGACCAGTTTGCTTGAATGGCGCCTGGTACACCATCGACTGCGAACAGCCTCAAGCTTGAGACGCCGAGCAGCACACAACGAGGGCACGCGCCTCAGGACGTTGGAGTAGGAGAACGCACACAAGACAGCGCGATCTGTCTCCCGTAAAGCTCGCACGACGAAACAAGGCTATCCTCTCTGCGCATCCTCAGCGATCGAGCATCCAGCCGACCGTGCTGAGAGTCTTCGGCAAGAGGCCAATGAGCCGCATAATCGACGCGACATTTGGAACGATGGATAGCCTCGAACGTGTTCATCATAAGACGAGACGGTCAAGATAGGCACGTTCGACGACAGGCATAGCGAAGCCGGCCATACTCTTGTCAGGTGATCAAGATCCGGCTTTCGGAAGCGATGTCTTGAGGCTGAATGTCCTCATGAGCTCGGAACGGCGATGGGCGTAGCATCGGGGTTGCGCATATCCATGGCTACGATACGTATGAGCATGCCGCAATGAGATACGAATAGTTTGCGCAGCGTTGCGCGGTTCGTAAGACGTCTTCCACGCCATGCGACGCCCTCACAACGGAAATCCGAAGGCCATGGCGCACAGCTCTCCACGTTGCATGCCGCGACAGTATTTCCCTAGCTCTTTCTATCGCCAGCGAGATAAACGATGATACACCGGTGTTACGGAACGATGGAAGATGAGTTGGCGAGCTTCTCGATGAAGTTTGCGAAGAAGGGGCGAAGACGTGCGGTCGGAAGTCCGGGAAGGATGACGCGCGGAAGCGAGTGTGGGTCGCCATCTTCCGCCCAGCCACCGTCGAGGTGCAGCCGCAGACCATCCCTTGCCATCCTCACGGGCGATCTGGCATCTCCAGAATGCTTCGCCACTATCGCCATCGACAATGAGTATGTTCTGTTATGGGCCAGAGCAGGCAAACGTCAGCAAACATCCGATGATGAAGAGGGGGGTTACATACCGCCGCGAGGGACGCAACACTCATTCGCTCACGACGCGATGCATAAGGCCCGCAGGCTAGCGAAGACATGTGGTTTATTGGAGATAGATTGGAGAACTTCATGCGCATTTGAACCTCAACTCGAAACCAAGACGTTGCCCATATCTCATCGCCAAATCCGTTTTCCCCAAGCCGCCACAAACTTCCAACACACCGCGCCGGGGGTTCCGACGACATCTCCCACCCTTTACCATTCATACACTGTGACCTTTCGCGTTCGGCCTCTTGCTATTTCCCAAAAGTCGGACTGGTAATGTGGCTCTTCGATCCATCTCTTCCGCGCGGTTGATTTGGGGTTGTCTCTAGCATGATCGCCGCTGACCATCGCGTTGTAGATGCGCTCTACGTTGCGGTTGCGATCGCGTTCAAGATGCGCTCCACGTTGCGGTTGCGATCGCGTTCGAACCAGCTCGATAGTCGGGTCAGTGGCAGGATCCCTCCCGGTTCTGATCGTTACATCTGGAATATCCTTCCGCTTGGAATACGCCTTAGGTGCGTTGACGAACATGCGGATCTGCCACGCCGAGCACATGACGTTCTCGCAGATGCACTTCTCTTGTGCGAGGGCGGTGACGATGTCCAGTCGGCCAGCACAACAGGAGTGCGACGAAGAGACTGGATAGCGCGCTGTGCGGCGTCGATGGAGTCGAACTCGATACGGAAGATGAGGCGCATCTCATCATGGACGGTGTCGACATGGACGACGTTGCGAACGTTACCGAACTCCCTGGCGATCAGCTCGACCTGCTTTTTGATGTCGTCCATGTCGACACCGTCCTCGTCGGATCCTTCTTTCTTCCACGGCCGGCCAGCCTCACAACATACAACTACTTGCGCTGACGTTTGTTTGCTGCGTTGTGAGGCTGGCCTTTTCGTTTCTTTTGGACACAGCGTTTGGAGCGGCGCCGCAGAGGTGCCATGCGAACCCAACACAGAACACTCCATACGGCGCTCAGTACCGAGCCCGACGGCAGTATTCTGCATCAGGTCGCAGGCGACCTGAGGCGCCAACCACCCACCGGGGGACCCGATGGGTGTGAAGGCGGCTTACACCGGCCGAAGCCTAGCAAAGTTAGCTCATGTCTTATCTGCGGTTTGGATAGGATGTTGTTTGGACGTACCGCTGCGGTGCCATGCTAGAATGTTCCGTGGATGGCATAGGCGCGAGCGATCCTCCCATAACGAACACATTCTTCCCACGAGTCTACGAAGGCGAACTCGAGGTTCTTCGGTCCAATGTGCTCGTTGTAGAAGTTGCTCAAGCGCTCTACGACACCCACGGATGGAACCGGCGTTGCGGACTTGGTCCCATGTGAGGGTTGCCACGGTCTCCGTCACCGCGCCGAATGATGTCAGCGTCTTACGATTTCCCACGAAGACCAAGGCTAGAAGCTTTTACGAACGAACAACTCTGCGCAACGAGTTCAATGCCGATGGTGGATAGGGCCCCGACCTCGCCCATACCCAGTCGCCCCCAACCGAATAACGTGGGACGTCCTTGATGATACTTGGCGTTCGTAACTTTGCACTCTTCATCGGACTATGCTTGTCAGTAGCTGGACGAGAGTATGCGAAAAGTGCTCACGAGTGGCTTCTTCCGCGCCTTGCGCTTCTTCTTGCCGGAGGGACTCTGATCTTCCAAGTCGGCAACAACAGCTGCACATGCGCGGCTCGCACCACAGCGGAGACAGGCGGTGTTCTTCGCGAAGTTGTGGTCCACCTGAATTGCCGGGAGGGGACGTAGGAGGGATGCTGAGACCGAAAGCCTGACCAACCTTGGACGCATTACCGTTGGGCTGGAAATGGTCTAGATCAGAGTCCTTGGTCTTGACATCGGCGTGGCCATCCTTGTTTTGAGCACGGTGGTAGCTGCCGTCTCTCTCTTTGCACGACCAGGGCGATGGTATCATTCCCCGTTCAGCCTGCGTATCAACCTCCATCCCGTATCCTACTCGTGTCCAAAGCTATACGTCGATCCTTGGCTTTGACAGGTGGTTACTCTGAATCGCTGTCAGGAATATCGCCACGGCCAGACTTCTTGAAGCGCGGCTTGTCCTCGGCAAGCAGAAGCACTTGATCGCGTTCGTCGTATCTCTGGCCGCCGAATTTCCAGGCCACAAACTTCTCTGCGTCCTACATGATGCAGGAAGCTTTCGCGGAGGTCATCAGGGCAGCTGCATGGCGTGTTGTCGGTGCGCCAACCCCATTAGGGGAAGGCGACTTACTGCTTGCAGGTCCAGAATGCAATTGGACGTCCGCCAAATTGAGTGAACCAGCTCTCTAGTTCTGATTGGGTAGTGTCGTGGGGGAGGCCGCTCATGTGCAGAACCTTGCTTCGCTCTGACAAGAAAGCGCGAACGTCGGCGCGAGCGTCCATCGGCTTGGTCAAGACGTCGGGGTGGTCTTGTGGTATCCACAGCCATTCTCTCCGCACTTCCAGTCTCCAGCCCTAAAGGGCACAGCGCCGGTGCCACCGCGCATATGTCCACCACCCATTCCGTGGCCGTGGCCATGACCCATGTGGTGTTGAGGGGGGCCCAGCCCTAAAGGGTACAGCGCCGGTGCCTCCACGCATGTGTCCGCCACCCATGCCGTGGTTGTTTCCGGTATGGCGACTCGCCACCTCGAGTTCTCTTCTGGTATCGAACTTCTTGATGGGGTGTTCTCGTGTTGACGGGCTTCACGAGGACCGACTCGCGATGCAGCTGTCGTTGAGTTAGCGCTTGAGGTCGGCATTGGATCGGACAGACGTACCTCCTCGCACGACTTTGCCGTTGAAGTTGCCCTCCTCGTCCTTGTACATGTTGATTCGAGGCTGAGGAGGGCAACTTGTCTGCTCAGAAACATCACAAAGAGGTTCGGCATGGCTTTCTTGTTCGGCTGCATCATGTTAGCGAGTGATCTAGAAGCTTGAGACGGTACTAACCTCGGGCTCCTTCTCGGCCTTTCGCTTCTTGCCAGCTTGCGGCTCTGGCGGTGCAGTCGGATTCTGAACCCGTACTTGCTCTACATAACCTGTTAGCATTGAGTGGACTAATGGCGAACGAGGGGTCAGCATACCAGCGCCATGCTGAAGGATGGGGTATATCGAAACAGCGCCATATTGTCGCACTCAACACTTGCGAACGGCCAGGGGAGCTTGACATTTGCGTGCGGTGCCTGGTGCAGCTGCCCTCTCCGTGCGACGTCAAAGAATTGGTGGTAGATGTCCATGCGGTCGTTCTCGGGCTCGTCGCACGGGTACATGTAGAGGCCTCTCCGGAAGCCATGATACCAGCGGCCGTTTTCCATGTAGTTGCGGGTTTGGTTCGTTCTGACTGGCAGTGCTCCATGGCCCAGTAGAGGGGATCGTTGGGGTCGAAGTCGCTCACGCCCTGGAGGTTGAGAGATTCGGGCCATGCATGTTGACGGTGATGTCTTCAAGGTGGGCTGCGGGTACGCTTCGTTCTTGCTCAGGCGCGGGACCACATGCACCGCACCCCGAAGACATCACCGTTCTTGCTGAGGTCCACGATGCGGGCATGCTTCTCCCTGAGCTGGGTTAGTAAGTTCTAGTGCGGAGATTGCTAACAGAGCACATACCTTGAGCGGCGCCCGACATGATGTCTTGGAGGTGAAGTCGAAGTAGTTCTCTTCGTAGAATACCTCCAGGGCAACGGCCTGGAATTGACGAGAGACGAACTACTCCGACTCCACCTCATAGCGAAGCGTGTGGCGTTGATGAGCCGCCCATTCATGCAGAGCGATTCCGCAGCCTTTTCAATATTAGCAAAAGCGGGTAGATTACTAATGCGGTACATACCTCTTCATGGGACGAGAAGATGGCAAACCCAGTTCCGGTGGGCTTGTGCTGGTCAGGAGTGCGGAGGGACCTGCCCGAAGGCGAGACTGAATAGTATGTTAGTATGCAAGAGATGGAGCAAGGTTATAAAAGAGAGGTCAAAAGAGTACTGGAGGGGAGAGAGCAAGACGTTGCCAAAGGCGGTGTTGAAGGCGCCTCGCAGCGACTTAGGGCAGGATGGGTATATCTCGCGATCCACAGTACAGAGCGCGAAGAGAGTACAGTGCTCAAGCAGGTAAGGAGTGTGAGTATGACTTACCAGGCACGCCACCATCGACGATGTAGCGCACAAGCGTGCATGAGTGCACGTATTAGGCTCGAAAAAGCCTTGCGTTCGCCCGCCGGCGCTGATGAGATTGTTAGAGAGTGCACGAAGAGACTTAGAGCGGAGTAGAGGATTGACTTACGTATCGTGGGGCAGACCGCTCATGTGGAGCACTTTGCTGCGCTCCGACAAGAAGCCACAAGGGCGCTGTCGAGCTCAAAAGTTTGCATATAGCTGTGGTGGTGGTGGGTGATTGAAGAGTTGGAGGGGGAGGTCGGTGGATGAGCTTATATGGCAGCCCTGGCCAGGCCGCCAGGCTCGCAGCTAAGGCTCGCGGCCTCACGCTCACCATCACTTGGCATCAATGGATGTTCCAGATGCCCCTGACGTCGTATCGACACCAGGAAAGTTGGAGGAGCTTGCGACGGGCTTCACGGTGCTTGTCGTACTGCCCTTCGGGCTCTGGGGAGGAGGGGTGTTAAGGTATAGACAGGCTTGAGGGGAGACTCAATAACCTGGACCCTGAGCTTTCAGATAGCACTAGGGGTGAAGCAGAGGAGCAGTTGCGACCGTGCGCGGTGGCGGAGGCTCACCCCAAGAGCGTAAATGTGGGAGTGCAACTCCACCACGTCGAGAAAGAAACACCAGAAAAGTTTGAGGAGGATATCGTGAGCTCTGCGCTGCTTTTGGCACTCCCCAGATTTTTTTTGGTCTGGTGGTGGTGAAGATACAGCGTGGAGGGGGTGGGTTGCCCGAGAGTCCTCCGCAAAAACCAGCTGAGGTAGCAGAGGAACACCAAACTTTTCGCTGGGAGCTTCACGTGGGGGAGCTGGCAGGCTCATGCAACACGGTAGCAGATGTCTATGAGGGTCGAGGGAGCACAGCAGCGAAGCCCTGAACCGTATCTTTCTCCTGACAGTTTTTTGGACAGAATTGACAAAGTGGTTGTGGAACCGCAGCTCGGACACGGAGAGACCCTCGAGACTTGGGGGCAAATCACTGCCTTGCGGCTTTGAGAACATCGAGTTGGCCGCGGAGGTGGCGGGCGGTGCAACACCAAGACCACAGCGCCGGCCTGCGGCGTCACGCCCATGAGCAGCTACCGAACATCGAACGCCCCCGGACTTGCCTACACCAATACCTATACCTTCCGTCTTTCCTGGTCCAGATTCCTTACGCTACCATAAAGCTACTGCCTCGAGAACGCGAACAGCCTACGACGATTCACCGCAAACCCAGCCCACCGAAGAGCCCGAACCCGCAATCGACAGTAGAGCTCCATATTAGAGACATCCAGGGATGCATATTCGAGGCCTTGCAGCATGTCAATGCCACCTCATCTTGTAGGACACATGTCAGCGGCTGAGGGTCCAGGGTCCTGTACAGACAGACATGAGGACGGCGGACGGCTTTGGGTTTACGAAGAGGACCATACCAAGATGACCAGGGCACTACAATGTGGAGCTGAGACACCATGCGGCTTTCGCAGGCCAGAGTTCACGAAGACAGACCGTAGAAGCTTTAGCATGTATCATACATGAATGGATCAAAACGTCTACGTAGATGTCATACAAGCACGAACAGGATCAGCGAATTGCAATGTATGCGTCAAGGGTACTGCAGGGCTATGCATAATCCCACAAAGATCAAGTATCGAGTTGGCGAATGCATTCCTTACAAGGTTGTTGACGAGGGTAGCAAGGAGGACACAATCTGAGTCTGATGAGCAAAAGATGGATGCCATCACCGCCAGGGTTATACATGGGGATGCTGGAGGTGTCAGGCAAGGCCAATATGTTCAACAGAGGCGACATGACCTTGAGGATGTCATGGTTGCGGTCACTGAAATCCTTTGTCTACGACAGGCTCCCTCGTGATCGGTGCAAGACACTTGACATGAACCAATGTGGTATTATCTACTGAGTGAGGTCATCATCATACAGATGCATTCATTATGGTATCTTAACACAACTACATATCCTCGCATCATCCGTACATGGTCAGGAAGACACGCGAGCCAGCCACCTGCCTACTCAAACTCAACTCCTTCCATCGCATCCTCCTCGGGCATCGCCCACAACTCCCTCTCCAACCAGTTCCTCACCAGAGAAGTCCCCACCGTCCCATCCTTCCAGTTCACCCTCCTCCAGCCCACCGGCGTCCCATCAAGGCCAACCGGCCACTTCTCCCAAACCTCCTCCAAGTCTTCACCATCTACACTATACGTCCACCAGCCTCTCGCAGCAGCCCGATGACTTCCAGCCGCCTCCTCCTTCACCTGCTGCGTCTGACCATATAAGGATGTATACATCCAGTCTCCGCCCGGAGGGTGTCCAGCGGGAGGGCCACGGGTGTCGCGGAGGGCGCTCAGACGCGCGATCTCGTCGTGGTAGAGACGCTTCAGAACGTGTTCGTTCTGAAGGGGGGTCAGGTGGGGGAGTGGGAGCGGCTTTTCGAGGTGGCCGATCCAGAGAGGGCAGTCTGATGCCTTCTCGAACGTGAGGGTCGAGATGGCGTCGGTGATCTTGGCCTTGACCTGGCTCATGTTAGTAATGATGGTATATGTGATCGGATGGACGGACTTACTTCTTCCTCGACCACCTCAGGAGCGGGAGTCGACGTAGGACCACGAGGAGTCTTTCTGCCACCGACAGTGCCGTCTTCCCGAATACGACCCGAGTCGGGGTCGTCGATGTCGCTCTCAGAGGGACTCAAGACGCTGTCAGAGTCGGAATCTGACTTGTCGCCGTAGCCCAGAAAGGCCCTGTTTAGATGACGTCTAGTCCAGACAGGGTCGCCGCCAGCGGACAAGATGCCCTGGCGACGACGTTGTCCGTCGAGAACCCACTGCTGCTTCTTTGCCTCAGTCGCAGCCGCCTGCTCGAGCTTTTCTTGCTCTATCTTGGCTTCGCGCTCGAGGAGGAGATTCAACAAGGCCCGTTCAACCGATGTCTCCCTGTTCTCCAGGCGAGCGGCGACGAGACGGTTGAATTCATCTAGTTCGCGCGTCTGCGGTGACTTCTGCGCTTCCTTGATGACTTGGCTGGTCTCAAGAGGGGTTGAAGTTAGCGGTTGCTTATCCTTGAATTGGAGTAATGGTAACTTACGAAACCGACGGGAATAGGCGTCTCCTCAGGCAGCGAAGAGTACGCGAGTGCATGGCGACGGGCTGGTGTGTTCTTGTCCTGGACAAGCTTTGCGTAGTAGGCCGCGATGTCGCGTTTGGCTTCGCCGATGGAGTTGGGCGCCCTGCGCGCTTCGCGCTTGGTGCGAGCCATTGTGAATGAATGGAGAGGGTGTATAGAGAGTGGTATAATTTTAAGAAGGAGGGGTATAAAGAATTGAGATAGAGTTGTGTTGGTGGGGTGGGAATATCGGTGGTGTGTGGGCGATGAGGGAGTTTGTGCGTTTGTCGAGAAGGCCTTTCATTTTGGCGAACGCAAGGCCTCCTAGTTTTTCCGTCGTCTGGTGTTTTGCTTTGGCTTTCACACGACCACCGCCGGAGGGGAATCTAGCGTATGGGCTTTCGCATCGAGTGGTCGCGCTCAGTCTCTGCTATCAGGTCAGTGGGCTGCACAACGGCGACGAGGATACATAAGAAGACTTACTACTGATGGAGCAGCCCATGAGTTACCTACCTTGTTATATGTAGGAAGGCCTCCCTGCGGTATAAGTAGTAGAGAGACAGTGTTTGTAAAACATGCTCGCATCCACGAGACCGCCGGTCTGTTTGCCATCTTCTATCAGGCGTGGTAGAGCATGTGAGCCCAGACAATGGAATGACGTTTGCCAGGCTGACGTGATCACTCAAACTGACGCACAAGGTGAGATAAACGGTAGACAAACAGAATAGCATATGCATAGAGACATCAGGGGTATTATACAAGCGCTCATGGCGACATAAGAAATCCAACAACTCCGCGCTTCACATCATTTAACATCGTGATAAAAGGAAATGAGAACCAGCCAGACCCGCCGTATCTATGGTCGTTCCAAAGGGTGGCGCATTGGGTCGATCTAGACATGGTCGTGTCTTCCGAGCAGCTTGCCCTTCTTGCCGAGAGCCTTGGCCTCGCCCTGCTTGATCTTCGCAAGTCTCGCCCTGTATACTCATCAGTAACCACACAACATCGTACCCATTGCCCACGGTAGTACTTACTCCTCAGCAGCCTCACGCTCCAAACGATGAACATGCTCCCGCGCCTCCCTCACAGCGTTCTTGGCAACAAAGAGCGCACGGTCAGCGTCCCTCTCCGCAGCCTCAGCAGTCATCAAACTCTGCTTCGCGGTCGCAATGCTAGGGTCTCCGGAGCCACGGCTGAACATGCCGGATGTACGCTTAGGGGACGAGGTGTATGTCGTGGTGGTGCGGCTGGTGGAGCTGCTATGGCGCGAATCCCTGTACGAAGGGGAAGAAGAGCGGCGCCGAGAGAATATGGAGTGTTTCTGAGGAGGTGCAGGAGGGGGGCTGGGCTCCCGCTTGGATCCGAAGAGAGGCATGCTGTTCTTTTGGTATAGGAGTTATGAGAAGTTACAAGATAATCGACAGGATATCTGGACTGCGAGATGCGTGCTTGGCTAGACGTTGGAGATGATGAAATCTGGAGATTTAGAGTTGAAGATTCGGAAAGCACATGCCGGGTCTTATATGTGAAGTCCTCCCTGTCATAGCGCTCCTTCGTCGTGTCTTCCCAGCTGTCTGTCAAAGTCGCGAAAGCAGGGTTCGGGAACCTGCATTGCGTGACGTCAATGCCCCAAAGCAGGGGGTGATCTGCGCCTCCAACATCACAGAAAGCAGCCGCATCGTCATCGCTAATCTACGAGATGAATTGGGGACCAGAAAAAACGGTCATCGCGAAACGGTCATCGCGATATTGTGAATTGATGCTTAGCGTGGTGTTGAAGTTTGTTGTGGGTCTGTGAGTACGCGTCCTGCGCCGGATCTGGTGCCGGAGGCACTTGGTGTACCGGATTTGAGGAAAGCTAGTGAGCTTAAGGAGACTCCAACTTCAAGAAATTTGGTGCCGATTGAGCCGAGGAAGACGACTATAGTCTTCGTCAAGCCTTATTTTTGGCGATGCGACAATGCATGTGCTTGTTGGCAGCAAGTGATAACAATGTACCTAGGTATTCCAAGATTCTGTCTAACAAGGTCGGTGACCCCCACCGGCCTTCAGCGCCATGCACATGCAACGTGTATACCAAAACGCCACCCAATGCTCGCTATATATATGATACAATATAGATCAACTACATTTAGCCCCTTCACTGTTACCCATCATCGTTTTGCTCGTCGTCTTGATGATGCTGATGACCATAACGATACCTCCAAATGCCGCAACAGCCCCAGCCAAGTACGTCTTCCAGCTTCTTTGGCTCAGCTTCATGTAGCAAAGAGGCGGCAGGATGAAGGCTAATGCGCATGCAGATGTTGCGCCGAACAACTCGAACACTATACCGAGATCGCAGGTGAGGAGGGAGAGAGTGAGGGCGGAGACGACGAGCGAGGTCGTGAAGATAAGATGGCGGTTCGGGTGGTACGGCTCGTCGGGGAACCAATAGTTGGTCATGACTTCTCGACATACAAAGGCTTCGAGCGGAAGCGTAGTAAGCATGTTGAGGCCGAAACACAGTCGCGCAATATTGACCATGAGGTTATCATTCGGGAAGTTATTCAGCACGTTGCCGAGGGTTTTGTCTCCGAAGGTCAAGTAGCCTGTTAGAGCCATGACAAGACATGCGACTAAAGATATACTGGTGCTGTAGTGTGTAACACGTGTAAATCGATCGATCGTAGGTTTGCGGAGGGAGCCGTAGATGAGGAGGCTGTTGTGGTGGCAGACGAAGGCGAAAGCAATTACGCCAATTGCTTCGAAGATGCCAGGGCGGATGATGAGGTTGCCGCGGAGTTGGCCCTTCAGTTCGGCGGGTACGCGGAAAGCTTGCGTGACTACGGTCACTATGATGATGGTCATACTGACCAGTGCCAGGCCGCTGGCTTTGGCAAGCTACATACTGTTAGCCTGATCATAATGTGGACCATGGAGCATACCTTCGATATATCCCGGTATAGCGAGAGGGGAAAGGATATGCCAAGAATGAGCAGGATCATGATGGCCCGTCGGTTAGTTAATAGCCAGAGAAACGGCATATCTGCCAAAGCGGGAAACATCGAATCCAAGACCCTTGGTATTGTATCTCCGACTACGACGCAGAACGCGACCATGCCACCAAAAGCGCTGTATGTTGTCAATACCCTCGCTTCCACATGTCGTAAGGTGAACATACAAGAGCCATTGCGCGAGGGATATCGCTATCAACCCTGATTTGCCGAAACAGTGTTGCACCGTGGCTTGAAACGAGTCGGTGCCGCTGAGCTTGGAATTTATGACGATGAGTCGTATGGTCCAGTCTACCACGATGGTGAGGCCGATGAGGAGGGCGGTGCCTGTCACGAGGCCTGCGTTGCGAACAGCGTATGGTTGCCCGATGATACCAGCTCCTCTGCTTCTTGTCAGCTCCCTTCCATATATTCGTATTCGACGGCATACATTATACTGTTTGCCATGTTCATGAACGCGCTCCGCATTCCGCTCCGTGGTCGCGCATTCTCGAGATGGTCTTCCGGGTTGAAGGATTCTTCGGCGACTGTGACACTCGGCGCCTCGATTCCAGTAAGTAGAGGAAGTCGCTGCGTTCTTTCTCGCCCATCGCCGCCATCCAAGTAGTCGTCCCCATCCAGCTCGAGCCAGTCGCCGCCATTGTTGTCTCCATTCATGCTCCTCCTGGGTTCCTCGAAGCGCACCCGATTGGGCGTTCTCGGTGCGCCATCAGGCCGAGCTTGTGCGAACGACGACTGCCGCTTAATGTTGCCATTCGGGCGTGACCCGGGTGGTGCTGGAGACACGGAGGTGGTTCGCGATGACGAGGGCGATGGAGACAGGTGTCGCGGACTTGCTTTGCGCTCGTGTTCGGGTTCTGAGTCGCTGTCGGAAGGATGCTCATGCAGGAGCTTCTGGCTTTCGCTCATCGTGGCATTGTCGATGTTCAGGGAGGTTTGCAGCTTGAATGATCGTCGACATGTCACTCCCGACTTCTGACATCGGACATTGGACCCCTGTTTCGCCACTAGGTCGTATGTGGCCTAGTGCTCATCGTCACTTCCGGCGAGAATTGTGGGGTGGATTTGGCTGAGCAATAGAACATCCTCCTTGTACGTGTTCGATCATTCGCATTGCACTACATATGCTACCTATGTTTGAGTTCGCTCAAGCTCAAGCCTTGGATTGAACCCGATACATCTGTTGTAAGATGCTCCAATTCTGCTTGCAGGTTACATGGATGGTAGTCGTAACCTATGGAAGGCATCCATTGCGCCGAATCCATATTCTGCAACTGGTCGCAAAGTACGCTGAAGCTCAGATCTCGGAACGGGATCTCAGGTCGAGGCTGATCAAGACCCATACAACTTAATCCCTTCATCAAACTTCCGAGAAGAAAAGCGCCACACGAGAAAGAGATATTAGGATCCCCATTGTACCGGCATTGATAATTTGTCGCTCGATACATCTCAAGACGCTTGTAGAGGCCCTGAAGAAGAGACTCGATTGCCAGGTATCGCCTGGAGTCGATCTCATCTGCTGTGCGTAAGAACATGTCTGGCTGTAGCGATTTGTAAATCCACGTACCTGATACTATCGCAGGAATGGGGAGATCCAATGTCCTGAAGGACTGAGTGATCTGCTTAATGGATGTTGCCGTGGCTTTCGTGAACTGTTGTTCAATACCAAACACCCATGCAACCCAGATCCACAAAACCAGATCTCTACCGTGCATTTGGGGTATAGGTCTCTGTGTAAGCTCCCGGATCCACACCTCAGTGAACACATCGAGAGCCTCTCCGAAGTTGTAGTAGTCCTCTAGCACAGCAATTTTGGCAAGCATCTCCAAGGACACTTCTCGTGGAATCAGCTTATTGCGACCGTGAACAATACGCAGAACAATGAGGAAGGCTTCGGCATCCCAGTCGTGAGCCGTGATGTGGTAAAGTCCATCGGCTTCGTTGCGAACAGACTCGGCGAACCCGTCTCGTGCTAACATTCGCTTGAATGCAGCCGATGCAAGTATCAGGTGGCGTGATGACACATGGTAATGAATCGACTCCTCCTCAGGCTCTTCCGGTAAGATCGGTGACGGCATACGCTGCACAGCAGAGGAAGGTTCTGCAAGCGCGGTGGACCCTCCATCCAAGTTAAACATGCTGCTGTCTGCAGGAGTCTCGACAAGTGCAGGTTCCTGATGAAGTGGAGACGTGGATGGTTGTGGGTGCTCATCACTGTACTGAGTTAGGACAAACTTGTTGTGCTTGATCGGTGGTCTCTCTTGACATACCCCAACTTCTTCCCTTTCTTCTTCTTCATCTTCTTGTAATATACACGCACTGGTCCTCCGCACATGGCTTGCTTTGGACTTGCTTCTTCCGGATCGCAAGGCGCAAAGATTGTACACGGATTTTTGAGCACTATGACGGTATCCGGATCCGGGTCGATGATGTGAACGATGGGTGCCATGATTGGTGTGCAAGGGTATGCAACGAGGTCAGAGAAAGTGTACCCACCGCACAAGACAGCGGCCTTGCGAGCTAGATATCACGCGGAATGCTTGAGAAAGAAGATGTTCAGCCTTCGGTCGGGAACCAAAGTAGGCTGAGACCTACATGTCGCTTCTGTACAATACGCGCTCATTACATTGACAAGTGCATAATGTCCAATAGTACATGCAGAATCAGCTATCAGTGCGGAGTCGTGCAGCGATCTATTTGCTGTCAGCGCCAAACCCCGGAAAAGACGTATCATTGGAGGCTCGCGTTACACAACGCCACTGAGCTGCATCGCCAATACATGTAGGATAAGACATGTATGCAGAAGCCGGAATACGAAGCGAGGAATGATTGGATAAGATCACATGGCACTGCGAGCGCGCAACCCGCAAAGTCGTAGTTTCGTGGTTTGAGATTCTGGGGAAGTGCATGGAGAGATACCAGTTTGGCGGCTAGCGATGAGATGCGCAACTGCCATTGGCAGAGATCATAACCATATCCTCCTTCCTATACCTCCTCCCGCAGCACACTCCTACAACGCCTTCCTAACCGCACTCTTAAACGGAATAATTTGCATATCCTCCAAATTCCACACCCCCTCCTTAACATAAACGTCCTGCTTCAACCTCTCCACAACCTCCTCCCTCGTCTTAGCACCAATAAGACACGCCGAGCCCTTCATCTTAGGTGGGCCTGTATCGCCTTCTTTGATGGGTTCCTCGAGCATCGCTCCTGCAAACACATGGCATTAGCTTTATCCTCTCACGTGCAAGGGAGGGAAGTAAACATACCACCCCACAACCACATATCCTCCCTATCCGCCTTCAACCCCTCGAGATGTTTCGGACGAGCCGCAATCCGTTTCTGCAGCGCATCCTTGTGATCAGGCACGATGATGAGCCATTCTTGTAGTGGAGCGTTGGTAGACGAGGCCATTGTGCGGTGATGGAACAGCGGTGCGTATCTCGATGATGTTGTTGCGAGCGTAGATGCGATGACGGGACGCAAGGTGCGGAGGGCAAACATATGTATGTGTCGTAGCAAGTAGGTGGGCGTGTGGGGCTGCGGCTGTGAGAGCTTGAGCTTGGGGAGAGCTACGAGAAGGTGCGCGTGTTAGCTTCTTGGTAGAGGGAATTGAGTGGAGAATGATGCGTACGGTATGCAGTACTTCAAAATGTGGTTTATAGAGGTACGCCGAGTAGTATGTACTTCCAAGGGCGCGTGTTGGTTGTAGTGTTGTAGGGCGCAATGTGGGGAAGATGTAGCTTCCTGTTCGGAATTAAGCCGCGGCTTTCGGAACGTGTCACGCTAATGCTGGAGCGTGGGGAGATCGACGACATCACGGTGTGGGCGAAACTCAATTGCTGCGGAAAAATCGTGTTCCAAAGAACGTTTGTGTTTGCTACAAACATTATGACTTGACAGTAAACACATCCAACTCATGAGCTCATACCTCCTTGCGTTAATCCAAGCGTACCTACGCGTAAAGACCACCAACGCCGAAAACAATCGGAAAGACCATATGCGTAAGAGCGCTGCTCTTACCTAAACCCGCCCTATAGATGTACATTGCAGTGCTTAACCACTGCACATGACGCAGGACTCAGGGTTCTCTATCGAGCAAGCAAGGGCGGCTTCAGCATAGATGTCACCATCCCGGTCCTCGCTGTCATCCTTGGAGTCCTCTTCTTGTTTGTCCTTCCTGGTGATCTCCTCGTCCGGCTTGACGGCTGCATCAGCAGCTACCATCTTTGGGCTCGCGCCCTCCTCCACATCGGCCTTGAAAGGCTTGCTTGCGAGAGCGTTGCGGGTCTCCGTGACAGGCGTTGGAGTAGCATCTGCGGTAGCATCTGGGGTGGGAACACCGTTTTCCTCCTCCTTCTTCTCCTCGCCGTTGGTAGGCTTGGTGGCATACATTGGACGAGGTGCCGAAGATGGGGTTTGCGAAGCAGTGACAGGTGAGTGTCGAATAGCCTCAGGCTGGAAGCCCGGTTGCTTTCGTACCTTGGGCAGAGCACGAGCAACGTTGGTGTCTACGACGTTGAGGGCCTCTTGGTCGACAGTGAACTGGATAGGTGCTGAAGCAGCCATGGTACGGAGGTAGTACATGCCAGTCTTGAGACCAGCCTTCCAGCCAGCAAAGTGCATGGAAGTGATCTTACCCATGGTAGGCTCCTTCATGTGGATGTTGAGAGATTGGGACTGGTCAATGAATGCACCACGGTCAGCAGCCATCTCAATGATCCTCTTCTGCGAGATCTCCCACACGGTCTTGTAGAGCGTCTTGGTCTCCTCGGGGATGTTGGGAATCCTGGCAATTGAACCGCCATCAGCGATGATACGGTTCTTCATGTTCTCAGACCAGAGGCCCATGTCGACGAGATCCTTGAGCAACCATGGGTTGACGACCTGGAACTCACCCGCGAGCACACGGCGAGAGTAGATGTTGGATGTGTATGGCTCGAAGCACTCGTTATTGCCCAGAATCTGTGATGTAGACGCAGTTGGCATAGGCGCAATGAGCAAGGAGTTGCGTACACCGTGCTCAGCGATCTTTGCCTTCAAGGCAGCCCAGTCCCAAAGGTCCGTAGGTTCGACACCCCACATGTCATACTGCAGTTGACCCTGAGAGACGGGAGATCCCGGGTAGGTCTCGTAGGGACCAAGTTCCTTTGCAATATCGCATGAGGAAGTGAGAGCAGCGTGGTAGATGGTCTCGAAGATCTGAATGTTGAGTTTCCTCGCTTCATTGGACTCGAAAGGCATGCGGAGGGCAAGGAAGGCATCAGCGAGACCCTGGACACCCATACCGATGGGTCGGTGGCGGAAGTTGCTGCGGCGTGCCTCTTCGACTGGGTAGTGGTTGACCTCGATGATCTTGTTCAGGTTGCGGGTGACGACCTGTGTGACTTCGTGGAGCTTCTTGAAGTCAAACTCGCCACGCTTGTAGTCGACGAAGGAAGGCAGGGCAAGAGAAGCCAAGTTGCAGACGGCAACCTCATCAGGAGCAGTGTACTCGACGATTTCGGTGCACAGGTTGGAGCTGCGGATGGTACCGAGGTTCTTCTGGTTGCTCTTGCGGTTGCAAGCATCCTTGTAAAGCATGAAGGGGTTACCAGTCTCGGTCTGAGCCTCAAGGATGGCGTACCAGAGCTTCTGGGCGCGGACAGTCTCGCGGCCCTTGTTCTGCTTCTCGTAGCTCTCGTAAAGAGCCTCGAATTCATCACCATAGACATCAGCAAGACCGGGGCACTCGTTGGGGCACATGAGTGTCCAGTTTCCATTGTCTTGGACACGCTTCATGAACAGGTCGGGAATCCACAGAGCGTAGAAAAGGTCACGAGCACGAACCTCCTCTTTGCCGTGGTTCTTGCGCAGGTCGAGGAAGCCGAAGACGTCGGCGTGCCATGGCTCGAGGTAGATGGCGAAAGCACCAGGACGCTTATTGCCACCCTGGTCGACATAGCGAGCAGTGTTGTTGTAAACACGGAGCATAGGGATGAGACCGTTGGATGTTCCGTTGGTGCCACCAATGTATGAGCCAGTAGCACGAATGCGGTGGACGTTGAGACCAATACCGCCGGCAGTCTTGGAGATCAACGCACATGTCTTCAGTGTGTCGTAGATACCGTCAATGCTGTCCTCTTTCATGTCGATGAGGAAGCATGACGACATTTGTGGCGATGGTGTACCCGCGTTGAACAGTGTGGGCGAGGCGTGTGTGAAGTACTTTTGAGACATGTAGTCGTAGGTCTCGATGGCCTTCTCAATGTCGGCTCCATGAATACCGACAGCGACACGCATAAGCATGTGTTGTGGGCGCTCGGCGACCTTGCCGTTGATGCGGAGGAGATATGAGCGCTCAAGCGTCTTGAAGCCGAAGAACTGGTAGTTGAAGTCGCGGTCGTAGACTATAGCCGAGTTGAGCTCGTCGGCGTTGTCCATGATGATCTTGTAGATGTAATCAGAGATCATGGGTTGGCGGGTGTTGTTCTTGGGGTTGACATAGTTGTACAGCTCTTCTACAACTACAGAGAATTGCTTTTGTGTCTGCTTGTGAAGATTTGATACGGCGATACGCGCAGCGAGGATGGCGTAGTCGGGATGTGTGGTGGTCATGTATGCTGCTGTCTCGGCAGCCTGTCGTCTGTTAGCCACTGGAAAGACATTGAACTCATCGAAAGCCGTACCAAGTCGTCTAGCTGGACGGTGTTGACACCCTGGTAGACACCAGAGATGACCTTCATGGTGATGGCGGCAGGGTCAACATGGTCTGGGTCGAGGCCGTAACACAGCCTTGAGACTCGTGCTGTGATCTTGTCGAACTGCACGCGTTCCTTGCGTCCATCTGAAGTCAATCGTTAGTGGTGAAGATTTGAGGCGGTGAAGGCAAAGCAGTACATACCACGCTTGAGGACGAACATGTTGAATTAGAAAAGTAGTGGGGGTATCTGTATGGGTATCGTGAAGAGGGTGTATTGAGGAGAGTGCAGGAGTGAGGGGTGGGTGGACGCAGGGACACTTATAACGCGTAAAGAGAAGAAACGCGTCCCGTCGCGTTGCTTGGGTCACGGATCCGTTTAGTGCTAAAGTGGCTGCTTGCATAAGCAGAGCAGGCATGGCAGGGATGTGGAGTCGGGGAAGCGACCGCCGATGCCCGAACTTTTCGCGGGCGACAGTATCGCGGCGTGCAAGAGGCTGAGGTAGTGCAGCAACATCAAGACCCTCCACGCCCTTCCCGGCCTATACAGTACCAATTGCCCGTCATGGCAGGCGGTCACATGAAATATCGCCACCTCAGTCGGTCGTCGTCGCATCGTCAAGCGCTCCTGCGGAACCTCGTCACATCGCTCTTCAAGCACGAAACCATAGCGACAACATGGCACAAAGCGAAGGAGGCACAGCGGTTAGCGGAGAAGCTGATTACCCTCGGCAAGAAGAACACCGAGGCGACGCGGCGGAGAGCAACACAGATCTTCTATGTACGAACCCCAATGGCGTATCCAAGAGCGCGTATTGATAATATTAGGAACCAAATGAAATGGTACCCAAGCTATTCGGCCCCATAAGAGAGCGCTACGAATCAAGACCCGGTGGCTACACTCGAGTCCTCCGCGTCGAGCCCATGAAAGAAGACCAAGCCGAATCCGCCATCCTCGAACTCGTAGACGGACCACGAGACATGCGCTTCGCCATGACCGCAAAGACACTAGCAAGGAGACCAGCAAACTTAGGCCTGACACCAGGAATCACAACGCACGTCAAGAAGGTCACACAATTCCGCAAGGACGGCGTAGATGGCTTGCGGGATATGGTTGAGAGGTTACGGATACTACACTCCACAGGTCTGGACAAGAGGACATTGCCCGCGCCTAAGAAGGTGTACCCAGAGATTGAGATGAAGAAGACAATGCATTACCCTGAGGAGGTGGATATGGGCAAGGCCCCGAATAAGGTCGTTGGACCAGCAAAGCAGAAGTACATGATAGAAAGGAGCCGAAGGTTACAGCAAGAGAAGGAGGAGCGCACAAGGGCGCATAAGGAGAAGATGGAGAAGATGAAGAAGACAAAGGCGTGAGATGTCACTTTGAAAGCGAGGGCGCCGTCTCGCGAAGCCTCTGTAGCAAATGTGTAAATGTACAACAGACGTTCAATACCACTTCCACCCGGATTGATCAAGCAACTTTGGAGCAAGCTTTGTGACGCAGCAGACGTGTTTAAAACAGTGTCAGTGATCAGAAGTCCCTTCGGAAACTCAGTGCAACTGCCTCACCCCGTTTGTAATTTGCTCGTATACGCGCTCGAGATGTCGAGGTGACCCAGATCGCGAAGTCTGATATGTCGTAGTGAAGGATCCCCTCACTGGGCTTAACGCCGCAGTGACCACGACATCAACTCCATGATGACGCTACCTAGGTGTATATAAAGCCGACTTTCGCGCGCTTGTCTGCCCCCTCTCTCCTTTATCCACTATATATCAACTTCTCAGTAGCAATATGTCGGCCAACGACCAGCAACAGCAATCCCAGACTCAACCTCGCATATCGTAAGTGCTTTTACCCGAATCCCATTACTACCCAAGATACTAACGATGGCAGAGCACCCAACACCGCCATGGCTGAGATCGTTGTTGGACCCAAGGCAAAACGCTTCACTGTGCAGCTCAATCGCATCGTCTACTACTCGCCCTTCTTCCTCGCTGCCCTAACAGGACCCTTCAAAGAAGCCAAAGACAAAGTCGTCACCCTGCCTGACACTGAAGCGAAGGTCTTCGAGCTCTTCGTTTACTGGCTGTATCATCAACGGTTTCCTACGCAGGGAGACTCTCCCCAACTACTCGCGCTCTACCACCGCGACGACTACCCATACTTTCAATCCGCTAGGCTGATGAAACTCTACGTGTTCTCTGACAAGTACAATGTCCCTAAGCTGAAGCGACAGTGCCTAGATGCGCTCTTCGAGCATCTCGGCGATGCATCTGGATATCAACTGCCGGATCTAAACGACGTCGCCTACGCGGTCAAGAACTTGAACGATCAGGATCCGCTTCTTCGCATGATCATCGACGGCTTCTGCTACCACGGTAACAGTGAGTGCTGGGAAACTAGCCAGATCCAGAATTTGCCGCTTCCTTTCATAGCAAAGCTCATGAAACATATGTCCGAGTTTCGCGATGGTGGTCTCGAAGACATGAGAGAACCTGAGTTGTGCCACTATCATGGTCATGCAACGAGAGAAGAGAGGCAGATATGCGAGAACAGGCGGGAGAGGGAGGAGCAGGCGAAAGAGATGATGGAGGATTGAGGATCGAGAGAAGCTTTGGTGGGTTTCTGAAAATGACGATCGAATGAGCTGGAGTTGCAACGTGTTTTACGGCATGGAGGTCTGATTGACGAGAGTAATAACTTGGAGTATCGGAGTTGATTGGCTATTTTTGTATTTCGAATTGACGGGTAATCGTACTGCGACGAAGGAAAGGCCTGTTTGGCGAGGGCATCCGGACGCGTTGTTCTTTCGAACGCAAGATAGACTGCTGTTCTTAGAATTACACACTTGTGAAGACCCCATTCTGATAGTCGACGACAATTGCTTTCTCGAGTGCCGATGCTGCCGCCTCCTTGAACGTCTTGTGAACTGGATCGTCATTAACGTAGTAATCACGGTCTTCGATGGAATGGAACTGCAGGACAAAAGCGTGGCTGATGCCGTTCTGTTCGAGAAGGTCAGACTGTTGACGATCTCCAAACTTCGATCGGCTGCATACCTGCAGATTCTCAGTCGAGATGTCCTTCCCTCCGGAGATCGAAACAATGTACGGCCTGAGCGTAGTTGGATGTATGCATGTTTTCTTCAGCCCAAAGAATTGCGCAATCACCTAAGAAGTGGTCTCAGCGTCGCTCATCAGCGTGGATCTTGCGCGCGTCTGACCTCCTTGACAGCGAATTTGCTGGTGCCGTCTTTGAACTGGAACAACACGATATGCGTGGTGTAGGGTATGACTGGCCCATACGGCCCGAAGAAGTACTCGGCGAGCGAGTGTCCCACCGTCCGCGAGAAAAGTATGAGGCCTGTCGCGAGAAGCAGGCAAACAACGAGGCCGAAGGCCTTCTTTGGTATCATCATGCCGCTAGGAGATAGCTCCGTGGAGCGCGTGAAGTTGGCAGTGGTTCAAATCAAAAGCAAATCTATGCGCGCACTTTGCTGCAAGACAGCAGCGGAAGCGCATTGGCAGAGGCGCGACAAGGATAGAGGGAAAATCATCCCCCTCCCCGACGCAAAGGCAAGGTGTACCTGTCGACGAACCGAGGGGGGATGCGAGCGCTAAATCCTGGAAGCACACAACCCGCAGCCGCAAATTGCTGGCAGATGGGGTAGTGGGTCCGAGCTCCCTGCTCACTCCACTTCCCAAGTGACGTACCTGAGTGAGAGACGCGCGAAGGAAGCACGTCGAAAGTCGAAAAGCCAGTCTTTGGCCGTGCTGTGGCCATGCTAAAGTTGCTATAGCGTACAGTCCAGGCCCGCTCCAGGGCAAGTGGATGGGACTTGGATCAATTGGGACGGGCTGAGCCAGGTTCTGGCTCGATTGTCCACGATTGAGTGGGGCCTTGGCATCTACGTCATACGAATGTCAGGTGCAGGCCCTCGCTGCGGCTGCGACTACAAAAGAGCTCGTCTTCCTGGTCTCCTGCAAACCATCACCACAAGCAAACTCACTTTACTCTCCCCTTAACCTCATCCCAAACCACACACTACCATCACAATGGCCTCCCTACACTGTAAGCAAACACTCACTCCACGTTCTAGCTGCTGCCCGCACTTGTACGAGCAATTGCGCAATATCTGGCAGCTTCCGCATCGTAATTGAAGAATCTGACTAACAATTCATCTCAGACCTCCCTCCCGTCAAGCCCTCTGCCATCGCCCTCGGCACGGCCTTCAACCACGCCGTCTCCCTCGCTGTCCTCGGCCCCGTCTTCGGTGACGCATACCGCCGCGCACAGCAGGCCAACTCCAAGGAGGAGTACTTCCACAGCAAGGAGGCCGCTACCGCCGCCGCATCGTGGGGCAGCTCCGTCCTCGGCTCTGGTATCCAGGCCTACGGTGTCGGTGCTCTGATCAACGCTACCGGAACTCTCACCTACAAGGGTGCTGCTTACCTCGGCTCCCTGATCTTCTTCGCCTCCGCCGCTCCCTCCGTACGTCATCCCACGTGTCGACCAAATTCCACAAACATCCACTAACAGGTCAACAGATTGTCTCCCAGGTCGTCACCGAGAAGCGCCCCATGGACACCATCGCCATTGGTGCTCTTGCCCGCGTCCTCGAGACCGTCGGTCTCAGCATGTTCCTCACCTACTGGGGAACCCGCACCAACCCCTTCGACTAAGCGTCTCGCCCCATAACGGCAGAGGAGTTTAGGGATTCTCATCTTTGGCGGTTTAGATTGATGCTTCAGTCAGCGAATGATGCAGATGATATGAGCTAGCAAAAAGCTTGATAAAGGGCTTGCTTCTTACGATGTAATATACCTCAATGAAGGAAACAATTCATGCAGTCGTCTTGATTATGCAATTGTGATGCTGTCTTTTTCGTGCTTTCATGAACACGCTTGTGACACACATCCATGAAATAATGTCCTCGGGTCCTGGTAACATTTAACACCTATCCTGACATACGAACGTTGCTCAAACTCATTCTTTGAGGTGCCATGCGTCTTTCTTGTGAATTCGCTGCGTGCATGGAGATTTTGATACAATCTAGCACAACCTCCGTCATTTCTATATTCTCGCATGGCATAAGAACAGAATTTACAAGAGTCCCAGTAACCGAAGACAATCTGTTACGCAAAAAAAAATCTATCCAACTTGCTTTACACAACACTGACGACACTGACTTTGGTCTTGCTTTGAAGGCGTGACGATGATGTCGAAGCATGACAACCGTGACGTTGGAACAACTTCGTGCCATGAGCTACCTGGAAGTCTTCCCGAATACCTCACCTAGATATGTACGGCGAAGACGAGCAAGGCTTGCTTATCAAGACCGTAGCTGTGGATTGCATCTATTAGAAGTATGTATGCTAGCGTGGGGTATTATCATGATGTGAGCGGGGTTTTAGAAACACCTCTACTAGTACCAAGGAAAGAATTGTAGCCAAGATGAGTGGAATGTAGACACGGCTAGTAAGAGGCTTTTAATGTCTAAGGTAGTTAGTTGTTAGGCTCGTGAGTAAATGTTTTACTGTAGTTTTAGAGTAAACACTGTCTACTAAACACGGACAGAGGACTGGCTGTGGTGTAGTTGATAGATTGGGATTTACGCGCAGAAGTCTTGGTCAATACAAGAAGACGGAGATGAAGCAAAGCTTTTGTAAATAATGGTCATTCCTCAGGGATGATGTATTGCTTCTGTCGACTTGCGACCCGTGTGTCGACCGATTCCTTTGATATAGGATCTGCTGTACCGTGATTGCGGTATCTAGGTGCACTCCTGGTGTATGGACAGCAGCTGATAATTCCTTCGGTGTTGGTCCTGCTCGTGATACTGAGAAGAGCGATATTTTGTGGTAGTCTGCGCTGTAGTTTCAGCATGAAGCAGACAAGCCGTGGATCGGAACTCATTATCTGAGAAGACCTCCAGATGCGGCCGCGATGCTGCATTATCGTTTCGAACGACGAATGCAAGCTCCATACGATCGCCAGCCCCTCGATGTCGACCGCTCATGCTCCGCCGCAGCTCTTCCTAATACCACTACCTCATTGCGCTTTCTCACCTCACCCCCTCCCGGCCGCCTCCAACAACCCCGACACAGTCGTAACCCTATACCCCCTCCTCTTCAACACCGGCAACACCTTCCTCAACATCGGCGCCGTCCAGCCCCTCCTATCATGACAAATAATAATACTGCCTTCCCTCACCATACTCAGCACATGCCTCGCATTCACCCCCGGGTAAGCAATCTGCGGATCATGAGGATACACACTACCCAGCACCATCTGGTACCCCATCTCCTTGATCTGCGCCCTCATCCTCGTGCTGAAGAATCCCGAGCCAGGGCGGAAGTAACGTGGCGGATGCGGTTTCCCCACTGCGTCGTAGGTGCCGTTGATGTAGCCTTCTACTTGGGTTACTTCTGCGGTGAGGGTTTCAGGGCTGAGGGAACGAGATGGCTCGTCGTGCATGGCGTGGTTTCCAAGTTCCATGCCGCTTTTCACAAGGCGCTGGAGCGCATCTTCTCTTCCTGGGACCTGGCCTCCAATGACAAAGAACGTAGCGTGCGCATCGTATTCCTCTAGTACCTGCAAAATCTCTTTCGTGTACTCCGACGGCGCGTCGTCAATCGTCAAAGCAATAACTTTTTCTCCTCCCGCTGTTTTTGCTAACGGCACGTGCCAAAGCACATCCAGCCACCTCCGCTGGAAATACCGTATCAACGCATTCGGCGGCTTGTAGATGACGTAAAAAGGCAGCACAAAAGCCACTACGACAAACACGAGGAAGAACATGGTGTACATGCGTCGACGGCGCTTCGCTCGCGTTGTCGGCAGGCGGAAGAGGCGCAGCGGAAGGCGGGGCATGGTATGCCGGTGTACAATGGGATTTGAGGATCGCGATCTTTCATCGTAGGGAATGCGTCGCGAGATTGGAGGAAGTCATGTGGGGTAGGTATTTAGGGTATGTGTTGAGGATGCGCGTTGGTGGTTGCGTTGCGTGGGTGAGGCTTGCTCGTGTTGGTTGTGGATCAAAGGGGTTAGGGGCACATGCAGGGTTGATCCATCGGGTTTAGCGCAGACACGTGCAGGCGTGGTTTTGAAGAAAATCGCGGTCCGTGAATTTTTCTCTCTCCTCTACAGCTATGCTCGCGCACGACGCGCAGTTTCTTCGGCAGCATGTCGCACAGGATTGACGCGTGTACGTCGTGTATGCTGGACATGGCGCGCATCATTGCCTACAACTAGGTGCTTATGTCGTTTCCAGAGTTTGAAACGACTGAGGTCCACCAGGATATACGCGCCCGCGAACCTCACCCGTACTCGTCCGTACATCACGATCTTCAATTTTGTAGAATCAGGAACCAATTTGTCACGCTTGCTCGAACAGCTACAACTTCGATACAAGCCCTCTAAGAATGTTCCAAGAACGATCCCGTGAGCGTTTAATTGACCTGGCTGCCTTACTATGTGGCTACTCGGGTCTCATTGCGTTCATACATTCTTTGTTAAACCACGTTGCCTTGCCTTGTTTTACGAGGATGCTGTGCTATTTGGAAGCGTCTGGAATGTCGGATTCCGGCAGCACTACGGCTGTCGAGACGTGTTGAGCGGGTTGTTATATGGGTCTACCGGTGCCCCTACCCGTCGACATGATGATACGGACACCGCGTACCCTCTGCCCTTGTAACAACGGGGAAGCCTTGGCGGTAGTTACGGACGACCGCGGGGAATATCATAGGCATAGCCGCACTTGAAATCAGGCTTATGCGTTTCTCGAAAGGGTACCCTGGGACGTGCAAGAGCGCCTCACGTTATCTTAGCAATTCCATATTGACTCTGGATGACTGATCTCATCTCCGTATATTACCAATCTGGTAGATAGTCGACGGCATTGTCTTGACCCGTATACGGCGACCAAGAAGTGATCATCGATAGGTGAATCATTGCTTACCCGTTTGGGACTTTCTCCGCGTACTTGCGATGTGACGGCTTAGCTACATCTTTAAGCTTTTAGCTCCCGTCAATGCTGTTGTACCGTTGAGACACATCATCTCCGCGACGCCTCAATTCGGCAGTTGGTCACAATTGCAGGTTCGCGGCTGATGCCTTGTCGGCGGCAGGAAGCGAGGCTGCCATCGTTGTCAAAAAGCAGAGTGGATGCCTGTAACGCGTTTCATCGGAAACAAGTTACCGTAGTGTGCATGTTGGCATCACATCGTGATCCAAGACTTTGATGTGATGAGCGTCGACGCGCGTGCAGCCTTTGCTCCGGAGCATGTATTTGGTCATCTTGATCAACCTTCGGTCCAAAAAGTCAATAGTTTGGGCTTCAGAAGAATCGAGAGCAACACATAAGACTGATGTACATATAAGCCTCGAGGCCCATCGTACGATTATGATGGATGCCAAGTATGGAGAAGACTAATCGCTGCCAGAGCAGCACATGGTTCACATGGTTTATCGATTAGGAGTCTGCAAGGTTTCGAAAAGATGCCCCCGAGACTAAAAGATACATCGGTGTGAACGGCTTCAGGGTACGAATTGGGTAAGCGAGTAGATTTAGAGTGTAGGGGAAATCCCGAAGGTAGGGAAACTTTCCACACAAGAAGGCCCGATGCGCAAAAGGGATAGTCCAACGAGGTGGAACTTGGTGACTGGGTAAAGCTCGGATGAGAACACCATGTCGCATGCGGCAAAACTCTGCAACTTGGGCGAAGATTTGCAGTCTTGATACCGCGTTCCGGGAAAGCTCAAAAAGAGAAGTCCGATATACGACGAAGGTCCGAAGTCGATGGTAGTTTGGCTTAGTATTGCTACTACTGTTCCCAACGTTCAGGGCCGGCAACAACAACGTGATGGGTACGGTCGAGGATTAGGCCGCGCTCCCCTGCATGCCTTGTATGTTGTGCATAACATTACGGCTGCTGTTCGCACGGCTGGTACCCTCGTGGGCACAGGGTGCTCCTTGTGTAAGCGCGGTTTTGCCAACGATTGAAGTTCTTCTAGCAAGATTCCCAGCCGCGGGGTCATGGCGCTAGGTTTGAGCACAATCTGCGGAGAGCACTCCGCGGCTCGTCTGGACCGACAAGGTTTGGCGAGCGATCGTGGGGGAGGCCTGAAACGCTCCTTGTCCTGAGATGCCGTCCTCGGCATTGGAATGTAGACGCGCGGGAATGAATGGAAGGTGTCAAAGTCAAGAGAACCGGCACAGGGATTTGCTGTACAATTAGGTATATTGAAAGGGGAATCTGGGTGTATCGGTAATTGCTGTCTATTGTCAAGACATGCCGCTGCAAGACCGAGAATATACATTGCGGTCAACGTCAAGAGACGCTAGATGTGCTGGTGCGCTACTAGTAGAATGTAACAGAGGTGCTCGTCTGACATGCGTATCCTACAGGTGTGTGTTGTTACAAAGTCGTAATGCATGAATGTACAAGGAGTGGTTTCGATGGCCCGTGGGCGGATGGGTGAAAGTCTGTTGGCAATTAGACTGGCGGCGTCTTGGGCTTTCTCTTGCCGATGTTGTAGCCCCAGCTTCTTAGAGTTTTGACCACCTTGGGGAGGACGGCTGCGGTAAGTGGCACGCGGAAGAAGATCAGGGATTTGTGGACGAGGTAGGCTAGGCCGAGCTGTGACCAGATCGCTGTGGTGGTTATTAGTAGTGTATACAGTATTATAGGCAGAGGTCTTGCGTACATGCGTTTGACCCTCCGTCGTGTCCTACGGCCTTTCCAGCCTCAACGTAGCCTTCCCTCGCGGTGGCCTCGGCAGTGGTCTCGCCGGCTTCGGCCTCTCCTGGCTGCTTGCCAGCGTCGGGAATGACGAGGCGGACGACACTCCAGAGCGCATCTTTCAGCACATGCTCGTAGTGGCCTATCCGGTCCGTGCCCAGTAGCCGCACTGCCATGAAGCAGAGGGGAAAGTCGATGAGGGACAGGCCCAGGTAGACGCCCACTGCCGTCCAGCCATATTCGCGAGAAAGCTTCTTCAGTCGCTGCGATACCGAGGGCGCAGGTTCGGGACTGCCAAGGTGTGGCGTGGGGTTGTGCGACTGGACGGGAGGTTTGTCGCTCTTGAAGCGCAGCGAGCGGAAGCGGCGGCCGAGGGCAGATCGTTGGTAGCGGAACAGCAGCAGGGCGCCGTGGTGCAGCGACTTCCTTCCTAGGCTGGACCGGGCGGCAGGTTGGGCAGAGGTGAAGAAGTTGCGGAGGAAGGGCGCCGATGGGCGTGAGGCGGCACCTCTGGCGGCACCGCTAAACGGCAGCGTGGCAGGCCACAGACGGACGACTCGTGGCTTCATGGCATGGACGATCGGAGATGGGCAGGGCAGGTGAATCGGCTTTCACGTGGGGCGGTGTGGTCGACTCAGGCTCGTCGTCGCAGCGCTCAAAACCTCGCCAAAGCTACCGCCGTTGGTGCATCGTCACCATTGCCATATAATTTAGTCAGGGTCCGTCCATCGGATCATGGTAATCCCGCCCCCCGACAGATTCACCGTCGCCGCACGAGGGCCCATGGCGCCATCCGTGGATGCACCGCGCGCGCATGCACTCTTCCTAACGCGATTGCCGACTCTGCTTTACCCGTAGACACCACACGCAGTCGTTGTAGTTGCTGCCCGGAGCATACCGTCGGCGACGGGCATCATCCATACACCGCGTGGTTCTCGTCTCGAAGCAGAAAGACGACGCACAACATCCCGCCGTGGACGCGCTAGAAAGAAGAAGCCAGAGTTTACCGAGTCACTGACCGAAATGTCGCTGCCTCAACCCTCGTGTCATTGTCGTGGCCATGTCGCATGTCGGATCCTACCGATGATATGTCACGCCGCACTGATGGCGTGAAGCAGCCCTGGTGGAGCAGCCGCTCAACAGTTTCGCCCATCTCTGCCAGAACTGTCTCATTTCCTGAACGCCTTCAGTTTCTACACGGCGAACTGACCCTGCCGTTCGTGGAAAGCCAGCACCCCGGGGTCGTGTCGTGCGCACAATCTCAGAGTTGCCTGACAGAAGCGTCAGCCTGCATTAGCCCAACCGTGGCCAAGAGCTTCCTCGGGGAGTCTCGAAGCGTGTTTCCTGCAAACATCTGTTGCAGTCCACGACCAGAAGGGCATAGCACGAAGCCCCCTTGCGGGCGGAACATGGGCACCACTTGCAGCGACGCACGCCCGACTCCTTCGCCTTCGCTTGGCCAGCAACATCAGTGTGATGTCTCGCAAGCGCGCCGGTCATTTGCAGTGCCAAAAGCCCGTCGAGCACGCCCGAAGTGTGGCGTTACTAGGTGGCCGCCTGCCAGCCGGCGGCATCACACTCGAGATGCATCGCGCCAGCATGGACCTCTATGGCCTGCCGAATTGCATTTCACGCATCGTATTTACTGTCCATCTTGAATTCTAAATTGCGGGGTCACCACGCGTAGCTTTATTATCGACCGTGCGGGTCCTGCTCTCGCTGTATGCGAACCTGTTCGCTGGTACCGAAAGCGCAGGAGTAGTGGAACAGGAGTGCCCTCCGTTACAGAAGTCCAGTCAATACAATCGTTTCACAACCCACTCTCCTCGCAATCGCATGCCGTTATCCCGTCGCCTCGCCTCGCATGGGGTGACTCTGGGTGGGCGGTGGGTGGGGCTGATCATCCTTGGGTATGACAACTGCCTGCAGCATCTACATGGTCGAGCGTGTGCTCAAGGGCGTTGGCATCTCGCGGACGCATCCGGCCTCTAACAGTCTCTAACGTTTTACATTAGCCTGATTCGATCTGACAAGGTTCCACACATGGTTCCGCTGCGCTGCAGTCGCCGACTCGTCCTGATGCCTGGCGACGCGTTTGCAATTCCCGGCGCCACTCCCACTGCCGAACTGCATCACGACATCGTCAACCTGCGCCGACCGTATAGTATGCTCATCTGCTTTAGTGGGCGTTCACCTGTCATCAACTGGCTCGCCCTTCCTCTTCGTCCAACTCTCTAGCCGACATTCCTGCAGCACGGCTCGGCGCCTGGCTGCGAGGGCCTGGGAAGGTTTGCAAGTTGATCCTTTAAAGTTTTCGGCGTTCCCACAACCCTGCAACCGCACCAGTCTCAAACTTTGAGCTTTGGGTACTGAGCTGACGAGTGATGGAGACCACTATTCATCTACCTGGCCTTAACATCGCTCTCTTGCCGCCGCATTAGCCCCTTGATTGGCCCGTGATCACGAGCGTTCCTCTGCCCTCTGACGTCCCAAAGCACCGGACAAGGGCTCCTCTTCGAACGGCGCCAGCGTCGTCTGTCCCCCCTGCTAGCTCGGCTGGACTCTGGAGTTGATCGCCATGCCCTTGCAAAAGCTCGGCGCCGTTTGTGACTTCCTGGCGGACCAGGGCCCTGGTCTCTCACATTATTCGGCGGGATGGTACTGTGCTTTCGTGTTACACCCATTCCTTCGCTTCACAACTTGACAGCGCCCAAAACGGCACGCTCCCGGAGCCAACTGTTTGAGGCTTCGACTAAGCTCTTACCCTGCGCTGCTGCATGAGTTGTTGTTCAGGATCTGCCTGTTTCTCCACGTGGGTTCGTCTCATTCTCAACTTGCCTATTAATATGCCTTCGTATATAGACTACCTGTCCGCACTACTTCCTCACCTATTCTGCACAGTGTCTCACTACCCGTCACCGCTCTCTTGACATTATCTTCGACTCCCACGCTCCTTATCTTGTCAACACTACTACTATACTACTATCAGCCGTCGCTCCTTCCTCTCTCGTTTAGCCTCATCACCAACCAATATATCCTGCATTACACAGCAACCATGGGTGGTAACACGGAATATATAGCAGGCCACGGCTACCTCTCTCTTGGCCAGGCTGTTCACGTTGCTCAAAACAGTGACGGAGGCGTTGACCAGCAACTCGCCCAATTCCTTGAGAAACGCCTTGCCGTGGTCTGGTCAAAACTCAACGCTCAACCACAATCCTACATCCTCCCGCCAGACGAATTTGCGCTCATGAACTACTACCGCACACGATTCGGAGATAACGAAATAGTTCGCAACGCTACTAAGAGATTCTGGGACAATCACAAAGGCGGCCAATAAGAGCTTGCCGGAAACAACTGCTCTCGTTCTCATACGGCGGGGACCCACGGAATTAGCAAACAACGGAACGGCAAAGCAACAACGATCTACCTCGCAACCACCTATTCAAGCCTTCGCCCACAACACCTACTTTCCGCAACCTTCCGCCGCATTTTGAATGAGGCAACAGCTGCATTTTTGAATTGACGATGTAAGTTTCGCCTACTTGTCACAATTTACATGAAGTACTGACTCCAATCAGCTGGCAATCGCATCGTCATCGACTTTCTTATTTGGCGTTCATCGGTGTACCAAGATACCTGGACTTCCGCAAGATACCTCTCCAACGGAGTAACGGCGTTTTTCACAGCAAACCGCCACTGACCGGTTGCTAAAATGGCGTTTAGCGTGTGCGATTGGAAGCGCAAGAGCGATGGAATTCATGCAAGGCGTAACGGCGAACTATTAGAATTGGCATCACCTATGGGAGCGGTACCCAACAACGGACGACTGTGTCTCGTAACTCTGCTCTTAATACTAATGACGCTATCTCAATCTACTTCCGCTTTACTCACGACTACCCCGCTTGCGCAACCCTACCCCCAGACCGTGCCCTTGAGAAACCGTGCTACGAACGAATCATCTCTGCTAGAATGCCTACAGGTTGCGCCACCAGTCCTGAGTCCAGTTGATGCATGCCAGCAGACCTTGATGGTCCATACATTTGCCTCCTCGTACGGACAGCCATTCGTGGGACAATTCAACCCGCCGGAGTGCAGCTTCAACAGGGTTACCTTCAACTTTACCGTTACCTCTGCCGGCCGGCAGTTTGACCGGCTCGGTGTGATGTTCCTTGATGATACCGAAGTGTTCCGTACTTCCACCGCCGAGCCAACACAAGCCGGCATAATATGGACATATGTCAAGGACATGAGCAGCTACCAATCTCTTTTCAAGACGCCACAAAAGATAATCTTTGATCTCGGTAATATCGTCGACGATACATACACCGGTTCCTGGTACACCACGCTGACCGCCACCTTCTTTACTGCCGACGATGCTATCGAGCCCGCAGATGTTATCATCCCAATCTCGGCACGGAAGTCGGATCAAGATGCATCCAGCGTATTCGTCGTACCGGAAACAAGAGCAGTCAACAGCGTTGTGATTCCGCAGAACGCGAAGAAAGCGGCCTTCTCCATCTCCGCCTGTGGCCAGGCTGCTGAGGAGTTCTGGTGGAGCAACGTCTTGTCATCAGACACCAAAGCATTCGGCAACGACACCACGCTATACGGTCACTCGGCCTTCCGAGAACTTCGTCTTCTTATCGACGGATCATTGGCTGGAGTCGCCTGGCCCTTCCCCGTTATCTTTACCGGTGGCGTTGTTCCTGGCTTTTGGAGGCCCATCGTAGGCATCGATGCATTCGATCTGCGAGAAGACGAAATCGACATCACTCCGTTCATACCATTGCTCAGCGACGGCCAGCCCCATAGCTTCGAGATTCAGGTTTTCGGCGTCGATGATGACGGTCATGGGAACGGGAACTTTACGACCGCCATCGAATCGAATTGGGTCGTTACTGGGAAGATCTTCGTTTGGCTTGACAGTGGCAACAACGCCATCACAGGACCCGCGCCTACCACTGTTACGACTTCCAGTATCGTACTACACTCGTCAAAACGCGGATACTCGAACAGCAGCGCAGGCATCTTCCTAGACTACTCTATTCAAGTCACTCGCAATCTAGAAATCCAATCCACGTTCGACACGCCCGCAGGTTCAAAAGCAGTTACCTGGACCCAGAAGCTCACCTACTCCAACGTTGGAACTCTCAGCAACGGCGGTAACGACCAGATCGTACGTCAGTCGACAACAGGCACACATACAGCATCCACAGATTATTCCAAAAACTTCGAATACCCTCTATGGGTGCAATCGTCCTACAACGCACCATCAGGCGGCAACGTCAGCATCAACGCAAGCATGTCGCGAAGCAAAAACGTGCATCAACAAGGCGACCTAGCCTTCCCAAACGACTGGAAGACATTCGACTACACGCGTCTACAATCGACGCCCTACAGCAACCAGAGCTTCCTGGGGTCAGACGTGAACAACTGGCAAAATGGCACAGCATCCTACCTGTCGGTCCCCGCGCTGAAAAAGTCCTTCGGATCAGGCAGCACAGAGCAGCGCCTCACACTCAGCGGTGTAGGCACCGCATCACAAGACGCAGCATCCCAGCAACTCTACCAAAGGCACATTGCCGCCACCAACGACTCGGTCGTGTACGACGACGAGAGCTTCGGGCGTCAACTGCGAGGCCAGAGCAGGTATGCCGCTCCCAGCCTGCCGGGCGCGCCAGACGGCGCGCATGAGTATGCGGCGTCAGGCGTTAAAGCGATGCTAGGAAGGGGGCCAGCGTAGGCGACTGCGAGGCATGATGAGGTGGTGGTGGAGGTGGATCTGCATTGGGACGAAAGGAAGGTTTACCGGTATCTGCACGACATGTGTCGAGCAACGCGATGGATGGATGGATGGGGCACTACAGGCATGGGCATCTTAACAGTCTGTGGGACTTTAAGTGGTGCGTACTAGCTGTCAAGTTCGCTTTTGGGACAAAGCAAGCGAAGTGGAGGGATGTGGTGGGTGGCCTTTAGTGGAGGTTGACTATATTCGTTGCACTGCATTTATTCTCCATTATCGCACTGCATACGGTTTCTCGACGTTGATGTTGGCTCTCACGACATATGCGCTGTCAGTCTTCTTTCGGTATCGTTTGGCGAGACAGTATGATCAAATCTCGATGCCACTGCACTGCACTCGCATTCTCTTCCAACAACGCGAACGCGGTGTTCTCATACCCATACCATGCAATGAGCCGTCCAATCCAGCTTAGGCGCCAGGGAACAACGGCCTTGCTTCCCAGCGCAACGGTAGTCGCAATACGAGTCGCGTGGTATAACACACCTGCACCTCATCTCGCCATCAACGTCTTGGCTTCCCAGCCACCAAGTCCCACAGCATAAACTTTGCAAATAGTCATGAGGGCGAAGAAATACTGATCGTCCTATGATACCCTCAGTACAGTCATTCCCAGCTAAAAGCGAAAAAATTTCGCTTGCAGCTATCCATCTTGGCTAACTACTCGATAGTTCGCTTTCATGCCGCTTCCGCCCCGCCTCACCCTATCCTATATCACCTTCGCTGCTATCACTTCCCGCCTAGCTTCCCTTACCCGAATGTATCATCCAGTACCCCACGCCGATCCACATAGAACGTCGACCAGGAGCCAGGATTTGTATTTTCCATCACCCCTTGGTTCTTGCAGCTTTTCACATCATGGGTCTTCCTTGAGCGCGCTAATGTCGCCATCTCCGAAGCGGTTTGCGTTGCCGTCGTGATGTGGGGAGGGGGAGAAGAGACGGTAAAAGCACACCAGTGACCGGATACCGTCTGTTCCGCTCGAGGCGCGCCATCATAGTCTCGATCTTATATGCCCTAGCTTGTCTTAACGGCGGCCTCAAACTTAATCGTAACGTTGAGTGGGCAGGCAAAGCGGTCGGTACAGCTGTCCGAAGCAGAATATCAAGATCCCTTGCGTATATGACAACAGCAAATTTTTGTTTTTTGCCATTTTGAAATAGGCAATATTCGTAATGCCTTCATGTTGTCAAGGCTATCATGCAAAAGGTTGTTGGTGATACAGCGCGCTTAGGTCACGTTGGGTTGGAGAATCCAATCCCTTTTAGCCGACGGGCTTTCGTTAACGCGCGCTCCCGCGGGGCGCCTTGGAGCGGGAGATTTGCAGTCGATCTGTGCGTACGCTGCGTCTCCTCGTGGCAAGCCTGAAACGTCGGTAATGCACCGTGAACTGTGGTTTTCGCCTGGGGATTGTCTACTTGGTGCAAGAGAAATCTCGCGCGATGCCTCATTCCAAGGTTCGTAAGGGAGGAAAGGAACATCGCTAAACCAACACAGCACACTACGGCTAATGGTGCATCACTAATTAAAGAAGATGCGAACGCGAGCAGTTCGTCTCGGATGCGCATTTAGGGTTTGTAAAAGGAATGCCCTTTGCAGGTCGGGGGTTTGAGGCTGTCTGCCGCGGACACCGTCTTGCGAAGAGAGTCTTTCCGACCCCTGGAGGTACCTAGGCAGATCCACTGTGTTGGAAAATTACGTTCCCTTTCCTGGGAACCGTTAGCGATTGGTCGCTGGGAATGAGCGCTACAATGAGAAAGACATTCATCACACCAATATCACGTCGAGTGTAGCGCGTGCTGCCGTGTGTTCCAGCCTTATCCGCCCCATAGTATCCATACATAGTTGCGAGTCATGGTGGTCGTTATGAAACGCTCCACCACTCATTTTCCTTTTTCGTTCCAGCTTACTGGTGCTGTTATGGGTCCACACATGACGCAAGGATGGTGCACACTTCTTTCCCGAAGGTCGTAAAGTAAGTTCAGAGATTATCGCTGACAGCCGTGGTGCTGTGGTTCTCATCTATCTGTAACACAATGGGTATCCCAGTTTTGGTAGCCTGGCGCGATCCCCGTATGCGGACGTGTGACTGACAGGCCGGGGTGAGCGCTTCGGTTGCATCAATTCCAATGTGTGACGAGTGGTAGCGTTGGTGATGGTCAAGCGATATCCATGGATGGCAGACGGTGATGCTGTGCACTAGAGCAGTGGACGCCGTTTCGCGGGCTGGGAGATGCCGCAATTCGCTTTCATGGGCCGCGGACTAGCGCTACTGATGCCGGTAGTGGTGTGCTGTGAAGTATTGAATATTGACAAATTCTCTCGAAGATGGAGCCCTGCCTGTATTCACCGGTTTGGTGTTGTGATATGTTGTCACACCTCAATCGAAGATAGTGTGGGACGCCTTGATCCGAGAAACACACTGCAACACTCCAACGTCCCTCATGGTAGCCTATCACCAGACCTGCGGCAACGTCCTCAGGCCGCCATCTTGTGGCTGCGAGCCGTTCGCCCGTTGAAGTTCGTATTCGAAGTTTGTTTGAGCCACACACCCACGCGCGCAAGCATGGCTAGTCCTGTACGACATTTGACGTCTGCTGCCGTTCATCGGTGTGGTAAACCTTCGGTGGGCGCGACGCGCCGATGTGAACGCCTCTAACTTTGTCTCGACGACCCATGCATGACAACGGTGGGCTGATGGTTCCTTCATCAAGTGGATCAATGTGACTAGATGGCGATCAGGTCAACATTGAGCTCGTTCTCCGCGTCCCCGAGGGTGGCTGCCACCAAACTTGCCTGTAACCGATGTTCGTGGTTGTCTGAAGCAGAGTCTGGGTCGCGCATAGATGTGGGCTGGAAAAAGGCCCGGATAACCCCATCCTACGTGAAGACCGACTTTGTGATTCCGGTCATTTTTCCGGACTAGGTACTTATCGAACGATCGTTGAAGATGAGACCGAGGTGCTTCCGTGAACGATTATGCCGCGACGTCATCGTGAGAAAACCACATCCGAAGTCCCAACACAATTCACGGAAGCCTCTCAAGCTACGTGTAAGGCGTGGTCGCATCCAAGATGGATACTTTTCCATGAACCAGCGGGGTCTGGGGAGAAGCGACGCGAAGGAGGGGCGAATGTGTGGATCCGGGGCAGTGTCGCGTGCCTGTGACTCGTCGAGATGGTTGCGCCTTCCTCATTGACGAGTGGCGCCTATGGCTGGGCTTTCGAGCGCTTTCCATCATATCTTCATGTCATCGTCACCGACTCACAAACCTCCATGAACACCTCATGAAGCACTATGGTCCAGCCGCTATTTCCCAGTATTACTCAAGACGATGATAAAACCGCGCAGCGTCTCAGCGAGCACGAAATCGAGACTGAATCCTCACTTAAACCCGGCGATAAAACCGATGAGGCGCTAAGCGTTCATCGCGGGGCAATTCGTGTACCTTCTCCGAATCCATCGCTCATATCAATTGACGATGCGAATGTTGTACGACTTGGTCGGAATCCAGACTTTGCTCCTATATACCATGAAGAATATGCTTCACGTTCATCCGCTCCTCCACGGACTCTGAAAGAGAAGATCGACTTGTTTTGGACAGCGAACAAGGGTTTAGCGTACGTTTTGCTCGCTCAGTTCTTTGGAAACTTGATGAATGTTACCACAAGGATATTGGAAATGGAAGGAAACAGCGGTAGGTACAAGGTCGTCCGGCGATATGAACATGTGCTGATCTAAGTGTAGGTAATGGCTACGACCCATTCCAGATCTTGTTCGCTAGGATGAGTATCACCACGGCATGTGCTTTATTCTACATGTGGTATCGGAAGATAGAACACTTTCCATTCGGCATGAAGGAAGTTCGGTCGTTGCTAGTTGCCAGAGGATTATTTGGCTTCTTCGGAGTCTTCGGCATGTACTGTAAGTCACTTACCCCCCTTCTTAGGACCATGCGTTTGCAGTAACATGTCTCAGCTCGTCTGATATTGGATCACGTCTGAAGGCTATTGCTACTGCATCGCTGTGATGGAATCTACAGTACATCATATTGGTCTTACCTACTTGACACAGTGCTAACTTAACTAGATTCTTTGATGTATCTGCCCCTGGCCGATGCCACCGTCATCACATTCCTCTCACCATCGCTCGCTTGCTGGGCGTGCTCATACTTCATCAACGAACCGTTCACCAGGATGGAGCAGATAGCTGCGTACATCTCGCTATTCGGCGTCGTCTTGATCGCAAGACCCGTCTCGTTATTCTCTGCGCTATCGCATTCCAGCGACCCGGTTCCTGCCTCCGGTGGCTTAGACGCCATTCCGACAAACACTACTGCGGCTTCGCCCGATCGTCTCGCTGCGGACTACGATGATGTGACACCCACACAACGAGCAGCAGCAGTAGGGGTAGCGATGTTGGGTGTGATTGGATCAACAGGGGCATACACCACCATTCGATGGATCGGCAAGCGCGCACATCCACTCATATCCGTCACTTACTTCGCAACATGGTGTACGATCGTTAGTATGGTGGCAATGGCTTTCGTGCCAGGCGTCGGCTTTCTACTCCCCAAAGGTGTGAAAGACTGGTCTTACCTGCTCTTTCTGGGTATCTGTGGATTCGTCATGGTAAGTCTGGTCTACGACCTCGCGTCGCGCATCGATTAACGTGACACAGCAATTCCTTCTAGCCGCGGGTCTCCAATACGAGAAGTCTTCTCGTGCAACGAACATGCTCTACATGCAGATGTTTTTCGCGCTTGGTTTTGACAAATTGATCTGGGGCACTACACCGAGTGCTTTGTCCATTGTTGGGTCATCACTCATCCTGGGTTCGGCTATATACGTCGCCATGAACAAGGAAGACCCGAAGAAGGTAGTTGACTCAGTCGGGAGAGGGGATAGCGAAGAAGAAAGGGGGTTGATGTCGCCAGTTTATCACGTCGAGCGAAGGGATGATGATGACGCCGATATACAGATGCGACCACTGAGATGATGCTTCAGCGTTCTCTTTTGGATTTACTGTAACGCTTAATGCGCTTTTGCACATAGATTGCTAGACCATTTTGCATGAGAATAGACAGAAACGTAAAACATAGACACGCTGTATTTTTTGTAGTTGTCTAAGACTACCACACATTATCACACATTTACCATAGTGTACCCTTCTTGTCCCTCTGGTCTTGTAATTGTGCTGTCCCTATTCGTCATTGGTGTTGCCATGATATGTTGGATGAAGTGACCGCGGGGATCTCGGAAGTGATATACTGCTACCCCACTTGCGCTCCACGCGTATACTGCAACCCCATGCTGACCGCAGACATCGAGGGAAGCTACCCGCGCTCGTCACCATCAACTTTTGCGTGTACATATATTACCAATAATTGACCAGCATTTCATCAACAAATCCTCTGTGGCGCAATTGGCTAGCGCGTCTGACTGTTACAACAGTAGCTAGTTATCAGGAGGTTGGAAGTTCGAGCCTTCCCGGAGGAGGATTATCTTTTTGCCTCGTGAGCATCCTTTTTGCACCCACCAGTTGGTGTGACTGTTCAACGCATCACAACCTTTTGTAGAAAAGCCAACAAGGTCACTAAGTTTTTTTGTTCGCAGAAGGAACAAAGTGCAATGCTACCAAGTGGTATGCGACCGACAGCTCATTCACCACCTCGATAGCTATACAGAGTAGGCTAAACCCTACTCCTCTGCACACTCGTAAACCTTATCCTCCCATCTTCGATTTTGAGCACATTGACAGGAACCTTGATGCGCAACGGCTCTTCGCTTGGTAGATTCATCGGGGCAGAAAAGCCCGCTACGTGCGAAACAACACTGTCGCAAGTTGGACACTTCCAGTTTCTGCGCGCCGAGTTCACATCTTCGTCGCTGTTCTGCTCGATGCGCTTGATGCATATGTTGCAGAATTGGTGGTCGCAGGGGCGGATACTGGGGACTTAGTATACAAAGCATGGGAAGGGAAGAGAGAGGGAAGTAGTAGATAGGAACGTACATGCAATCGCACAGCCTAAGCTCGCATGTCATGCACATCTTTGGTTTCGTTGGGTCGAACTCTGGTTCAGTGCTAATACCGATGTGTTGGTCCATCTGACCAACACTCTTCACGTTGTCGAAGTCACCTCCATCGAGGCGCTCATCTACCTTCTCTTCAACAACAAAATACTTGCCACCAGCCTCAGTATATGCCTTGACGTCGGTGGAAGGTGGAGTCGGAACAATGTGCGTTACTTGTTCGCAGCTGACTGGATCGAGGATATGGATGTGGAGGATGCGCGCTGCCGCGTGGTTCCATGCCACGGGTGGGTAGGGGTCTTTGTATATGTCCTGGACTATATAGCAGGTCAGTGGGAGGTGAAGGGAGAAATTAGAGGATAGAAAGGAGCATACGTACTCAGCTTCCCGCCCGCAGCTAGACCCATGGCTTTGATGTTCTTGGTATTGATGACTTGAGAATCCACAGCATCTACACGTCCTTCGTCCCCAGCACTCGAGTGTACGGAGAATGAGTCACTCGCTTCGCTTGAATCATGCGAGCCGCAATAGGAAACTTCCCGTTGAGCATCCACTGGAGACGGTAGTGCCTCAAATTTGATAGATTCCGACACTACTGATGGTTCATCAAAGCCGACGGGTGTTGGCATGTTAGGTGGCGTAGGCATTGATGGAGCCTCTGATTTGCTTCCATGCGAGTATTCTAACGTTATTCTTCTGGAGAACAGTTCCTCACGTGCTGTCCTTTCTCTTTCTTCAAGTAGGTCCTGGAGATTGCGCTCGCTATTGACCGCCTAGGAAACACGGCTAAGCGACAGTCCAATGTAGGTTATAGAGTGACTCACCGTGCACGTGATGGTTTCTCTCGAGTTTGCGAGATGCTTTATCTTGAGGGGCTCCTCAGAGGCACGATCGGCCGGGTACGATCTCAAGACATCACCGAGATTGCAACGTAGCTGTTGAGGGGTCATGGTCTCATATAGACTGTCAAGAAGGCCTTGGCCGTACCTTTTAAGGAAGGTTTTCTTACTGTACGACCATAGACGTTGCTGCGGCACACATTCGGGTGTGATCTGAAGTTGAAGTCCGCCGTGTTGCTCTTTTGATGTCTTTTGGCCTTCGACAGTGTACCCAGACCCAACTTTGCTCAATTAGCCCATTTCCAAGAAGAGCAAGTTAAATACGTACGTGGCATAGCAACAAACTGTCGAACAATGCCAGGCGCTACACAGATACCGTCTAGCCATCGCTGACCGGGTATGACGATGTAGTCCTGCTCGAGCTCTTCGCTTTCATTATTTGTGGTCTCTTCCATTGTGAGGCCAGAAATAGCGTTGACATGGCCCATAAAGATGCGGACAGCACACTTGCGTTTCGTCGGCTCAAAGTTGAGCCACATAGCTTCCCTCTGCCACATGGGAAAGAAAACGCCGCCACTATCTCTGATCTCATTCGGTAATCGATCCGCGTAGGACTCTACGCTGAACAAGTCGTAACTTCCCAGTGAACCTGGCAGTTGGTGGAGCTTATTGTCGTCTGGCATTCTAGGAGTCCGTTCAAGGGACATGTGGAACCCGCAGTTGGCTTCAATTGCGCGCTTTGAGGAAGGAAGCGGGGTGATATTGAAGCCAATCGGTTCGCCATGGTGCGCATTCGCGTGTGAAATAAGTGATTCCGTGATCCTGATCGTATTCTTTGTTGACATCTGGTCGTCTGCGACAACCACAACCTCTTCGTGGTCACTCACGACGCGCAAGTGTTCATCTTCTCGGTAGCGGGCGTTGTGGGTATTAATCACGACGGGCTTGTGGAAGCCACAGTCTATTCAGTGTTAGTAGAGTACCGAGGTGCTGGGAGTATGGACAGGTGACCTGCGATCCGAGTCCACAGCTCAGACAACGGCTGGTCTCCGTGCATGATCGTGGAGAATGTCGATGAGGTTTTCTCGCCATCTGAAGTTCCTGTCGAGTTGATCTGCTTGGCATCCTGAATCTTCTCCAGGCCTTCGATCACGACCTTACGAGAGTCGATAGGGACGACTGGAAGCGTCGTGGAACTCATCGAAAGCTGTAAACTCACGTTGCTAATGAAGCAGTCCGTGATTTGACATTAAGGAAAGAGAGGAACGATGGGATGATGTGATTGTGGGCTAAGTCAGCTCGGTGGCTGCCTTTATGCCCTCTCAGGTGGGGTGATCTCAGCCGCACGCGTGAACCCGCTTTCGTCGCATTCAGCTGAACTCACACAACTGCTTGCTTCACGTCGCAATATATGTAGAAAACATGTCTTTCGGCTTCTCAATAGGGGATATCAGTGAGTGTAGCATACTGCAATGTTTTGCGAAGGTACTGAGTTTATCTAGTCCTCCTTAGCCAGTTAGCATACGACCTTTACGCCACGGTCAGCTCTGGGAGAAAGGCAGCATCGCGCGACCTGAAAGAGCTTGAAGAAGTGCTCTTCAGTCTGAAATGCGCTCTAGATCACCTTAAACAGGCCTCCAGCGGTGTGCTCGCAAGACCAGGCTTTCAACATGGAGGATCAGAACTCAAAGAGAAGCTGGATGTAATGATTGGATCATGTGCTTCCACACTGCAGGAGCTGGATTCAGTGACGAAGAAGTACCGCGACGTTGAGATCCAGGCGAACAAGGGAAAGACGAAGCTGCGCACGCTGGATGACGTGAAGAAGAGCATGAAGGTCAACTGGCAAAGAGTGCGATGGGACCGCGAGAAGCAATCGTTACAACAGTATCGCGAGAAGCTCAAGTCGCATACTGATGCGATAAATCTCATGTTGACCTCGATAGTCTGGTAAGCTTCATACCTGCCATCACAGATGGACATAGGCTAAATATTCCCCAGGGCAAATACAGCTTTTGCGAACGCTAATAACAAAAGGAACCACGATGTAACGCACTCTTTGTTAGACAACGTATTGCGCAATCCAGTTACAGATCCTGAAATTCGAAGCATGGTGGAAGAGATGCACGCCATGCTTACCAAATCGCCTTCCAGGGCAAACGAAGGCCAGATAGAAGCGGGAAGAAGTACTGGATCGTCCCACAAAGATGTCAGCATGACTGCAGATCGTGGCTCAATCTTTGACGAAATACCGAGTCCGGTTACAGAGGAACCGCAGATGGCCACGGTGCAGAGCACAGAATCGCCTCATAATCAACTCGACGTCGCTGCATACTCATTGAGCGACTCGTCAATTGGCGAATCCTCTGGTCCCATCGAGGTCCACGGAAGAGGTTTGCCGTCAGTGAGCATGTACGCCATACCTGCCTTGCCATATAGAACGCCCACATCAGATGCGTATATGAGAGCTGCCTCAACAAGAGTATCGGTGCCAGGAGTTGGCGGTGTAACGTCTTGGGAACACCAATCTACTGCGGAGAGCGCACCTCGTCATAGGGGTTTGACTCGCCATGTTGAGCTACCAGCGGCCACTGTCGCACTCAACAATGAACGCCGTGCTTTCGGAGCAAGAGAGTACGAGGCGTTTAAACAGCGACACGCACAGCCGAAGAAGGTTTTGAAGCCGTCTTTCCTGACGAGTGTGGCGCCTAGAAATCAGGACCTCCAAGCCTGTATACCGCATATCTTCCAGTCGACAGCAGATGGTAGGCAGCAGGCGCAAGAGCTGGGAAGCGAGATAACTCGATGGACGTATGAGTTCTCTCGCTTCGTCAACGACGGAAGCGTAACGCAGAGAGTCAAGGACGAATGTCTTTTGACGTTGTTAGGAGCCCTGAACGAGGCAGTCGATAGGAGTACTGGAAAGAGGAGAAAGCTGTTCTATAAGACTTCGAACTCGGCAGGCTTCACCGCTGCGTTAGACAGGATAGGAACTGTTTCGAAAAGCGTGAGAGTGATGAAAGAGATCGAAGAGTTCCAGGATGCCAAAGAAGAATGGTCGGAGCAAACTGTCAGATAACTCTGTATAAGGTGCTCGTAAGCGCATCAGTTCCTACAATTGTATTCGCTGAAGGACCGAACAGCGACAGTAACTTTGCGTTTCCCTGTCCTTTCTTGTGCCCTTGCAATGTACTTTGTAGGACGTGTCCGGCGTCGCCGCATGCTCCTTTGAACATGAGCACGTTTCTGGTCTGCGAATCTACGAAGAGGCCAGGTTCCATCGTGGAGAGTTGGGACTCGTCCGCATTATGAGGTATGATGTCGTGAATTATCAGACGATCACCGGTGGGTAGTAGACACCACAAGTCGCCAAGTGCGTTGTGTTTAGCTATGACGTCTGCCAGGGAGTCTTTTCGAAAGTCGACAAAGCGATCTTGCTTGGTAATTTTCGGTGCGTGGTCGATAGGACCGTCGGAGTGGGCATACCATCCAACATCCTCATTCGGAGACACAAATCTCCGTTCCTTCAAGACATCTACGAGCATTTCTGCTCCAGCCGCGGCAAGCCGTTGCTCCAATATCTGAGCCGTCTCAGGACTCGGTTCGGAAGGAATGGCAATCTCGTAGCCAGGCATGGGGGTTTGGGCAAGGATAGTACCCTGGTCGAAATGCCTTGGATGCAGTGTTTGCACAGAGACACCGGTGTACTGCCGCCGCTTCAGTATGGCATGTGAGACGGGTGCTGGGCCACGCAGATCGGGGAGCAGCGAGGGATGCACGTTGAGACCGCCGTATTGCGCATAGTTGAGGATTCGCGGTGGGACGAGGAGGCCGAAGGATACGGCGATGACGACATGTATGGGGGTGGGTGGAGTCCAGCCGGTGAAGGTATCGATCACATGGGTGGGCAGGTTGAGCTCTTCGGTGGCTACCTGCTTAATGGGCACTGTGACGTGTCAATTGATGTTTTGTTATAGTCAAAAGACGTTCCTACCCTCTCTCAACGTCTTCAGTCCCCGTCCGGTGGGCTTCGGTGGGCGATGGATGACATCAATGCTCTCAATGAGGCCGGGCACATGCCGCTTCGCGTCTGCTACGGCGCGCAGTGACGCGATGCTGAAGGCGTCAGAGCCACAAAAGAGAATCCGCAGTGGCTCCGACGTCCGAGCGGGAGCAGAGGTAGAGCTGCATCGGCAGGGAGGAGTGGCGATCAAGGAGCGGACGGGGCTGCGCAGCCTCCAGATCATGGTTCAGAGGTGAGGAAGCTCGGCGACAAAAGCCGCGCCGCAGGGTCTGGACGTTGCGATCGTGATCCCGTGGGGCATCTCGACCACGACAATCGGAGGGATCCCTGCCGCCCGGCCGCCGCATCGCGATGGACTGCAGTGCCTGACTATGGAATACAAATAGGCCACGACGACCGCTCGTTGTTAGGGATGCGCGTTGGCACGTTCGCAGGCTGTCTTCTCCTCCGCGTCTCCGCCGCACGCGTGACGTAGTCATCCATCACCCAAATCCACCAGAAGCGCCGCGCGACCAGGCACTTCGCAGAATGCACACATGTCTTCCACGGCGGTTCCCAAGGTCGTCCCGGCGCAGCTCTCCTTTCTAGCCATATACAATCCTTCGTTCGGAACATCAGATGAGACTTTCCACCAGCAGATTGTCTTCTACTACTCCAAGGCCGCCAAGACGCGCTCCAAGCTGAAGGATGGCGACACAGAGAGGGAGGAAGAGTTGCACGAGCAGGAGAATGAGAAGCTCCGCCAGGTCGGGCTAGCTCAGGGCATGGTAGGCTTCGCGAAGTAGGACGCATGCAGGCGAGCACTTTCGTGTATTTGGCTGACTAGGACTAGGAGTTTCTCCAATGGCGAAGCAGTTGACTCTGTGGAAACACAAAAGTCGCGCATTGTTCTGCGTGAACTGGAGAATGGGTGGTGGATATTGGCAGTATGTATGCCCACGTGCTCAGAAACACTACGACTAACACCACCATAGTCCATTGATCTCACCCAACTCCCACCGACCGGCGGCCTCACACGAACCGACTCGAGCACCGATACCACCGAGCCCATAATCGAATACTCGTCACGCGAAGTCAGCCCACCTGCGCTCCTGATTCAGCAACTCGTACGCGCCCAGTCCGTCTTCCTGCTGCATCATGGCTCAACACTCGAGAACATGTTCTCTAAACACGGCCGTGCCAAGTTCTGCAGTATACTCGACAAGTACTGGTCGCGATTTGCGAGCAGCTGGGACGTGCTGCTACATGGAAGCCCTGCGGTGGACATATATGGTGGCATGAAGCTGGCAGCAGGTGGCGAGCTGGGTATGGGCGTTGGTGAGGAGGAGTGGGGAAGCAGCGAGCGAGACGTACTTGAAGACTTCGCACGCAGAACATCAGGTCTCGTCGATGTCATGGTGTCTCGTTTTGGAGAAGCATCACCTCTACAACAAGCCAAGACATCCACAGACCCGAAGACACTCGAAGTGTCAGAGCTGGAACCCTGGATAGGAGTCGGAAAGAACGTCCATGCCGCAGATGGCGTTGTCTTTTCGGGTCTGGGAGCTGTGAGCAGGAAGTCATTACGAGACTTGTCTCACTGGGTAGAGTCTATCTACGCCCACGGCGAGTATGCTTACGGCGTACGAGATAACCCAACATCGGATCGCAGGAAACGGCGAAGGAGAAATCTAAAGCCCGAACCCGAACCAGAAGAGCCGTCGCCTCCAATACAACAAGAAAGGCCTCGTTTCCCTCCGTCGAGCAACGGCTCCCTGCCACCGGGTATCCCTCCGCCTATCGTCAAAGCAGCTGAGAGCTCTTTGGACAAAGCATCCGCCGCCGTCCAAAACAACAAATCCCAAGCTGACTCTCCTGCACCTGAGTCCAAGCCAATGCTAGCGTCTCTGGGTGACACCGAGACCTGGATGAAGTACATGACACTTGGCTATGGGACAGCATGGGGTGGAAAAAAGAGTGCCGAATCTTCGGAATCTACTGCTCCAACGCCGGCACCGCCACCACCGGCACGTGAACGGACACCTTCACCAGCAGCAATGCGTTACGTAGATCCGACTCCGGATGTGGACCCAGCAGAGGAGAAGATGAAGCAGCAGATACGTCTAGAGAACGATGGGTATTTCCTTGTAGGACTCAAAGGCGATCTACAGGACTTAGACATCGATGACGAGAACGGGGAGGGCGATTGGAATATTCGTATCCCGCTACGGACTATACACGTGAAGGTCGACAGGCGAGAAGCTTCACTGAAAACAGAAGACGGCGATTCAGACTCGACTCCGCAGTACGAGAGAGACATGAAGGTGGAGCCGGCAACCGAGAACAAGCTATCACGGTTACGACCTGTTGTCTACGTGGTAAGTCCCTGCACCATCAACAGATCCATCCCCGTACTAACACCCACCGCAGCACCGTCCCTTCGTCTACACCTTCCTCTTCGAACACCGCACCCACTCCCTCGGCGTCGCATCCTTCTACCGCGACATCCACAACTTCTTCTCGCCCCTCCACCGCTCCCTCGACAAGAGCACATCCCCCAGCCTCGTCGCCGCCCGCCTCCACGCCGTCTCAAACCACTACACAACCGAAGCCTCAACCGGCGGCTCAGGCCCCTCCTCCGGCCCCAACACACAAACCATCTACGACCTCGTTTACGACCCCCGCACCTACACCGTGCATTCCAGCCTCCCCAACATCCCCGATCCGGGTACCCTCCTCGCCGAGGGCCTCGGCAGCAACAGCACGAGCTCCCTCGGCTGGAGCAGAATCGAAGCCCTGAATGTACACTCCCAGATCCTCGCCACGGTAGCGGGTACACGCCGCAACCTCTCTGAAATAGAACGCACATGCAAAACATCCCGCGGCTGGTGGGTCGTCTGGATGCGTCTGCCCCCCTCTCAAGTCAGCAACGAAGACACCGTGCAGAACAATGCTTCCAACGAGAACGCCGGTTCGGGGCACGGCTCCGGCCAGTTCAATTCCAACGAGCTGCGTGAAGCGTTTCTGGTGAGGAGGGCGAGGGATACGACGGCGCATAGTGCGAAGAGCTCGAGTAGCTTTGCGAGTGGCATGTGGAGTGGGCTTGGTATGGGGGGTGGGAGTACGTCGCGGAATGAGAGGATGGGTGGGAGTGCCGCTGGGTGGGGACCCAAGGGGTTGGCGGAGGGGATTGGGATTGATGCGAGGAGGTATGTTGAGGAGTTGTTGAGTTTGAATAGGTAGAAGGTCAGGTTAGAGATAGCGCTTGGGGGTCAATAAGAAAGACGATGAAATACATTGAGCAAATGAAGCACATGGAATTTACACTGTCTACGGCGCTGCCTCGATTATCTTGTCCGTCTTGTCCTCACCCACCTGCCCCTCACGCATCAAGTCTTCAAGACATTTCTCAACAAGCGAAACCATCTTCCTATGATGCTCCTCCGACACATGGTGATCCTCTGCAAGCTTGCCCAGCCCAGCAAGCCCTTCTCGTATCCTCTCAGCCCTTGTCTCCCGAGGCACATGCGCACCTGCAGGATGCATAGCCTGGTACAAAGTGCTGACCACCCATCTAAACTCTCCATCGGCACGGTTATCCCTTATTCTGGTTGTAAATTTGGCTACAGAGCCATTTTGACTGTCCGGGCCGGCATCTGGCAGACCTGGAAGTGTGTCCGCGGCAGGGGGACAGGCGTGGAACTCGCGGAATGAGAGTGGGAGGTGCAGCCACGTTGCGCCTTCTTGGAAGACAACCTTTTTGATGGAGCCTCGTACGAGGTTATTGTCGACACCCATCCATACTGACCATTCTTTGGCGTGGAAGTCTTGTTGGGCTTTGCAGAGGGGGTTGGTGAACTTGAGTTGGCTGGGGGAGTTTGTTAGCGAGATGAATGACATGTAGTGTGAGTGTGGTTGCGCACCTTGCTAGAATCTCCATGCGTTTCGTGCATGGCGTGACTCTGTTGAGACCGTTTTCTATTTCGTCTCTTATAATGCTGGCGGCTTTGTATACAGGATCTGAGTACACTTTCGTCGTTGACATTTCGTTGCCGGTGGTTTGCTCTTGATAGAGTTTCTCGTAAAGCATGATGTTCAACGGAATAGAGGGGTCATTTTTCCAGGTTAGAGTGTCTAGGAAAAGGGCGTCGTGCTGCCTTTCCAGGTCATCTTTCAGCGCTTCGTGTATCCTCAAGTTGATGTTCCACGTCTGCATAAAGACCAGGTTATGCGCAAAATGCAGTTTGGGTATTTCGTACTGAATGGTGCGACGAAATGCTATCAAAAATCCGATTAGGTCGCGTAATTTGAGGTCAGCGCCGTCTTCGTGGTTGTCATTGACATGACGATCCGCCTCGCGTCGAATAACGTCTTGGATTTTCTTTTGAGCGATGTTTAGAAAACCGCGGCGATTTATACCGTCTTCGAAGAGCACGTCAATGATGGGCGTGCTGAGGGCTTTGAGCTTGGGTTTTGAGATAGGAAGTGAATCTTTGCGATGGTTTCCTCGGGAAAATGCTGAAAGAGGGATACCGTGTGATAATAGTGTACGTTGGAAACATTGTTGTAGATTTGCTGGGCGATCACCACCAAATATACTCCTGTCCCCCATGATTTTGAGGAAAGCTTCCATATCCGGCCACTCTTGGTCCAGTACAGGTGTGCGAGGTGTCAAGAAAGACACACTATGGGCTTGTCGCAGATAGTTGTAGAAGTGCGCGTATGCTACCGGATAGCCAGCGTAATTTTGAAATACCATGTTGAACTCATGGACGGCTTGAGCGGTAACAAAAGCTATCATGCCAGCAAGGAACGGGTTGTAACGGGGCCAGTCCCAAGTGGAGACACCATTGATCACCTTTCCATCGTTGGCCCCTTCCTCCTTCGTTGGCCCCTTCCTCGTTAATATCCTCTTGACCAAGGCACGCCGATTCCAGAACCTATCTCCCACGAGCCAATCCCTGACAACCGTCGTTGTTTCTGATTCGTTTCGAAGGAAGGAATTGAGTCCTTGACGAATATGCTTCGAAGTAAACGGAGATTGCCTCAACCTGTTCATTATGTCACCGTGATCGCTTTGATCCGAGCTTTCGCGGGAGTTCTTGCTTGACCAGTTTCTTTTGTAATCGTCCGGTATGAGGTTTGGATCGGTGGCGGGTATAAGATTTTGTACATCTAGGTAGATATCTGTACAGAGAACTATCTCCACACTAAGATCAGGGCGCTTCTCGTTCATCTTCCGAGTAAAGTCGTTCTTATCAAGATCGTCGCCATATAGGGCCTGAAAGTAATCTCGCCAAAGTTGGGTGAAGTTATCCATAGCGGGCGGGTCCTGCCGGATCTTGGCTTCCTGCATACTTGCAATATCTTCCAATGCATTGTGAAGTGACTCTAGGGCGGGCCAAGATGCGTTCGCGAGAAACCCATCCTCGACCATTTCTTCCATCAGTATGTATCGATTAAAGCAATCATCAACGACGTAACCGTCCAAGACGCGCCAAATAAGGGAGTAGGTCTTTAAGCAGCTGAATTGCGCCAAGCTCGTGGGGATCTGAATGCATGATACGCTGGTGTCCAACTCGACTTTACTAGAAGCAGAGCGAACAACGCCATTGCATCGGCGAATCAAGTTCAGAGAAAATGCCTCCATCGAGCTCAACTCTGGGAACTGAGTCGTCAGATGGTGCACAGCGGTCCGGAGCAATTGAAAGGCGGCCTGCGTCGTCGCCATCGTTGTGATAAGGTCAACAGTCCTGCCTAGGAGGTATTCGTGCCAGTTCGAGCGGATAAACTCCTTAACGCAGTTGTAATCCATCAGAAGGCAGCACATGGCCACCCAGCGCTCGTGTTCGCTGTTATCAACTACATACGTTATCCGTGGTGTTGCGGGGGGTTTCTCCGCAATCGCAACAGCAGCGTTGTCAACTTCTTGATCGGCCAACTCCTCGATTTCAAGCTTACTGAAGCGATTGGTAATTCCATTGATGGAACCATGGCGCGAGACTTTATCCTTCTCTTCATCGGCGAACTGCGGCTTTCGTATGAACGGTCGTAGAATGTTTAGCGTGTGCTACAAGGTCGATGTGAAAACGGCATGACTCTCATCATCCTCAGCATGAGCTACCCTTTCAAACTCCTCCAATCCATCTATCTGACTGCCATGCCACTGCGTCGACTTTTTTCGTAGTTTGATAGCCCGTGCTGCACACTGAGCGGCGTAAAATGGGACGACGAATTGCTTTGGCGGTTTCTTGGCGATTGCCTCCGCACATGCGATGAGTCCGTTGACGCTAACTTCCCGCTCTTCCGGCTTCTTCTTCCGGGACTTTGGCTGGGATGTCGTGGCTCCCTAAGATGATTTGTAAGGCGGCGTGTAGCCGCAGCTTGTCGCAGTGCTACAAAGCCAAGTGATGTATGTGTTGGTGTCCTTTTTGTATTCGAGATAGCTGTTGTAGATGTTGTCGGGTAACATTTTGAGGAAGAACGGTGGGGTGATATGTTTGGGGCGCTTCGGCTTTCAACTAGAGAGACAGTCGGGCTGATACCGGAGCTGATACAGTCCTAAGCACACCAACTAGCGTCGCGCTAAGCTCTGAGGTTGCAGAGAAGGTGTTGATGAACGCGACCAGGATCTCCAGATCTGACACCATGCGTCAATCGGCAATGCTGAGCGGCCCGATTAGCTAAAACACCTCTTGACCATCGCTTTCACCATCGTGTGATCGAGGATTCTGGGCATTGCTTCTGTAATTGATATTGCGTGGCTCCGATGAGCTATAGCAATTGTATGAACATCCGTAACCGGGAAGTTCGTCGACGTGGGTTGACTGATCTTGCGGAAGAGATCAACGCGAATAGAGTGCGCCTCTGACTCAAATTGGGGTCAGGTCTCGGTTCGGGCCGGTCATCGAGATCGTACTATGGTATACGGTGTGATTGCGATGGCTTTGTGATCGCATAAAGTATGCAAAAGTAATACGTGCCTTTTTCCCTTGTCGCGTCTAACCCCGCTGTCTAGATTTCTAGAATATAGGCTTGGCTGTTCCTGCAATGTCAACATTGTGCGTGCTCGTGCGTGTGGAAGGAGGTTGCAGTGTTGTGGGTGGAAAGAATGTCTAGAATGTGAGTGATTAGCGAAGGAAGGAGCGATGGTAGGACATACTGAGCAAGGCCTGACTTGGCAAATCAGGCCGAATGAGGAACGCACCTTGATCAACACTCTCCAATAATACTAAAGCCGCTACGCTGGGGTATATCTGTGCGCTTTTGATAACAAGAATCGACACCCTCACCCTTCCATCCTCGTGAACTCGTGTGTAGAGCAACCTTAACTTCGATCACCCCACCTTCAGAACTCGTCGTCCAACCGCACTACGTTGACCCGTATAATGACCCATAGACGATCCGCCATCGACAACTCCCGCAAGTTCACCGACACAAGCGATGTCTGAAGCCTCCGACAAGATGACGGCGAAGGCGATGACAAAGGGAAGTCTCCATATCCCTCCATCATCATGGTATCCTCGTAAACTGACTCCGACTTCAATCACTCCACCTCAATCCCATCCACATCCTCCGTATCATCCAACGCCCTAACCACCTCCTCCATCTCCTTCGGACTCGTAATCCCCCAAACCCCACCCCCCTTAACAGCCCCCTTCATGCCAACCTCCTTGCCCACAAGATTCCTGCCCACTTTCCCGGGTCCAATACCCACATACCGCATAATCTTCTCTTGCTCATGCAGGTATTTGACGCTCTTCCACCACTGCACCGTCTCCACACAACTCCTTGCTAGCAAGTCTTTCAACTGCTCTTTATCCTGGAAGGGCTTGCCGGACACATTTGAGATGCAGGGCATGATGCCCGGCCACGTTATAATATCGCGGCCGTCTTCCGTGGGCTTATGCAGGATGCGTTTCATTGTTTCGGCCGCAGGTTTCATGAGGAGGCTGTGGAAAGGTGCGTCAGATTTAAGTCGTACATGGCGGGGGTCGTGGCCGCCGAATTGGCGGAGGTTGGTCAGGAGCGTGCTGATGCGTGTTATACTGCCACTCAGAACAATCTGGTTCTTCGAATTGAGGTTTGCGATGGCGACTTGCTGGACGGCGGGGAGGTGGTCGTGGGAATCGGCTTTGGAGCCTAGGGCGAGGAACTCGTGGATGCCGTTGATGAGGGATTGCATGTGCTCTTCGGATTCGCAGACGAGGGCCACCATGCCGAACTCGCCGCCTTCTTCTGCGACGGCTTCTTGGCTGCATTTGCTCATTACTTCGGCTCGTCGGCGGACCATTTTTAGGGCGTCGTGGAAGGTGAGGTAGCCGCCTGCTACTAGGGCTGCGAATTCGCCGAGCGAGTGGCCCAGTGTGATGTCGACGCGCTCGCTGGTCTTGAAGCCAAACTCCTTCTCCAGTATCCGCAGTATCAGGATCGAGGTTGCCATAATGGCCGGTTGCGCGTTCTCGGTTCGTGTGAGTTCGGCATTCGTGCCGGACTCGATTGTCTTGGTAAGGGGGAGTTGAAGGGTCTCGTCAATCTCCTCGAGGATGGGTTTCGCGGTCTGGGGGAAGGCTTGCAGCCACGGTGTGCACATTCTCACGCGTTGTACGCCTTGACCTGGTATTGCTTAGTATACTAACATGCTGAAATATGTGGAAGCTAGAAAGAAGTACCAGGGAAGAAGATGGCAGTCTTGGGTCTCGTAGCGGGCGCGTCTCGCACGCTGCTCATCCAGCGCCGCCGTGCAGGCTGGCAGTTGGCGCTCCGCTCGCCGCATCGCATACACCGGCGCGGAAGACGCGGGGCTGCTCTGGAAACGGTACTCAAAGAAGAAGACATGGCGTGTTTCGGGCTATGAAGTTTGGGGAGTCATGGTGTTGATTTCCAGAAGCTCTGCGGAGATGCGGAGGTTCGGGCGCGGGGAATTGACGTGAGGTGCCCTGCAGCTTGAATTAGCGCCGTGGGGTTACCCAACACCCACGGCCGAGGTCTTGCTTTTCCGCGACCAATCGTCACCGAGGCAGTGAGTGACATGTTTACAGGCCATGAAATTATTAATTTCATTGCTAGACCGAAGGAAATCCTTGATAGTGGACACTTCCATAGCATCCTTACGCGCCCTGGATGTTGAGTCCAGCGTCAACCTGAATGCGCATACCAGTCATACTAGTATTCTTCGCCAACATGACATACGCCGAAGCACAGTCATCCATGAAAGTTACATGCTTCAGCGCTGCAGCATTCGTGAGCTGCTCGATCTTCTCTTTGCTATACTTGAGGCCCTGCGTGACTGTCAGCATGGCACGTCTGGATGGCTTCTGCATCCTTACCCATTCGGTCAACAGTAAGCCTGGGAGAACGGTATTGACGCGTATCTTGGGCCCGACGGTGGCGGCAAGGCATTTGACGAGTTGGAGTTGGGCTGCTTTGGTGACGGCGTAGGGCATGCTGGAGCCGCCTTGGCTGACACCCTGTGATTCGGGATCAGTACTCAATTACAAACCCATAGTCCGTAGTTGTGTCAAGATAAAGGAAATTGAGAACGTACCGCGATACTGCCCGTAGTAATCATCAGCCCACCATCTGGATTCGCATCAAACGTGCTCCTTGCCTCAGACAACAATGCCTTGGGCACTTTGACATTCGCATTCCAGCACTTATCCCACTCTTCATCGCTCATGGAGTCGAGGTCTTTCCACTCGGAGAAGCGCGTCCAGCCTGCGTTCGCGATGATAACGTCTAACCCTCCCAAATGTTCAATCGTCTCCCTAATTGCTCTCCTCGCCTCATCCGTGGATGTCATATCCTGTCGCACGTATTAGCATCTCTTCTTCCAAACTCTCAATTACCAAACCCACCACAACTCACCGATTTGATAACAACAGCCTTAACCCCATGCTCTTGACAAGCCTTCTGCACCTTCTGCGCGGGCTCAATCCGGTTGAAGTAGTTAATCGCCACATTGGCGCCTTCACTCGCAAACGTCGTGCTGAGGAGTTCGCCGAGACCGCTGAATTGGGGGCGTTAGTCAGCGTTGAGATTTGGAAGACGACATAGCGGGTATAGAGTGAAATGTATGGAGGAAGGCATTCAGGAAGATCCGATGTACATACGCTGATCCACCGGTGATAAGTACATTCCTGCCTTTAAGGTCGTACGGCATGTTTGCTGCTTTGCTGCCTGCTCTGTGTGTGTGTTGGGTAGGCCTGGTGGAGATGTAGAATGCGAGTGATGTGGTTCCTGTTGTAGATTTGGAGTAGGAGAGAAGAGATAAGCTTTCAGCAGGGAATGCTTGGGATAGAGTACCGAGAGTTCATTCGTGTGTTGTTTACAAGCTGACTGTCGGCACCGTCGTCACCGTCGGGAAACATGGTGGGGCAATGGCTTCCGGAGTTTATGCAGGTAGGACCACCCCCACCCCCGGTTCTATCGTACTTCTTGCCGGTTTGGGGTTAGTAGGGTTACCTCGGTACAGTCATACATACATTTACATGGCATGTAGCGGGCTGATGTTTGCTCCGCTTGTATTGTACTCGATTGCAGGACGCCGTAAGATGCGATAGTAGATTACCTCTCATAACCAACCATTCCGCTCCAACCCATCCTAAGCGCTTATCCCAAGCATTGCCTTTAGAAGAATAGTCTGCATGCCTAGGTACGGACTCCATGAAGAGTGCTCCTCAAACACACTCTACATGTTATCGAAATCCAGACCCCAGTCGTCATCTCCTCCGCCACCACCCATATCCATGTTCATGTCCATGTCCATATCCATGCCCATACTACCCATGTCACCCAGATCCATACCAGGCAAGCTGCCCAGGTCTGTGCTCATATCGCCTGCGCCTGCATCGCCATTGCCCATGCCGATGTTGGACAGGTCCAAGCCTTCGGCACCAGTGAGTTCGTCCATACTGCGTTGCAGCGCTTTGTTATCCATGTTGGAAATGTCGTCTACCACCGTCGCGGCTGCTGCGTCGTCGATAGCTCGGTTCAGATCATCGGATATAGTTTGCGATTGCATGTCCCCGATGTTGACGCTCGGTATGTTGATGGGTGGTGCTTGGAGTCCAGCTTCGCTGAGGGAGGCAAAGTGCGCTTCTACTCGGCGGTGCAGACGCACTATCGTCTCTGCAGTCAGAGGATCTGTTGCGACCAGATTGGCTGCGCTCTCGAACTCTTGCTTGAGCATCTCGCGGAGGTTCATGCGGGTCCGTTGTTGAGGCGGCGCTGGTATCGAGCTTCCCATCCAGTCTATCGTGATCGGACTGTCTTCAACGGTTGGGGCGCAGATGATAGACACGCCAATGTCGAGCGCAGCGGCTCCGTTGCCTGCATCTGTCTGCGCTTTTACCTCATCTATGATTGCGCGTAGCGTCCTGGTGGCACCAAGCATCTTGAGCGATGCGTAGATTTGGCGATGTGTATAGCCAGGTGGGTTTGGCTGTAACGAAGAAGTCGAAGCCCATTGACATAGTTGTTGTATTGTATGCCGTAGAGACGTGTTCAAAGTGCTGTTCGGCGCATTAGTCCACTGGTCCACCTCCTTCAAGCTAGCGTATATGGACCGTTCGTAGTGTGCATGCACTTTGATTGCCTGGATGAAAGGCTCAAGTGTCGTGCGATTTGGCTCGCGCCGCTGTAGCGTACGGAAGCATTTCTCCAGGCGACTAGCCACCATCGCTATTATAGTCGAGTGCATAGCTTGTGCATCGCCAGAAGAAGGAGTCGTCAGTATGATTTCATTGAAAATGCGTATCATTGAGTCGAGGTCCTTGTGTGTTTGAAGAAGCGCGTAGGAGGCCATCCACGTGAGACCTTCAATCAAAGATGGTAGTAGGAAAGTCTCTCCGAGATCTGAAATTAAGTCAGTGGTGTTTAATTGGACAAGAACATTGGGGGTAAGCTTACATTCCAAGCCACCTTTGACCGACTCAAATGACAGTACGCCTGTCGAGCATGCCACAACAGTCTGCCTGAAAAGTGTCGGAACTATAAGATAGAAATCCTGTGGCCGACAGGATGCAAACACCTCATTGCTCAGCCCTTCCTTGTCGGCATCATAGAGCCCTTTAAGCCAGTTGCCGAGATGCTTACCCTGTTCTTCGCTCAACTCGTCGGGGAGCATGCTATGGTGGCCGCGTTTCATAAGCTTGGCGATAAATGTATCATGTCGGATGCCAATGTCGTGATGTGTAAGATCATAGCGATATACGAAGGCCATAACGAGGACAAGTATTGCGCCAAACTCGTCGTAGACCGGTTGGTATTCACCTACATTCGTCAGTCACAAATCTTTGCAATATGTAATGAAGCTAACCTTGATCGCTGTCGTAGTGCCACTCATCGAGGAATTGGCATAGAGGCCGCAGGATGCTTGCCGGCGAAGTGAATTGAAGCATGACATCCATTGCCTGCGGTTTTCTGAATATCAACGAGCACAGTTGCTTCAAATACATGGTCGTTTGTGTTTCGCAGAGATGTGCTATGAACTGTCATCACATCAGCAGGTTCCTCTCGCAATTCTTTGTGTCATGTCTTACATCTGTAACAGCAGCGACGACCGCCCCGGCATTTCCATCCAAGCTCTCAAGCTCGTCAATGTATGTGCTGACTTTGTCGAAGTTCGACTTGCACTGGCTGAGTAACTCCTTCCTCTCGTATCTCTTCGATGGAGGACCTTGCATAGGGGCTTCGCCAAGCAACCGCTCTACAGCACCAGCCGGTATGAGCCCATGGAGCGCGCAGGCATTAAGGAAGTCTTGCTTGACATCAGAGAGAGAGTTGTTACTTCCCATGATATCGTCGAACCCCTGCGAGAAAGACGGGAAAGCATGGGGATCCACGTGACTGAGTGCTTGTGTGATACACATTTCTGGTGTCATCGGAAATATCGACCCGGAGATTTGCACGAGGAGTAGGGGTACTTTGTTGATCAGGAACGATTTCAGGGGAAACATTGTTTGCGTTGGTTCACTGCGATACATGGCGTTGGCCAGGACATCGAAAGCGGCGGTGATCAAGTCCGTGGCCATGTTCTGTGCTTCCAACTGACGGATGTCAGCATTTCTTCGCGATTAAATGATTATGGCCTACCTTGTATCGCGAATGGAGATAATTGATAATGATGAAGTCATCAGTAAGAGGCCGCGCGACAAGCTTGGAATGTTAGCAACGTGCCACATCGTCAGCTGAAAGACGTACCAAGGCGTTCAAAAATACGTAGAGACCGGCTCGTGTATTCACCTGTGGAAGCTCCATCACGGCATCGAGCTGGAGCGCAGCGACTTCGAGACCGGCGCTCCTGTTTCCCTCTCCGTTCATGTTGGGAAGCTTTTCATAAAAGTCGTGTCGTTTTTGCGAGAGCTCAAGTCTTTCAGCTAGTTGCAACGACTGATGCGATCCGCCCGAGTTGTTGGAGAGAAATGGGATAAAAGAAGAGAATGACTGGATAAAATGTTTGCGTATATCTAATGCATGTGAGTAATGTACTTCTTGAGTCTTGAGCAAACCGGTTCAAAAACATTGTACAAACATCAGAACAATTAGAGGTGCGCTTACCTTTCCCCTTGGGATTATTCAGTATGCGCAGAATTCTTGAGTTTTCAATTATGCCAATCACAAGCATTGCCAGCCCTTCCCGGACATTGATAGAGTGTTGTTGTGGTTGTTGGATACCAGCCATGGCCTGGATCATGGTATCACTGGTATGTGAAGTGACCATCGCCTGCATCCATCTTGTTACAACAATAAGGGTGCGCAAGCCTTCGGTATTGTTGATAGGCCGTTCTTCGGCAGCAAAAGCCTTGTGCAAGCGGTGGAAGACAATTTCCTCGAGTTCTGGTGGATTGTCCCATTGCGGCTCCTTGGTCGGTTTCTCGTCGCCTGTCTTGACCGGAAGCCGGTCCTTGGAGTACAAGAACGTCAGCGTTAGAACATCAGAAGCATCGACCTTCTTCAGCGCTAGCAGCTGCTCGAGGAAGACGATGGAGCGCGGGTCGACATTGCTGGATCCTGCAACGCGCGGTCGAAGTACAAGGGCAGCAAGCTTCCGGCCAGGCAGTGGAGACTTCGCGTGCAGCTGCGCGACGGCTGCAGCGAACAGGTCAGGTTGGACGCGGCGCTCGAGGCACCTGTCCAAGAAAGTCGTCCATTCCTTGACCATGGACTCCATAGCCCATGTAGTTTAAAAATGCGCCCTGGACGTTGGGCTGGTAGTTGACAAGAAAAAGAATATGGGATGTGGTCCGGCGAGGAACAAAGGTGGTCGTGCTTAGCTGAGGTGGCCGATGTTCCTTGGCAGGCACGATGCACAGATGCGGACAGCGCACAGAACCCGCGAACCTTCCAACGCGTCTGGTCAGCAAAAGGAATACCACGCCAAGCTCTGCATATTATACTCCATGGCCGGAATTTCGTGTCTAAAATCAAAGGTAAAGAGATGATGGTGCGGGGAGCACAAATCGTCAAGTTTGATGCGTAACATTGATGGTATTGAAATAGTTACATTACTACCGGATGATAGAAGCGTTCTCGCCCATGTCGTGGGACATGTACAACCATTGCGCAGCGATGGCGCACAGTGCTGATCGCTGAAGACTGACCGCTAACCCCAGCCCTCACCAACCCAAATAAATCCACACACGTCTTGGTGCGACGCAAATTACGGTCGTGATGCTGACGACCACCGTGCACTAGACAACGCCATACTCCACGCCAAGCTTCAAGATGGACGGCGACGGGCATCCTGTAGCTGGTCGTCCGCATCCGGTGCCCGTGGGCCCACCATCCAGTCCTCCATGGCGAGCCACTGACTCCACGTCTTTTCGGCCCCCTCGATCTCGGCCAGCTGGACCTCCTGCAATGGCTTCAGGAAAGGCACTGACTCGTGCGGTGACATGTCGTACTGGCACTTGACCTTTGCCCAACCCACACTCTTGGCTGCAAAAAGGTAGTTGCGACGCTCACACTCGTGCATTGGGCCGACTCCCTTCCTCCAGTCCTCGCCAAAGAAGCCGTGCATAATGCCTGGACTGTCCATTCCGGTGATGACAAGACGTCGAATGAAGGGCACAAGGGAGACCCATGCCGGCGCCGGCTGGCCTCGCGAATTGGTGACGGGACCTTGGCGGGGCCAGGGCATGTTGTATGCAGCAGCGCCCGACGAGTGAGGCAGCGGTCCTGAGGCGTTCATGAGGGGAGTTTGCGTCCATTGGAAAGGCAGACAGATGTTGATGAGGGCGCACACTGCCTGCACACCGTTGTCGTGCTGCGCATGGTCGAGGAAATAGCGTTGGCAGCTCTGGTATGCAGGGTGCCAGTCGAAGATGTCGAAGTGCGGCTCAGACGAGGCGGTTGGGACAGATGGCGAGCCTCCTGAGGAGGTGCTGCCGCGCGCAAAAGTTCCACCGCGAGTCTGAAAGGTCGGGTATCCCGCGGGGAAGTTTGTGGTGAAGCCGGGTAAACTTGTCATGATGAGGGCAGCGCAAGCTACTGCAGGAACGGCAAGAGTCAGCACAGCTGGTTGGTTGGCTGGAGGAGAACACCAGTTTGTGTACTCGCAGCTCGCAACTTACCGAGCTGGGTGCAACCACTGTCAAATAAACGTGCCGGTGCAGAATGTCGGGTCTGGCTAACAGCAGCCCAAGGGAGCCAGGGTCTCAGGGTTAGGCAGGATGAGACGAGGAACAGGATCAATGACGAAACGACCGAGTGGGCGGCTAGTTCAAGGCTGCTGCAGTGTCTGTTGCTTGGTGTTCTGGTAGCATCGATAGCGGGCGCGATAAGATGCTTTATACATGGGGAGGTTGAGTATACGGATGCTGAGGCTTGAGAAGTTGCTTATATGGTGTGGCTTCGGTCGACGCCGCCCTGCTAACCTTGCGAGGAATTATTGAAGCCTCCGTGAGATGGCTGCGATTTTGGAATAATCCTGGCGATGATCAAGTCGAGCCACTCCGGCTCCCTTGATCATTAACCAGTAAGTTCAGCGCGTCCGGCCAATGAGCGGCGACACAGGGCCTGGTGGAGCCGGCGATGGTGGCTGCGCAGTTCGCGGGTCGGCGGCCAGGTCGACGGCTCCCGAGGCGGTCTATTCAAAAACTCTGTAGTAAACCAAGTGTCGTCAAGACTGCGCTACCTGCGCTGCCGTTGGCTGCTTGCGTGCGCTTCAGCCGACCGCTGCCCCCCTTTTTGCTGTTCCTTGTACATGCTGCTGCGCGATGATGGCCGTTTGGTCACCCAAGACAGTGGCAGAGACCGACGGAGCGGCCGAGATGCAGGCGTATCGAGCCGGCTTTGCGACTGAGCCCTTCTGAGCGCGCCGGGTTGTTTTTGTCATGCTTGAGTCTGGCTAGAATGACTAGAGTGACAGGCGCCTCCAAACGCCCGGGCGATAGATCTCGTCAATCGCGGTAGGGGATCCACTGCCATGGCATGTAAAACGGATGTTCGTGTGTCCGGAGAGCCACAATATCAGGGCGCCCACCAATGCGCTGCCTGTTCCCTCCAGCTTCACGAGCGCATCCCGCCGAAGAAGAATAGTTCTTCGCCGATCATCCAAGCCCGCACGCCCTCGGTGAGGCTGTCCTACGTGCTAACGAGACACTGTACGACAGGGCACTGGATGGTCGGGTCTGCTGCAGCGAGGGCTAGTCGCTAGGCGCACGGTGCCGAGGTTGAGGACCTCGGGAGGTGGGGGCAGGCGCCCCAATCGGCAGGCACCGTCCGCACGATGCAGTCCACGGGTTGGTGAAGCCTATAGCCTGCGGGCGCATATGGCCCGTTTTGCTTTTGTGCGTGCAACGCATTCTTACTCCAACTGCAACAGACCAGGGACGCTGCGCAGCCTTGACATGTCAGAGTCGTGACAGAGTCGTCACGATGAGGCCTCCACAATAAAGTTCACACCCCGGTCGTGACGGGCCATGATGTAACCAGTTCGCCGAGGAACTCCATTTAAGTCTGCTGCCATCGTGGCTTGCCTCCCGCAGCATCGCACATCTACTTTCGTGTATGCACAACATAGCCCCTAGCAGTGAACATGGCACAATCTTCCTTCTCATTGGCGTCGCGGACCAAGGTGCGTCGACGAGACCGTACTAGACGCCGCCCGTGTCTGACAGTGGCAGCTTTCCAATGGCCTGTCCATGCCAACGATTCATCTCGGCGTCTATCTGACGTCCGGGAAGGAGACTTATCAAGCCGTGAGGTGGGCGCTCGAGGTATGCTTTTGCCGTTCCTGATGATCAGTAACCACAATGCTTACCACGGCAGGCTGGCTATCGAGCGTGAGTAGCATCACGAGACCAAGCTTTCACACGGCTGACGGATGACGCGTACATAGAGTCGATTCAGCTCAGATGTACCATAACGAGAAGGAGTCTGGCAAAGCCATCTCTGACTTTCTCGCAAGTGATGCAAATACCGAGTCGCTCAGGCGCGAAGACATCCACTACACTTCCAAGCTAGCGTCCAACTCCGCATACGAAACGGTCCGCAAAGCCATCAAGAGATCTGTCAAGGAGGCGGGTCTTGGCTACATTGATCTATTCCTGTTGCACTCCCCATATGGCGGCAAGCAGGCGCGTCTCGACAGCTGGAGAGCGGTGGAAGACGCAATCAACGACGGCGAAGTCAAGATTGGAGGCGTCTCCAATTATGGTGTCAAACATGTAAGTAGACCCTGGTTCCCGTCTTTTTGCTTTAGTTGTCTCGGGAAGGCCCGTATTCAGTCTCTAGTGCGAACATACACCCAGGATAGGAAAGTCGTTGTAGTCGCCCTCATTGGACTCTTCAGTATAGTCATGAGCGTCACCGAACATTCAACGTCGCCGAGGTCAATCACTGACGATATGCTAGTTGCAAGAGCTATTGGACTCCAATCCCCGGATTCATCCAGCGGTTAACCAGATCGAAGTTCACCCGTTCAATACGTGAGTTCCCTGAAGGGATTGCATTGCATGCGCAACTATGCTAACTTTGTACACTAGGCGAAAGGACATTACTTCCTTTTGCCAGCAGCACAACATTGTCGTAGAGGCATACGCGCCGCTGGTCCGAGCCTTGCGCATGAAGCATCCGAAGATTGTGGCCCTGTCCAAGAAGTATTCTTGCACTCCGGGCCAGCTCTTGGTCCGCTGGAGTCTGCAACACGGCTACGTGCCGCTACCCAAGAGTGTGAAGAAGGAGCGAATCGTCGAGAACTCGGAGATTGGAGGCTTCGTAATCGAGGATGGCGACATGGAGACAATGGACGGGTTGGACGAATACCTGGTGACCGGTGAGTTCCTTTGGGTGCCTGGCATACGCAGCCATGTCAATACTCTCATCCCGCTGCTTTTACTGACGTGCAATTTTTCTCCAGATTGGGACCCTACCGATTGCCCGTGAGTGTGCTCGGTGTGGAGGCAGAGATGTCGGGCGTGGGGGTCAGCGCGTGGAGGGTGGGAAATCGATCTCTTTCACATGCCACCAAATGTAGAAATGGAGCATGCTCATCTATGCCTATTTCCGATGCATGACTATGTCGATATTGTGACGCCGCCATCGAGTCTCAAATCATGATCTTGCAGCTCAATGACTGCAATGCGCGCATATGCGCATGACGGAGGGCGCGATGGTAGAGATTGAGGCAGTGCAATGTCGCAGACAGGCTATGTCTATATCGTATAGGTTTTAAGCTTGTGGGTTGACGTCGCATACAAAGGTGAGGATGTCCGGCATCTCCGCAGCAGGAGGTCGCCAGCGGCCGCTTCGCCAAGACAATCCTGCGTGGCCCAAGCTCACGCCCACATTCCGGCTTCTCCCACTCTCCCTGCGTGTTCTCTTTACCCCGACACGCTACTAGGCGAAAGCTCAACGTAACAAGACTCCCTCGCGCGCCCGCCGACGTCGGAATCGCGTCGCCTCCCATGGTTTGACTCTCGACTATTACCGCCCGCCACGAGCCTCGAGTGGCCGGAGCCCCCGCTACTTCACGTGCAACCACCCCGCGATACTTGTCCTCGCCCGCCCATTGGCCAGATCCTTATCAGTAGAAAAAGTGCACACCATGGTTTGCATCAACATGGCGTGCAGTAGACCCCATTGACCACTGAGACGGGTCCAGCACCCCAATCTCCCGGCCTCTGACGTACTAAAATCGAGTGCGACTTTGTTCCGCACCGTCACCGCAGGCCCAGCGAACTATCTAGCTTGCGCCGACTGCAATTATATATACCAGACACTCTCTCCTGCCTCTTCTCTCCATCAACTTGTGACTCTTCGACTGTGTCAATTTCCATCACCTCACATCTTCTTTCAGTCCCCAAGATACACAACATCACAATGTCTGAGCCCGAGTTTGAGCAAGCCAGGAAGGGTACGTTTGCGCCTCCACATCTGCAACACATCTAACACCTCACAGAGCTCGTCTCCACCCTCGAGGCCTCCTCCCTTTTCTCCAAGAACCCCGAATACAAGAAGGCCCTCGAGGTCGTCTCCGTCCCCGAGCGCATCATCCAGTTCCGCGTTGTCTGGGAGAACGACAAGGGCGAGTGCCAGGTCCAGAAGGGATACCGCGTGCAATTCAACTCTGCTCTCGGTCCCTACAAGGGCGGTCTCCGCTTCCACCCTACCGTCAACCTTTCCATTCTCAAGTTCTTGGGTTTCGAGCAGATCTTCAAGAATGCGCTCACCGGCCGTACGTCATACCCGAGTCGAACGCATACAAACACCAAGCTAATGCATTACAGTCAACATGGGCGGTGGTAAGGGAGGATGCGACTTCGACCCCAAGGGCAAGTCTGATAACGAGATCCGCAAGTTCTGCGTTGCCTTCATGAGGGAGCTCAACAAGCACATCGGTATGTCTTGACCCTAGCGCGTCCCTTCACTTCAGCCTCAGTGGGGCATGCACCTTCAGCGGTTCGCATGCTCTTCCGACAGCAGACCAACGAGATCTGGCGGGTCTATCTTGCCTTATCTTCCCGTCTGTCTGGCACTGCCCCGTCGGCGACGTTCGCGCTGCTTTCTTGGTTCTCCACTAGGAACATTTCACTTACGTAAATCACAGGTGCTGACACAGACGTACCTGCGGGTGATATCGGCGTCGGTGGTCGCGAGATCGGTTACCTCTTCGGCGCATACCGAGCAGAGCGCAACCGCTGGGAGGGTGTCCTTACTGGCAAGGGCGGCTCATGGGGAGGCAGCTTGATCCGTCCCGAGGCCACCGGTTACGGTCTCGTATACTACGTTGACCACATGATCAACTACGCCTCAGGCGGAAAGGAGTCGTTCAAGGGCAAGCGCGTCGCCCTCTCTGGATCCGGAAACGTCGCTCAGTACGCTGCGCTCAAGATCATCGAGCTCGGCGGAACCGTCATCTCCCTCAGCGACAGCAAGGGCGCTTTGATCGCCGAAGACGACAAGGGTTTCACCCCTGAGATCATCAACCAGATCGCCGCCCTCAAGTTGGAGCGCAAGGCTCTTACTGCTCTGGAGAACCACAGCTTCAAGTACATTGAGGGTGCCCGCCCATGGAAGGAGGTCAAGAAGGTCGACGTTGCTCTCCCTTCAGCGACCCAGAACGAAGTCTCCGAGGACGAGGCCAAGGCTCTCATCGAGTCTGGTGCCAAGTTCATCGCTGAGGGCTCCAACATGGGCTGCACACAGGAGGCTATTGAGGTCTTCGAGGCTCATCGTCGCGAGAAGAAGGGCGAGGCTATCTGGTACGCCCCCGGAAAGGCTGCCAACGCCGGTGGTGTCGCCGTCTCTGGTCTCGAGATGGCCCAGAACTCTCAGCGTCTGTCATGGACCGCAGAGGAGGTCGACGAGAAGCTCAAGGGCATCATGAAGGACTGCTTCGAGAACTGCCTGGGTACCGCCAAGGAGTACTTCACCCCTGCCGAGGGCGAGTTCCCATCTCTCGTCGGTGGTGCCAACGTCGCTGGTTTCCGCAAGGTCGCTGCCGCCATGCACGACCAGGGTGACTGGTGGTGAACAGTTCGCTGCTGAGCGAATTGCCTTTTGTATATGATACCTTACGATACCTTCATTGTCTTTGGCGTTCGGAAGCTGGAAGCTTCCACTTGTATATAGATACCTTACATGAAATAGAATCATGAAATACTTCACCACATTCTTCGCATCAAGATTTACTTGTACCTGCCCACCAGGCAAATCAGTTATCCACACGCATCATCTTTCAACCATACACCGGAGAAAGCCGCACCCGAAAGACTCAATAGACACAGCTATCTAAAATAGACACGGTCACAACCCAATCTTCAGCATTTACGACTCAAAATATGCATCACGCCATCACGTCACTAAGCCCCCAAAGAATTACTCACCACAAAAGCAACGCTCAAAGTTTCCTAGTCAGGGCTCAAGCAGGTGGCAGTCGCGTGGCGCCCCTCCACGCGCCCCTGCCCCGCCAAAAAAGCAACACAGCAAAGATTCCCGACCCCACTGCTCGTCCACGTCCACGTCGAAGAAGCAAAAAAGCCCACACGCCAAATGCGAGTTGGGGCGCGATAGCTTATTACTCGTTTGGGTTAGGCTGACAGCCCGCGGCGAGGAGCTTCGGGGGTGTTATGTTATGTGTTTTGTCACGGCGCGCCGGGATGGGGGTGCGGTGGTACGGGCATGTCTTGCAAAATTGTCACGGCGAACTGGAACTGGAACCGTGATTATGTGCCGGCGCGTGAGTGTCGCGTCGCACAGTGGGCGCGCCGATGTGCGGAAAAGAAGTCGGCTTGGATAGGCACGGGACGGAAAAGCGTGAGGAGGCATGGGATGGGTTACCGCGTTTGGTTGGTTCGATATCGGAGGGCAATGTCGGGGGGTGTCGGGTTGGGATTGCGAGGGTCGGAGGGGGGAGGGATGGGTTTTGAGAGTACGGATGGCTTGGATTTAGATGAATTGTGAATGTGGAGTGATGGTCATGATGCTGGTGGGTGTGGGAGATGACTGTTGTGGTGCGCGACATGTTAAACTGTGCGGTCGCCTTGATCATCGCGGATAAGAATTGATCTTTGCTATAGGTGTAGGAAGTATGTATGGAACCTTTGTAGTTGCTGCACGTAGAAACTTCGCAGTCATGTATATAACATTAGTAATTGCTATGTCAAAAATTCTACATCATCCAAGTAGAGTAGTCCATTCTCTTAGTAAATCATCCACCTCGTCCATCCGACCCACCTTTTCTGTCTCATCAATGTAATTCCATCCATCATCGTCGTCATATCCTGAAGTTCCTGCTTGACTAGATGCGGAAGAGTACTCTTCTGGGCTCTCTTGTCTCTGCCGTTCTGACGGAGCGTGGTCTTTGCTTACTATGGGTATAGGTGTTAGTAATGCTGCGTTTAGTCTCTAAGAGAAGGGATGATGCATACTCTCTTCTTGCTTTTCGCTCCTGTCTCCGCATGGCACTAGTATTGGGAGTCGATAATGGTGATCAGAATGGAGAGATACCGGGGGCGCAGTATCAATCCGAGCTCGAATAGGAGAGCGGGAGCGTGACCGTTCATGGTGTCTGGTAGCTGCGCCGATGCAAACTCTTGGGCCTGCTGACTCTGGGATGTCTTCGCTGCGAGCAATAGACTTGCGTGTCCTCGACGCCGCCGACGACGCGCGTTGCCAGTGGGGTACTTTGCCACTGCTACGAGTCGAAGTTGAATCCGTGTTCGACTCTTTCCGTCTCTCTTGCTCTCGTCGTCGATCGTATTCCATGTTTCTTTCTTCACATCTTGCCTTCGCTCTCTCCAATTCCTTGTCAACATCAGATCCTCGCGAAGACACACTATGAGAGCGAACCTGCGTTTCAAATGAACCGTGGCGCCTGGTCGTTGACACCAGTGGTTTAGTCTGTTCGATTTTGTTGCCTTTTTTGTTTTTGCTCTTCTTCGATGAGGATGATTCAAAGTCACAAGCGCCTCTGTCTTCTGGTAGGTCTATTCTGAAAGTGCAGTTGGAGTCAGGGCTGGATCGCTGGTCCTCCTTGGCGAGAAGAAGAGCCATTTGCTGGTTCACGCGGTCGTCTATGGAGTACAAAGCGGCGTCCCGGAGGTCAGCTGCAACCTTATCGGCATGAGCAGGCTTGCCCGCGTGAGTCGAAGATTGTTCTGCCAATTCTGGCATCTTCAGCTTTTCGATATCTGATGGTAACGTTAGGCCTGTTTCTTCAATGGTGCGATACGAAAGGTGCAGCTCCTGGTTTCTGTGTGCTTGCAAGTTGAGGTTATACTTACATTCCCTACGTGCCTTTTCCTGTTCCTCTCGCTCTTTTCGTTCACGGTGGTTTCTCCTCCTCCTACGCATTTGCTCTCTTGCTATCGCTTTCTCCCTCTGATTGGGCTCATTCGTTTCAGATGAATCGTCGCACGAGGCCATTACGGCCGGTGGTCCATCGTGTTCGATCTTGTCCTTGTCTTTCTTAGGACTTCGTTTAGCCTCCTGGACGCGCCTGCTAGACGCATATGAGCCATTTCTAATTTCTTCTGACAAGTATCCGAGCGACGACGAAGGCGATCTATCGCGGGCTGGCTGTGATAGCTGAGACTGTGTAGGTCGACGAGAATCGCGCCTTTTGGTTGCTTTGACTCTTTCAGGGGCACTGGAACCTTCTCTTCTACGTAGTTCTTCTTGCCAAAGCCTCTCATCTCGAGCGCGAGCTTCTAGTTTCGCTAGCCTCGCCTGGCTTAGAAGCGGGTGCTGAGCATCATCCGCATGGGAGCGTTCATTGTTCAACTGTAGCTGAGAATGCGTTGCTCCAGGTCGATCAATTTGATCGGACACCTCGGTTACGAGTTCACCATCTGAAGCTCCATCCGTTTCTGGGTCGGTTCGATTGCTGGTCCTTCGGAGTGTAGGTGCATACTCCTCACGGTAACTAGACGGCATATAATCTGCACTAGGAGGTAAGGCGAGGGGAATATCTTCGCTTTCCGCGCGCAATGGAGGGCGGTGGGCTGAACCCCGTGTGGCGCTTCTATGCTCAACCTTGGCCCTTTGGTTTCTTGCTACCCGCTCAAGATGACGGCTGGCGGGTGTCGACCCCCGGTTGACTTCAGCAGAAACTCGGTCTCTTGTTCGCTCTTTCGCTCGCTCTCTCACTCGCCACATCTCGAACTCTATTCGTGCTCTTTCGTTACTCGAAGAGCTGCTGACATCTTCATCCTTTGCCGTCTCATTCAACGTAGCAGATACACTAGTCTGGGTGCTCGTCTTGCTGATCCATGGTTGACTTGATGTATCGGTGACTTTGGCTTGAGCATTACCAAGCAGCACACTGTCGAGATGAGAGCGAGCAAGAAAGTAGGATCCGATAGCCTTCTGATGGTGATCCGAATGATCATCCCCATCTACTTGTTTGGCCAAAGCAAGCTGCAGTGTCTCAATGTCTGTGAGCAGGCTTCGTACATGGTCCACACATGTGGCAAGCGTATCGGGGTTGACTGTTGAGCCCATGGCTACCGCAGCGTTGAAGATGTTAGACGACGAAGCAACGTCGTCTTCATCCTGTACTGATCGATCGCCATCGTCTACAGCAGTACTGCCATCGCTGATACTAAAGTTTCTCAGCGACTCCTCGTACTTCTTTGTGGCCTGCTTCTTGTTTTCGAGTAACTGCTTGATCTCTTCCCGGTGTTTCGCTTCAGCCTCGCGGTTGTACTTCTCCGATGAAACTTGATGGGCGTGTATGAGTACCTGCATCAACAGCTCCAGCGTGCTCTTGAGCTTATCGATTTGGCTTCGGAGCAGTTCGATCTTGTTGTCTTTGAAGGGCAACATCAGCCGGCCCATCTTTCCTGGCTTGCCCTTATTGATCTTCAACTCAAGCTCCGTGAAAACCGCAAAACACTCCTTGATCGTCTCGTTCGCCGTCTTGACTGCATTTTCCGAAATCAGGTTTGCAGTCTCGTCTCTCTCGAAGATGGTTCCCAGCTCTTGGATAACGAAGCTTGTGAGCTTGACTTCGTTCGCGATATCCTTGATTCTGCGATCGGCAGAAGCCACACCATCGGCATACTGGTACAGCGTCTGGGACAGCTTCAAGCCAGCGCCAGCCAACTGCACGACACTGGCGACCAGGCCTACCACCTCTGCCATGATAGAATTACGTGCAGCTACGGCAAGACGTGGTTGTTAAGCATGATGAAAAAAGATAACGATGGCTTCGAAGGAAGTTCTGAAATGTGCAAGAACATGGTGACAACAATGTGATTGTAGCAGCTTCAGTCTGTTGATGCCTCGAGCTAAGCGGGCTGAGTTGCGGCTAAGTGGGCGGGGTAGCACGCCCCGGCTGCGCTGCACGAACACAACCCATGATGAAACAGCCTTGCACTTCATTCCGCAGGCAGTCATCAATTAAGCGCTTCATCTCTAGAACACTGCGAACCTCCCACGACGCGAATAGGACTCCGAACGGGCTAACCGCGTGAAGCATAGTTTAGACCGCAAACTTGGATAGTTCGTGCGCAAGGTTCCCTCAAGCATCATCGAGCGTCAAGATCCCTGCCTGTCAGCCGTCTTTCCACTGATCGCCACGCACTGGGTCTCCCAATTGGGTGCCACACTTCCCCTGCGCCACAGAACCACGGTATGATATCATGGGGTCTTCAGCGGGCAGAGAGGCCTTGCTTCGGGTTTCGTCCTCGATACAAAGGCTTCCCCACTACTGACATTGACGCACCTTGCACATACTCACATACTGTTTGTTATACATACAGTATTTTCTTATTCCAGGGTCAAGAGCTTCGACCACCGTTCCCTAGACCTGCTCTCCACGTGCTCATCGTAATCGGGTCTGTCCCACCTGTCAACCGAAATTGGGTGTACTGCTGGCAATGGATGACGGTTTCCGACAACCTGCCAAACTTCAAAAGCGAAAGAGTCGCGAACGACAGGAACTTGAGCAGATGACCGGTGGCTTGAGTGGTCAACCCGCAGCCAATTCCTCGCAACCCATGTCTGGCTCCGACAACATGACGTCGGCTGAGAAGGAAAAGCGGTCGAAATGGCGCATGTCCAATCCATTCTCTTCCAAAGAGAAGGCATCGAAAGATAGCCTTAACCCTACTCACAAAGAGGAAGAAAAGGAAAAGGCGCGCAGGGATGCCGACTCGGCGTATTACAGTAGCGAGCGCAGCAGCGCAGATCCGAGCTTCAAGAACCAAGCTCGTCCCATCTCCGGTGAACAATACAACCATCCACCTACGAACAACCAAGCACCTCCAGCTCATACTACACCACCGAACGGGCAACACCAAAATACCCTTGCGCCTCCTCAGCACACGCAACAAACGCTTCAAAGCCGATCGAGCCATGAGGATGTGGGCAGAGAGACATATCGCGATGCCGGTTCGGGGAACATCGTCACCGTCACAACGACCACCACAACGACGACGACCACTACAACCGGTCCAGGTGGCTCCACCACTGTAGAGCAGCCTCGCGACAGCGTTGCTCCGTCTGAGCAAAGCGTACACACTTCTGGACCCAGCCCACCACAGCCAGCTCCTCCTCAGCCGGACAACCACTACCATCAAGGCCCGGGTCTCTCAGCCCAGTCTGCTATACCTCAAAACATCACTCCGCCAGTGCCTATGAGCAACAACCAGCCAGGCAACAGGCTCTCTCCACAAGTCTCCAACACCGACGGCCCTTCGTCTCCACCCATACCAGCGAAGAACAACATACGGCATAGGGTAGAGCTGGACTCGGTATCGCCTGGAGTTCAGAGGCCGAACCCGATGGAGGAAGTTGTCAGCCCAGTCACTCCCAGCAGCCCGAACCGTGCGAACTTCTCCTACCCTGCGAGAGCACCGCCCCAAGGAGTTCCACGACAGGTGCCTGGGAATGGCATCCATCCAGACCACCAGCGGATGGACTCTCAGCAACACCAGGAGGGTATCCCACCCGTACCTCCAGTTCCAGGACAACAGCAACCACCACGGCGATCGAGCATTCCTCAAATGCCCGCATACCAACAGCAGCAGTCTGGCATGCCGCCTATGCCAAACCAGCAGCCATCCAGCATACCCCCCAGCCTACAGTCCGGTATTAACACCAACAACGTCAACGATTCAGACCGCCCGGTTCCATACCGCGCTGGTCACGATCTGAACAAGCAGAGCACCATGGCAAACCTCAAGGCAGCAGCAGCGGGTATTCACGTAAGCACCTCACATGCCACCACATCTTCATACGTAAATATACTAACACTGTTCTACAGGGCGCAGGAGAAACCCTCCGCGGAACCTTCAACGACACATTCGACCGCCGCAACCCCGCCGCGCACGCCAAAAACCAAGCCGTCATCGACAAAGGGCGATCGGAAATCGAGGCCGCACGCGCCCGCCAATACGCTGCCCAGCAACAACAACAACAGCAGCAGCAGCAGCAACAACCACACATGGGGAATCACACATCGGTGTCACACCCGCAACCACAAGGACCTACAATCGGGGCTGCACCACCCCCTCCTGCTCAGTCGGGTGTAGGGCAGTCAGCGGTACCGGGCAAGACGGCGTATCAAGGGCCGCCGGTGTCTGGGTCGCAGATTGAGGGGAGGAGTGGTGGAGGTGGGAAACTGAGTAATATTATGAAGAAGATGAAGGAGGGGCCTACTCCGAGGCAGGATGGGGCTGCCAATCATCCTTGAGGATGTGGTTTGATATGGGATTGTAATGCGATGCGATAAGTTTCTGTAGGGCCAGATACCATGATGATCTTTCAATACGATGATTGCAATGACTGTATTTTACTTTGGGTGGAAGTGAGTTGAGCAATGGGGATAAATAACCTACGAAGTAGCATGCATGAAGTCAGAATGGAAAGACATTAGGCAGCGTTCTCATGTATCACAATGTGCGAAATAGGGTCAATTGCATTATGATTCATTCATTCGACTATATTACATGTTCGTAGACTCGTAAGATGCATCATCCGCGTCAAGGTGACCGACACTGTAACATTGACATTCGCTCAACCGTTAACGATAGTACCACCGTTGGCATGAATAGTCTGCCCACTAATCGAGCTGCTATCATTGCTAGCCAAGAAGACAAAGCAAGTAGCAATCTCGCTAGGCTGGCTCGGCCTGCCAATCGGCGCAGTGAACTGCTTGATAGCCTCGTCGTTCATGGTAGCAGGAATGAGAGGAGTCCAGACGGGACCGGGTGCAACGGCGTTGACGCGGATACCCCGTCCGACGTACTGGTTTGAGAGGCCGCGGGTGAAGGCCACGATGGCGCCCTTGGTGGAGGTGTAGTCGAGGAGGTCGGGGCGTCCGACGTAGGCGTTGATGGAGGCGTTGTTGATGATGGTTGCGCCGCGCTTCATGTGGGGGAGGGCGTACTTGGAGAGGTAGAAGAAGGGGTGGATGTTTGTGTCAAAGGTGTGGAGCCATTGTTCTCTGTGCACTGTTAGTATTCTACCTGGATACGAAGAAGAGGTGATACGCACTCGGAAAGGTCGTGGATGTCGTTGATCATCATCTGGTAAGCGTGGTTGTTGACAAGGATATCAATGCCACCCATCTGCTTGACAGCCTCGTCGATAACCTTCTGGCAGTTCGCCCTCTCCTTCAGGTTGACGGCTAGAGTGTAGCACTTCTGTCCCTTCTCCTCTACCATCTTCTTGGTGTCTTGTGCGTCTTTCTCTTCCTCGGGAAGGTAGGCGATGAAGCTGTCGGCGCCCTCCATGGCGAAGAGAACGGCGATTGAGCGGCCAATGCCGGAGTCTCCACCGGTGATGATGGCGCGCTTGCCCTTGAGCTTGCCGGCCGCCTTGTACTTCTCAGCACCTCCCTCGGGTGTTGGGAGCTCGTCGACCTTGGGCAGGGGGTCTAGCTTGGACTCGAGGCCGGGGGCCTGTTGGTGCTGAACATCGGGCTGGAAGCCTGTGATACTGAGTAAGTACAGGAAAGTAATCGAATGCTATAGTGCGTGCTTACCCTGCTCGAATTGTCCCTTGTTGGACGACATGCTGTGTGGTTGTTTGTGGGTATCTCGAGATTAGAAAGAAGTGTCTAAAGAGAAGAAATTGAGTGCAGTTGTTTGACTCAGTGTGAGGATGGTGTAATTGTCGAAGCCAGCGCCGTTCAAAGTGGAACTTTTATTGACGTTCATGATTTCTTGTGACATCACAAGGCTGTCACGGCACGCTCATGTGCAAGAGTGGAGCCTGGTGTGGTAAGAGTTAGGCGGAACATCACCGAAGGATGGGACTATTGAAATGCCCATCGACGATAGAATGCCATCGGTCGATGTATCGACGCTGGCGCGAACTGGTGGGAACGGCTAACGTCGCCTCAGCCTTACCCGTAGCTTTGACGCGCTCTTTCGCACGGCTTTATGATTGACAGCTGTATTATTTGAAGGATACAAGAACCTCCAGCTGAGAAGAGGATTGCGACTGCAGCTCGGATTGCTTACGAGAAATGCAGTCGGGGCACCTTCTGAAGCAACCCCACCAAGCTCATCGGTCGCGACGTCATCGAGTCGATCAGGTCTACAACACTTTTCCAGACTTCATCATACTCGCAGCTTTACATTGACGATCCCAGTACCGTATCACCACCGACTGCCATCTCATCCAACACCTCAGCGCCGTATTCGCAATCTTCACAACCCAGCGATGACGCCGATGAAGCTATTCAGAGGTATGACGTACTTCCCGCCCTAAAATCAGGGTCCAGCCGCGCCGCGCTATGACCGCATCCAGCCTCGCCCGACCACTCCGATTCCAAGACCCCTAGCACCAACGGGCATCGTAACTCGCTCTTGCATGGAACAAGCCACACCAAGGCCGTTGTAACAAGGTAAAAAGCTGTTAGGGCACGTCATGCGCCACGACTCATGTACCAGGGCACAAGCTTGTCCGGGTCCCTGCATGACGTGAGATAGACGATCGCAGCCAGATGCAGGGTGCTGGGCATGGTAGAACTTGATTTCAGGGACTTGGAGGGAATGAGATTGCGTGGACTGGGTTTGGGGTCCTTTGGGAGGGTGTGGTATAAGATGGGGGGTTATAGCACGTCTTTGTGTATTCACATCACTACACCATTCTATCTATTACAAGCTATCGATCCTAAGAGCTTCCAACTCTACAACACAACCACATCTCTACCTCAACCAAACCAAACCTACCAACGCAACTTTCAGCAATCATGCCTCTTGCCCGCCGCGCCGCTCCTCGCACCACTACACGTGCTCGCCCGTCCCTGAAGACCCGCCTGCTGGGTGGACGCAAGACACGCACCACCAAGCGCGCACCCGCGACTACCGTCACCACTACCACGACTACCAGGACCACTCGCACAACTGGTGGTCGCCACGGTCACGCTACTACTGCGGCCCCAGTCCACCACCACAAGCGCCATGCTACCATGGGTGACAAGGTCAGCGGAATGATGATGAAGTTGAGGGGTTCTTTGACTCGCAGGCCAGGTCTCAAGGTAAGCAATCGTTTGTCTTGATGAAATGTACTTGACTAACGTTATGTAGGCTGCTGGAACTCGCCGCATGCACGGCACTGACGGTCGCAACGCCCGCCGTGTCCACTAAGCTTTTCTGACGAAAGCTACGAGAGAATTTCCTTTATTGTTAGCATGACGATGAGTGTACGATAGGCATGGAGATACCCGATGTTCGAGCGTTTAGCACTTAATGAATCTCATAAAGTTCCAACTTCATCACTTTGAACTCAATCCATGTGTTGAACGCTGTGTATCTTGATCGTGATCAACAGCTATATGTGATTACTTCTTGAGCTGAGCTCTTCTCGGGTCATCTCTGCTTAGTCCTTCTCCCACCGGCTCGCATGTCCCACTAAACGTGCTTATGCAGTACCTAGGTATCCACAAGATGTTGTATGAACGCGTGGTGTACGAACAGGCTGCCAAATACATCCGTCCATTTCGAGACCTTTAATCCTCTTCAGGTACACGGTAGCCGTCAGGACCTCGGAGGATCTTCTCACGGAGGTCCGGTCGACCGAGCCAGGATATGTACCAGGTAGGTTGACCATGCTTGATGCGGCACTTTGTATCCCATCGACCTCCAACAGACTGGTTGTGTTTCTCATACTCGTCGTCCAGGTTATCTCCGCGAGGTTTGCTACGATCCATACAATCAAGGCACATGCCATTGAAGTATCCGAGCGTGTTGGACATCGCCTTGAGTACGGTACTCTCCCAGTCGATGCTACGGCAGCGATTGCACTTCGCAGTGTACGCGTAATCGAAAGCCTTGAGGCGACGTACGACCTGGCCGATACTAGAGTAGTTGAGGACATCGTCGACTGGCCAAGCATCGCACTTGGTGAGGGCTAGCTGGTAACGACCGATAGTGGCATCCCAGCAGGAGCACAGCGAAGTCTCGGAACGAAGGATTCTGCCGACGCGCGAATAGAGTGACTTGTGAAGGGAGTTACGGAGGCCTCCGCGGGCATGGTTCAGAGGACCTGTTAATCAATGTTGGCATTCGGAGTTTTCTGGTACATGCGTGTAGATGGGCAGAAAAGAGAGGAAGAGACTTACCGACAAACATGCGCTCGTTGATGTGGAGGTGCTTGGGACCCTTGAAACCTTTCGGCGGACGCTCCTTGACGTGTCCAACATGCTCATAGGCGAGGTACTTGGTGACGCGCGCATAGCCGACAGCATGGTCGAAGATATAGCATGGGTATGCGAGGGCTCGAGCAGTCGGGACAGTCAAGTCGACTTTGGCCATGTTCTTCTCGTACCATTTGTTGAACCAAGATCCCAAAGTCTCTTTGATCTTGCCTTCTTGACGGCTGTCCCACAGCGATATCGCATGCCAGATTCCCACGAGCGAGACTTTGAAGAGGCCCAACTCTTCCAGTCGCTGTTCGGAGAGCTCATGGAGATGGGCGAGCTAGATGAGGGTACCCTCCTTGTTCTCACCGTCGTAGTCGGATTTGGCTTCACCACCAAAGGTAAGCTCTGTCTTGTCCTTGCTAGCTTCGAGGAGAGCCTTCACATAAGGTGACCTGGTACAGATATCCAAACTGACGAGCAGGTCTGTGACGTGTTTGACGCCATCGTCATCGACTGAGCCAATGATGGTAATGCACAGATCAGACTGCGCAAAAGGTCAGCTAGACATCGCATTGACCCAGAAGTCTACATTGCCTAGATCTCTCGGCGAGCTTCGTCTCCATGACTATTGTAGACTGCAGGGCACAGGTGAAGGTCGCTTACCAAGCCAGCTTCGGTCGTGAGCACAATGTCCTGATCTTGGACCAGGGATACTGCCGGTCCTTTGCGGGCAGTGAGTCCTGGCATCGTGGGCGATTTGCTGATGCGACGATTGTATCCGAGAGAGTCGCAGCTTGAAAATCGGAACGTGTGTAAACACTGTAGATAGAAAGAGCAACGCTTGGCGTTGCCGCTAACAACACGCTCTCATGTGACTGGCTACAACAAAGGGCAGCGACGCCCACACCGCTGAGCACAGTTGACTAGAAGCTTCGAAGAACCTTCTTCTTCCAAATCTACGACTACATATCAAGTGCGCTGAAGGCATGCGCTATATTCGACACTCGTACAAGCATGACTTAACGCTGCAAATATATGTAGGGACTTAACCTTACTGCGTACAACTCAAGGATGGGTTGTATAGGTATGTCATAAATAGAGTAACATGATGAATTGAGGAGATACCAGATGAGAGATTCGAGGGGAGCTTTGATATCGCGACTGCAGAAGGAAAAGATAAGACATAGAGGCTTACGTCAATCAAGATAGGATCCGAACAGGCCTGCAGCCTACAATAACATGTAGACCTACTAGATAAGTGACCTAGCGTCAATGTAGGCTCTAGACCTGTTCAGTTTTTTTTGTATGAGGTGGGCTTGTACTTCGTATCAACTTGATGGCCTGTGCCTGACGGCCATGTTCAAGTAGAATGACGAGAGGAGGCCAATGAAGCAAGACGCCGTGTATCGTACCATATATTGTCAAAATGTACTAGATCCATTCCGGAAGGACGCGTATTATGTAGTACTTTGGGGCCAATCCAATTGGGCAAGGGACGGTCTATTGCTGGCGCTCAGGTGTTCTCGCGGTCTTCTCGAGTCGTATCACATCAGAGATGTTATCTCATAAATGCGCTGCGCGTAGGGTGTATGATTCATCTTGGTGTTGATGAAAGTGATGATGAAGTCGACGAGGAGCAACTTAGAAGTCCAGCCAGGCCATGCCCCACTAGCGCAATGATGCAAACCATGCAAACATCATCACCACCGAATCCACTGATCTCATCCACCCATCTCCAAATCCACCTAATTGGAATTCCACCACAACACAATGCCTCCTCTACGGCTTTCCCCAGCGCTACTTCGCGCGCGACCGCAAGCGAATTACCAATGTCTCCGCCGCATCGCACCCTTCCGCCGCGCATCAACCACACCACCGCAAAGCGACATAAAGCCCGTCGTACCCTGGAAAACACCAACCAGCGTCTGGTCACCCGAGAACCTCATACCCCCACCCAAAGATGGCGAGATACTACTTGAGCGCCGACCAAACCGCGCATTACCACCGTATGTCTACCTTTGCACAACACCCATCCTCAGCCCATTGACCCTCCATCTACACTCCACTCCGTCTTCTTAACAACCTACTGACACATACTCATAGAGTCCCACCCCTAATATCCCCGCAAATCCTCAAAACGATGCCTCTCTTCATCCTCGCCATGACCGCTTGCCTCTTCGCCTTCTTCAACTACCAAAAGCAAGAATCCTCCGTCGTAACCGCAACCCTCTACGCGCTGCGCACAAACCCGCTTGTGCGCGAGCAGCTCGGCGACGAAATCTATTTTGCGAGTAAATATCCTTGGATCAAGGGCGAGATCAACCAGCTGCATGGGCGCATCGAGATCAGCTTTTGGGTTAAAGGGACGAAGAGGGCGGGAGAGGTTAGGTTGACGTGCAGGAGGAGGGGCAGGGGTGGGCTGTATTATACCAAGGAGTATAGTTTGACGTTGGAGGATGGGACGAGGTTGGAGCTTTATGATCCACAGGGGAACGCTATTGATCCGTTTCAGGCGATTGCTGTGGAGGAGTAGGGGGAGAGGTAGATGGCGGGGATGCTGTGGCTGCTGTGGAGAGAGAAGCAACTCTGATGACCGGAGTGTGTGGATTGTTGGGAAGTGCTGGATGCGAAGACTGTCAACTCGCCTCGTCCTGGCTGGTAGCAAGCACTTTCGCAGAGCACCAAGTCAGGAAAGATCAGCGAACTCTCACGCTGTGTACCATATGTAAATATATATGCGCATCACATATCACTAAGATGCAATGAGAACCAAGTCATTGAATAGCAATACTAAATATTGCTAGGAGAGGAGTATATGCTAGTAAGAACCCCAGAAAAGAAAGTACCGCTTCCAACGAAGGACAGCTCGCTCGACAGATAGGCGTCTTTCTGGAGCGTCAATGATAGTAGTCTCAATGTGCCAAACGCCAATGCCGTGTGTAGCAGTATGCTGATGTAACAACTTGAAGAAAAAAGAAGAAAAAAGAAAGTGGTATCATAGTAATCGTACTCATCTTCACAAATCCCCCCGTACCCCTGCAAGTCCAGTCCAGTCCACCTAAAACTTCTCGTAATCCGCCTCAGGCCTCCTAACACTAGGATGATGCGCCAAATTCGGCTTAACAAGATGAGCAAACTGCGGATTCACATTCAACGGATAGCTAATCTCCGGCATACGCGCAGTCTCCTCCTCCTGCTCCTCACGCTGGCGCTGCCAGAACTTCTTGCGTGCGGGCTCGCCCGACGTGGTGCGTGAGTAGATGGAGCTGGAGGGGCGGTGCGAGAAGAAGCTGGGTTTAGCTGGTGACTGGCTGTGGTAGGAAGGGAGGAAGGATTGGCGGGCGTTGCGGAGGGCGCGGAGGGGGCTGAAGTCGAATTGCGAGAGGCGGTTTGGGTCTTCCTTGGTGGGGGAGGGGACTTGAGGGGAGCCGCAGTCGACGGGTGGGGTGCCTGTGCGCATGGGGGGTGGGCTGTTATTGAAGTTGCTGCGCGAGGAGGTGCTGCCTGTGTGGTGCGTGGTTATGGTGAAGGCTTTGTGCTTGGGGTCGTATTGGGATTGCGTCTCGGCGTCCTCGTGGAGGGTCATGGCGCCTCGTGAGCGGACCATGCGGGCGGTGATTCGCCGAGACTTGTCGCGGAAGACGAAGCTCGCGACGATGTTGAAGAAGCCGATGACGATGGCTAGGATGCCAGAGGCTACGAGTAGGCGCCAGAAAGGTAGGGTGAGCGACTCTTGGCTTGTGGCTTCCTTGTTCATGTTGCCGAGCATGTTGAGTCCGACTATCATCATCGCGCAGCCCAGAGTCACGAAGCCATGCGAGGGGCTCAGGAGTGGCCAGTTGCGGGCGTAGAAGTTGCGGAATAGTGAGCATTCTGAGACGATGAAGAAGAGTCCGGCGATTGCGGTGATCACATGGCTCGTGGCATCGAAGAAGAAGAACTGCATATGTGAGCTTTTGCGAGTCTCAAGAGTAGGTTTCTAGACGCACCTTGGAGATGATAAAGGTCTTCACCAGCATGACCACACTGCTGGCGACCACGGAAGCAAGAGCAATGATGTTCAGACCGCGCAAGACGTTGAGGATAATGTAGCCCGGACCAGCCAGGTGTTCGGCTGAGAGAAGCGCCATTTCGTTCGTGTAGAGAGAGTCGTAGGATACTGAATCGTCCAAGTTCGTAGAGAGATACAATTGGTCTGTCCAGCAGTCGCGTCGAGCGTAGGGGTAAAGAAGAGAGGGAGCGTATAGATTGAACAAGTTGAGTTTACGAAGATAAAGGTAAAAGGGAGTGTCCCACGCCGTCAAGGCAGCACGCCTTCAACAATAGTAACAATAACGAACAATAGAGACGTGAAGACTAAAGTAAAATGGAGAAGCAAGAACCCAAGGTGAAGGAGGAGGGGAGCCTCAGGACATAATTCGCCGCTAGCCTGACCTGCCCATAGTCGCGAACCTTACAATAGAATCCAATATCGACCATCGCGCTGGGAAAGGCTCGTCGCCTCACCTTCGAGTGGCCCAAACGACTCCAGCGACCGTAGTCGCGCCCGTACTACCGGCCCATGTGAAACGCTCCCCGCTAGACTCGGCGGGAACGGCACTGCGAGAGGGCGGCCCAGTCAATCATTTCGCAGCGAGCAGACTCGGCTGCGAAATTGTTGCAAGGCATCGTACAGGGTCAACGTGGGGTTATGGCATCCAGCCGATGAGGCGCGGTTTGGTCGAGGTGTGGCAGTCGCGTAATGATTGGTGTTGACGCCTTGAAACGCGCTCGCGTAGCCGCAAGGGCCGTGTTTCAGAGCTAGAAACATCCGCATGCCATGGGCTGCACCACCGCGGGCGGCAAGACATAAGCGGGCCTTCAATCGTTGGTAGCCCGTCCGTCCAATGTGAGGCGCCACAGTCTGGGAGTCGTTGTTTTGGGCTGCTTGCAGTGGAGATGGAAGGCGCGAGACTGGCGGGTACATAGGGCGCCAAGCGAGGGTCTGTCAGCAACGGAAGTTTGTTCCAAGTGCGCTCCACATGCTCGTCCTTGATCAAACCATGATCGGCTTGTAGAGTCTTGTGAAGAGCCGGAGACAGAATGTTTAGTCACCACAGAAGATGTATGCGTCACACATGTCCAATCGATGGGTATGGAAAAGTCATCATATTGCAGTCCAAGAACGATAGGGTATAATGCGGTAAAAGACCATAAGTGCGCCAAGGAACCGATGGTTCAGTTAATAGTGAGCTCGCCCCCAAACACTTTGCCCACTCGATATACCTGCCGCGACCGGGGCAGTCGACCATTAACCTATAAAGATTGTCAGTTCACCACTCTATTACCCTGAAAGACTGGGTGTGGTGACTTACCAACGTGGTATTCCGAAAAACCAGCTCGTTGCCGTCACTGAAAGGGCGAGTATTGGTCGGAAGATTGAAGACCTGTAACAAAGACTGGTTCTCATCGCGATCGTTTGGAGCAGAGTTGCGATCCGCCATCGATCCCTCCGTTGTGTGGTGAGACTTCCATGCACCATCGCTTTCATCATGGACATCCTCCCGGCCGTATTTTCGCACGTGTGCCAAACGCCAGTTCGCCCCAAAGAATTGCTTTCGTGATGGCCTGGCCTTGATCTCTTCAATCTTTGCAGCCTTCTCTTCCGAGGTCATGGTCTCAATTGAGGGCGCTATGTTGGGCGAATATGCACTCCGGAAGTCCGTTCCGCGTTGGGCTTCGAGATCGTCGACAGGCGCCCTTGTCAGACGTGAGACAGTAGCACGCTCGAATGGGTTGTATCCTGGTTCAACATCTGTAGTAACCTCCTCCATCATTGGTGTCGGTAGAGAATCGTGAGTTATAGCATTCCGGCGGCTTGGTGCACTCTTGATAGCTCTGGTAGTTCTTCTCTTGATCTGCGTTGGCTGTTCATCCTGGATTTCCGCGTTCTGCATGACATTGTCCGCTACAGCACGCTGTGATGTAATCTTCCTGGCATTCCCGTGACCTTCCTGGGGTCCCAGTACTGAAGGCAAAGGAAGGTACTCGTGGTACTCTTCCTCGTATTTCGCCCTATTGGCTGTGCTAGTGAAATTGTACACAACCCGTTCATATGGCCGTCCTGAAGGCTTCACGCCGTAGAACTCAGGTTGATGGGAGAGAACTGACTTAAGACTCTTCTCCCAGGCGCCTTGGCCTTTTTTCAAGTAGGAGAATCTCAAAGCCAGCCAGTCGATTATCTCCAACGCGGTCATACCTGTGCCTTGTGCACACACCAGGGCTATCCTCGCTAAATCGCGGTTTGTGTGACGCTTCGTTGGTATAGACGGACCTGAGTGTGCTTCGGTTGGGCTTTCAGAGATATTGGAATCTCTTTCAGCCGTCTCATCCGACTTTGAAACCGCTGACTCTTGTTCCTTGGCCGCTGCAGGGGCAGCTCGATCCGGCAAACCATTGGTAGAAGGGTGCTTAGGCGACATGTGCGTACCCACTTCGGTAGGATCAGGAACAGTGGAAGCCGGATTCCGAGATTCGTCTTCTCCTAGCAGATCTGAACTATATGTTGAGCCGGAACGAAAAACATGCGGACCGGACGTTCCTGCTAAGTCGTCGAGATCTGACGTCTCAGTGGGTTGGACAGAGCGCTCTCGCGGCTCATTGACCTGTGGTACTGAAGCGCTGTTGGACGATGAACTTTCTGGTCTTATCTCGTTGGGTCTTGACATAGTCTTCTGGCCAAGAGTTTCAGCAATCGACGTTACTTTTATCGGCGCACTCTGCTCAAGTGAGGTTTCTTGTGACGTGATCAAGGCATCTGGAGCTGGGGTGTCTGCGGAGGATAAGCCAGGCAGAGCATTATCACGAACCTTCCCTATATCCGGCAGGGTCTTTGCCCGATCTGGGTCGAACCAGGACAAGGGGCTAGTCTTGGCCGTTGTTGACCCAGGCTTGTCCTCTGACATGGGCGGAACATGTGTTGAGGAAACAATTTCCACTTCATGATTACCTAATCTTGCAGCTGATGGATGACTGATCGAATTTGCCGAGCTCATTGGTAGGAGTGACGCATGACGACGAGCGGTGTCGACATCCGGAGTCTCCGGTATCTCTTGTTGGCCCATTTCTGCAATACGGGATTTTGTGCGACAGCCGGGACTATACATCGATCAGACTTGTCTGGAATAAAACATGCACACACGTACCACTGAGCATCTTTCTCTCCGGTCTTGACTAATGCGGTCTGTTTTCGACATCCCGAACAGAGAGCTGTGAAGGGGGCCTGGTTTTGGGTGTGGCTCGGATCATCGAGGGCCAATGCATCCTCATCATCTTGCGTAGAGGTGTTTCGTTGGAAGACACGGGCGTTAGGCAATTTTTCTGATGAATGCTCGGGTATAGAACTGTCAAACTGACTCGACCGTTGTGATGGTGTGTTCGGAATCTCTGTGCGCTCGAGCAGCTTTGATTCAAGTGGCTGAGATGGGCCCAAAACATCCTTGGGTTTAATAAGATTGACAGACGTGGCAGCACTCGAAGTGGTTAGGGCGATCTCAGGCTCCACACGCTTTTCAGGAATGTCCTCTGGGACACGATCTGGTGGCACGGCATTTTGAACTCGGTGGGCGAATCTCGGTTTCAACAATTCTCTCACGACAGAGTGACTAGCGGGGGCCGGTGCTAAGGACACGCTGGAAGGTTTACGTGTTCCAATATCACTCAAGCATGCTGAGCATCGCCACTGTAGCCTGTCTTCTTTAGCCTTTATTTATCATGAAGGTGTGAGCCCCTTACGGATTAGTGCCCGGGGCGAGCGGAGGCTTTCGACAGCTATCATGGTATGATCTAGAGCATCCCGAGCATGCGACTATCGGGTTATAGCTCGTGGCACTGGATTTATCACAGATGAGACAGGTGGCTTTAGGAAATGAACCGGACTTCGAGGGCTTTCTTGATTGAGATACATGGCGCCTTCCTGAGATATCGCGGGCGTTCCGGTTTACATGTGGTTGAGGAGCAGCTGGTGCTGGGAACGATTTGGAGACCGGTATTGCGCCCGCGTTGCGGTTACTTTGCGCAGTCGAGGTGGCTACAACGTGTTCATTAAAGCTATAGTATTCGTCAGTATAGCAAAGTATTCCTCAACATCCTCCATACCTATGCGTGATTGCGCTAGGGTCAGTCGAAAGACCTGCCTTTCGAGTCGTCGAGTTGGGCTTGCCGGATGTTGTACGTTGACGCTTCAGTGGAGGCGGTGATATCACACTCTTTCGGCGCGGCTGTGCGTTACTTTGGCTCAAGGTGGAAGGCTTCTCTGAGACTTCCTTGTCGACAATGCCAGGCCGATCATGATGTGGTAGCTTGAGATGAGATGCAGAAGGCGGCCGTTGTTCTCTCTCATGATTTTCCATTTGGAATGTTGTACGGAGGTAGAAGCTAGTACCTGCAATAGTACATAAATGTCAGCGTGTACTTTTAGAATATCATTGGAGAAGTCAAGTGACAATGAGCGACGTGGATCAGTTCTCTTCAGTTTGTTTGTTGCATGGCAGCATTTCGCTGCACTGGAGGCTTCCGCTTTGTTTCTTCGACGGGCAAGCACGCGCAAACAGTGAAGGCCGCGACATACTAGGCCACGCAGCAGGCGCAAAGGCAAACCATCTCAGTGCTCTCAGCGATCTAACCTTTTACCAATGGTCATCATGCGAGAAGGGATCCGCGTCAGTTGTCAGTGCTTGATTACTTACTTGCTGTGTGGTTCAATCCGCTGACCCGACTCGGAATAGAGTGGGCTTAGTCCGGAGAGACGCGTCTAGGACAAGGTGCCGCTTCCGCGCGACATACGGGAGAAGACGATGAGAGAAAAGCCTGCGAGCAGCCATGCGGAGTTTGTGATTTCTCATGCGTGTGGGTGAGAGAACGATGCGAGGCGGCAAGTAAAGGCGAGAGTGCACCGATTGTTGTGTCGTCCGGTGTTGAGGACGGAAAGAATCAAGGGCTCCAGGGCTGTGCGTTGAGCGTGGATCGCGCTATCACGTGCCGATGATCCGGTGGGGCAGGCGCATCTGGCCTCTACGTGCACTTGCATGTGCTTGCGGTACAGATTCACCAAAGTTACAGCAGCGCTATGAATTTTCTCAAATCAGCGGTCGCATCTGCGATATCGCAAGGCCCGGCCTTTGGTTACACATTTGGGGATCGGGTCGATTTGAATGACTCCATCTGGACACTGCACAACGGCACAAAGCGAGTATGGCCCGGAGGTCTGCCTGTGCGCGAACACATGCTAACATACGCCTGCTAGGACGACGGCTCCAAATGTAGCATCTTCTCCTTCGACATAACCGCCAACAAGTCCCGACTGCCCCTCGCTCGCAATGCGCTCCGCAAACTACGCACCCTGCGTCATCCAGGAGTCGTGAAGGTCTTGGACACGGTCGAGACGGAGACATATATCTACATCGCGACCGAACGACTAAGCCCACTCAGCTGGCATGTTAAGAGGAAGAGTCTGACAGAAGAGACCACGAAATGGGGGCTACACAACATTGCGAAGACGCTCAAGTTCGTGAATGCCGATGCTGCGTCGATACACGGCTGCATCCGCCCAGCGTCTATATTCTTCAGCGAGAGCGGCGAGTGGAAACTTGGCGGCTTCGATGCGCTGAGCTCTGTGAAAGAGGACGATTCCATAATACCGACCTATGGTGGTCTCATACCAGATGCGGGACGGTACATGGCTCCTGAAGTTTCCAAGGGAGGGTGGGAGGTCGTTAAGCAGAACCCGACGCACGCCGTAGATGCATACAACTTTGGTATCCTTATCTTCGAGGTCTTCAACGGCAGCTACAACAGTAGCGACCAGCTAGGGCAAATGAAGAGCATTCCACCAAGCATGCACCAATCATACAAACGCCTCCTCAACCCAAACCCAAAGTCGCGTATGAGCGTGGGCCAGTTTTTGGATCAGGGAAAGCGGATCGGAGGCTTCTTTCAAACACCATTGATTCAAGTGACGGACGACATTGAGAATCTGGGATTGAAAGCCGAGGACGAGCGGAATGAGCTACTCGGGTAGGTAATTCCAGAATAACTTTCTAATCAGTATGCTGACCGATCATAGGAAGCTCGATGCGGTCGCGGACGACTTCCCAGCGGATTTCTTCAAGATGAAGGTACTTCCTGAACTACTGAAGTCTGTCGAGTTTGGAGGCGGAGGTGCCAAAGTATTCAGTACCGTCATGCAAATAGGACAGAAGCTTTCCGACGACGAGTACGAAACTCAGATCACACCGGTTGTTGTACGGCTTTTCGCAAACCCGGATCGAGGGATACGGGTCTGCTTGTTAGACAACCTGCCGCTCATGATCGACCATCTACCTCAGAAGCTTGTGAACGATAAGATCTTCCCCCAGATGGTAAGCGCCACTTCAATTTCTTGAACGGAAAACTGACATTATTAGGTGACTGGCTTCTCGGACATCGCACCGGTAGTGAGAGAACAGACAGTGAAAGCTATCCTTACTGTGGTACCCAAGTTATCAGACAGAACAGTGAATGGCGAGCTTCTTCGCCATCTAGCAAAGACGGCAAACGATGAACAGCCCGGGATTCGGACCAACACTACAATCTGTCTAGGAAAGATTGCGCGGAACTTGGGAGCTAGCGTGCGTCTTGATACATTCGACGTACAAAACAGACACTAACATATTGACAGAGCCGAGCAAAAGTCCTCGCAGCAGCTTTCTCTCGCTCGCTACGTGACCCGTTCGTACACGCTCGAAACGCTGCGCTGCTTGCACTGGCCGCAACAGCCGATCTCTTCACGGAAGATGACTGCGCGACCAAGCTCCTCCCCATCATGTGTCCTTCATTGGTAGACAAGGAGAAGCTCATTCGCGACCAAGCACAGAAGAGTGTTGACATCTACATTGCACGAATCCGCAAGTTCGCGGCCACAATGCCGGATACCGTGCTACCATCACCAGGTCTCGCCGCTGGCGGGGGACCTACCCCACGGATTGGGACACCTGCAAACGATACCTCGTGGGCCGGCTGGGCCATTTCAAGCTTCACAAACAAGTTAGCATCTACAAGCGGCGAGATGCAGGCCAACTCTGTAGCCAATGGAGCAGCGGATCAAAGATCGTCCTCTGTACCACCAGCTACCACAACCACCAGCAAACCACCAGTTCCCGTAGCATCAAAACCCGGAATGACCCTGCATAGCGCAAAGAGTACCGCCTCAATTCCTACCATCAAATCACCCGATCCAGCAGCGGCGTTTGATGACGAGGCAGAAGACTTCAACAATGACTGGGGCGGCTTCGCTGACGAAGAGGAAAAGCCACAAGACGAGGAGGACCCATGGGGTACACCAGCCGTGTCGAAGCCAGCATCCACGACGTCATATGATGACAAGGGCGAGCCAGACTTCGCGGGATGGTTGGCAGCTCAATCGAATGCGAAGAAGCCCACGAAGAACGCTCTTCCAAAGGGTCTCACTAAATCAGCTACGCCAGCAGCAAAGGCCGCTAGACCGGCAGTAGGAAGCAGGTCGAGCACGACAGGAACGACGAGAAAAGTCATCGTGCCGCCCAAGAAAGAGGTCAAGAAAGAAGAGCCGAAAGCTGACGAGGAAGAGGAAGGCTGGGGTGATGCCTGGGATTAATAAGGTATCTCGCAAATGATGTCGATTGTTCAGCATAGCGACGGCGTCTTTGAGATGGGTTGCACCTGATAGATCTCATTGCAAGATCGTATGACTAGTTTTAGAGATTACAATCTTAGGGATACATAATGTTACATGTGACGGCGTTTGTCGAGCTCTATGCTTTCTTCTCTTCCTTTTCCCGCTTGCCGAATGTGTAGGCTAGACCGCAACCTGCCACGTTGATGGCGCACAGAGCGAGTGAGCCTCCTCTTACTATGCCGCGAGCGCTGAGCTTGTTCTTGATGCCCTGGGTTTGGTTAGATTTTGCCACTCTCAATGTAGTCTGATGGAAGAATCCTTCGACGTGAAGGAATAATTCAAACATACCTGACTTCTCCGCATAGCAAGCAATGCATATAGACCACTCCATGCAGCCGTGATACCGGCAGCATCGGTCTTGTAGTTGCTCAAGTTCAGGTAGGAGGAGAAGAGCAAGACGGGTGTAAACGTCATGGGGAAGAACTGGAATGGACGAGCATGTTGGGCTGTGATTAGGGTGGCGAGGAGTGTTGGCGGTACGGAGTTCTCTGTACAACAATGATTGAGTTAGTGACCTTGCCTCGATAAGTATACAAGACAATGTGAGGCACGTGCGACGAGGTGAATCAGGAAGTAACAGGATAGACGTACCTCCCCAATTCCTCAGCGATTGCAGCATAGAGGCTTTTGGTTGTTCGGGCATGGTGGAGTTCGTGTGCGCTATAGAAGTGCGTAAAAGAATTGACAGGCGAGTGAATATGTCCAGTGCTCAGGAACAAATGCGCACAGAAGGGTACATGGGTTGAGATTGGGTGAAGACCATGACGTTGGTCCGGCAAGTGGACCGCCCGCCCGTGCCAACCCAGCACATGGAAACTGGCCTCCGGGACTCGCGAACTTCGACAGACAACAGATAACGCTTTAACGACTAATACCACCACAACCCCGTCACGGGACGATATTTGATTCACGCACACCCATCGCCATCACCGCCGCATTATCACCAGCCGTCCACACTTGCGCATCGGCCTCCCACCCCCACCGCTGCCTGCCCCGGCAGCACAATCTCCCACCACAACACACCGATACCCCACAAACCGCCTCTCGCACACGACACAATGTCAGGCAAAACCTCGGGCTCCGACGCCAAATCGCGAGACCACCACGACGGCAGCGCCGGCCGAGCCTTCACGGTCGAGCAAAAAGCCGCCGTAATACGCATCAAATCATGCGCGCCAACCGCCTACTACAAGATCCTCGGTCTGGAAGAAGTAAAAGCCAGCTGTTCAGACTCGGACATCAAAAAAGCGTACCGCAAGCTCTCCCTCCTCACGCATCCGGACAAGAACGGGTACGATGGCGCCGACGAGGCGTTCAAGCTGGTCAGCAAGGCGTTCCAGGTGCTGAGCGATCCGGATAAGAAGAAGAAGTACGATCAGTTTGGCGGGGATCCAGATGCGCGGTTTGATCCGAGGGCGCATGCGAGTGCGAATGGAGGGGGTGGTGCGAGTCCGTTTGGGAATGGGTTTGCGAGAAGAGGAGGGGGTGGGTTTGAGGAGGAGATGACGCCTGAAGAGTTGTTTAGACAGTTCTTTGGGGGTGCGTTTGGGGGGCCTTTTGGTACGTTTTCCTTTGCCCGGAAACCTCGGTCTTGAGGTCGTGGTTTATACTGCACAGCAAGAACAACAAAAAGACGACAACGAACTAACACACCACAGGCGGCATGGACACAGGCCCAGGCTTCGTCTTCAACCTCGGCGGCGGCCCCGGCGTCCGCGTCCACCAATTCGGCGGCGGCCGTCCGCGCAGACGCCCCGGCACCGCCGTCCCCCCCGGCAGCGAAGGCCAACAAAACCTCTCCTCCGCCTTCGCCAACCTGCTCCCCCTCCTCTTCCTCTTCGTCCTCCCCCTCCTCTCCTCCCTCTTCTCCGGCTCAACCTCCACCTCCGCAAGCCCCAACCTCGTCTTCGAAACACCGCGCTCCCCCAACACACTCAAGCGCGTGTCTACGCGGATAAAGATAGATTACTACGTTGATCCTAAGGAAGTGCATGATTACACGCCGAAGAAGTGGCGCAAGTTGGATGATATAGCTGAGAATCAGTATGTGCATATTACGAATACCAGGTGTCAGAATGAGAGGGTGCGCCAGAGGAGGGCGATGGAAGAGGCGCAGGGGTGGTTTAGTGTTGACCAAGAGGCTATGAACAAGGCGCGGAATATGGAGTTGAAGAATTGTAATAAGTTGAGGAAGTTGGGTGTGGATGTTTATTAGGTTAGGAGGTGGCTGGGATGAACGCGTTCTGGTTCTGACGAGGGATAGACTTTGTCGTACGTTTGGCTGTACGTATCTTGATGTTGGAGGGTGGGAGGAGAGGTTCTTAGAGGGAGTTGTTCCGGGGGTATAATTAACTCTCAGATGGACGCATGGCGCATAGAGGCGTATGGTAGCGTCGACTGCGCGTTCAGGCGCAGGATTTCCCTTCTTGAGCGAAATTACTCTATTCCCGTTCGCGTTCATATATACATCTATCCATACTCATCAAAGATCCTGCCTATACCCCACTCCAAGTCAACTAATCATACATATATACAAATCTATCCTACAACCCCATCTCTCCCCCATCTTCCGCCCCTAAAACCCCCAAAACCGCGCTATCCTCATCTTAACCCCCTCCCAACTATTCAACTTGGGCCTAACATCCAAATAAAAATTGAGTGCCTTCCCCACCTTCCCCTCATCCCTCCCCGCATAAAAATCAATCACATACTCAACCTTCGTCCCACACCGATCCACCACCCAATCATGTCTATCAAACGGCGGCTGATACCCCATCAGACTCTTCCACCGCGCCCGCGGCGTTAAACTCGTGCTCAACCCAGAGAAACTCGCCAATTTAGGCCCGCCGCATTTCTCGCTCCCGCGCCCGCTTTCCCACGTCTTGATCTCGTGCCACGCGCGTTCGTTGACCGCGTTGTGGATGGGCACTATGGTGCGCATGTCTGGGGCGGACGGGTCGTAGGACTTGCGGCGCATGGCGTCGAAGAACATTTGCTCGGACGGGTAGATCCAGTTTCCGGTTTTCTTGTCCGAGCCTGTGTCGCGCTCGTTGTTTGCTGGTCGTGCATTGGGTGCGGGTTGTGCTGCGATTTGGGAGGGGAGCGCGCGTGGTATTGTGCTTACTTCGCGGTCGGTGCCGAGACGTATTTGCGAGAGGATGCTTGTGCTGCTTGGGGGTGGGGAGGTGGTGCTTTGGTCAAGCGTGGATGAGTCGCAGGATTGCTGGACGGCGGATTGGGAGGGTGCTGGCGCGGCGGCGGCGGGTGTTGGGATGGGTGTACTATGGGGATTTGGTGGTGTGGTGCCGTTTTGTGCACGGGCTTGGGCGAGCCATGCTTCGCGTGTCTTGTGGTCGACGGGGCAGGCGGCTGCTGGGTCGTCTTGCGAGGACATTGTCGTGGAGATGTGTGAGGTTGGTTTTGTCGGGTTCCGAGAAACTCGGGATCGTGACGGAAGCCATCGAGAAATGTTGGGCACGGGCCTTTGCGGGAATCAGGCGGGTCTGATTGGCTGGCGTTGAACTACCGCATTCCACCGCTTTGGACAGCGTCAAGGTGTATATCTTCTCACAGCCGGAGTATAATTCGTAATAAACGGCCAATTTCCAAGATTAAATCTGTCTAACCTGTCATCGCGCAAGTAATTCCGCTGTCCTGAGGTACTGTCCTAGATCCGCGCTTTCTAGACCGCATCCAACTAGACCCTGCATATAAACATTAAACCCCACCAAGCCCCCTTGACTTTCACCGCTACCCTCAGTGTTTTGCTTCTTTCCCTCCCGTCCTTCTTGCATACCAAACGTCAAAATGTCCGACATCCACCGTGCCAGCACCACCGCCCCGGTCAACATCGCCGTGATCAAATACTGGGGAAAGCGCGACCCCAAGCTCAACCTCCCCACCAACTCCTCCCTCAGCGTCACCCTCGCGCAGTCCGACCTCCGCACCCACACCACCGCGTCGTGCTCGTCTACCTACCCGAAAGAAGACACACTCCTCCTCAACGGCCAATCGCAGGATGTTTCTGGTGCTAGGACACAAGCGTGCTTCAGGGAGCTGAGGGCACTGAGGAAGCAGCTCGAGGAGAAGGACTCTAGCCTCGCTAAACTCGCCGACCTGCCTCTGCGCATCGTTTCCGAGAACAACTTCCCCACCGCTGCTGGGCTGGCTAGTTCGGCTGCTGGTTTCGCTGCTCTTGTCCGCGCAATTGCAAACCTCTACGAGCTCCCCTCTTCGCCAACCGACCTTTCCCGTATCGCAAGGCAGGGCTCTGGCTCCGCGTGCCGCTCGCTTTTCGGCGGATATGTAGGCTGGGAACAAGGCTCCGCTTCGGATGGCAGTGATAGTGTTGCGTTCCAAGTTGCGCCTGCGAGCCACTGGCCCAACATGCGCGCTGTGATCTTGGTTGTTAGCGCGGCCAAGAAGGGTGTGTCGAGTACCTCTGGTATGCAGATCACTGTTGCTACATCTAGTCTCTTCCAGTCGAGAGCTACCGAGACTGTTCCAAAGCGCATGAAGGAGATGCAGAAGGCGATCCAGGACAAGGACTTTGAGGCTTTCGGCAAGCTTACCATGATGGACAGCAACTCTTTCCACGCTACTTGCCTCGATACATTCCCTCCGATCTTCTACCTCAACGATGTTTCCCGGGCGGCTATCAAGGTCGTTGAGAGCATTAACGCTGCGGCTGGCAAGATCATCGCTGCGTACACCTTCGACGCTGGCCCAAATGCTGTTGTGTACTACCTTGAGGAGAACGAGAAGGAGGTTGCTGGTCTGTTCAAGCAGATCCTGAACGAGAAGGATGGCTGGCAAGGCGAGAGGGGCCAGGCTGTTCAGGCCAACGCCGACGCGCTCGAGAAGGTCAAATTTGACGCCGGTCCCGCTATCACATTCTTGGAGGAGGGTGTTAGCAGAGTCATCTTGACAGGTGTGGGCGAAGGTCCAGTCAAGACTGAAGAGAGTTTGATTGATGAGAAGGGCGAGCCTGTCAACAGCGCATAGAGCGTATGGCTAGCTTGATTGCAGAATTTTGTGTAGATACCCGTACAGAATGTCAGATACTCTCCAGCCAGAAGCGACGCAGAAGAAGGTTTGGCCGCCCGTAATTCAGCATGCCCCTTTGTGGTCTTCGCTCCTGAGTGGCCGCTCCAATGCAACTTTTCCGATGCGCAACTTTGACTTGCCAGAACAAGAGCTCTTCTCCACATCCGTCGTATGCTCATGGTAACTGCAAAGGTCCAATTGATAGACGCCCGGTTTCACGGTATGGCCTTTGGCCCGCTCGCTACCTACCCTCTCGAAGAAACGTAGTAAGAAATCATGCGGTAGCTGAAGCATCGGAACCTTGTACCCACTCCATTCCACGTAATGTCGGTCCACGAATAGGTCTAGGAGTGGGTCCGATGGTGGAAGATTCTCAAAGGCGTATATGATCGATTTGTAGCCCAGCTCCACCGGAGGACCAGCGTCAGAGTCCTGGACTATCTGTCGGTTCATAGCTGTCCGTAAAACAGGCACTGCAAACCGATCGGCGAACACATACAGCTTGATCTTGCAGATGTCTAAGGGCGTGACCGATCGGTTCATGATACGAGAGTAGTCGGCCCAAATAACGGGAACCTGTTGGGTGTACATCCACTCCAGGAATAGGTTGAAGACACCTGGCTCAATATCGTCCAGACTCACGACTCCGTCCTTGGCTTCCTTCCAGGTACCACTGAGTGCCTTGCGGAAGTAGTCGGAGTGGTGTGTTAAGAATGCTTTCTGAACATAGTATTCCTTGCGTTCTGGGCCAACTTCGACGACGACATGGACTGGTATGCCTCGTTGTGCCGCGACACTGAGAATATGTGAGTTAAGCCCTGCATGTCAATAGGGAAGATGTACCTGTGCAGTGGCGGGGCAACCTTGTTCTTGGAATAGGTTCTGACACTCATGGAATCGACCTGTAAAGGGTTGTGACGAGACATGAGTGGTGGCGGCGGTGTAGGTGTGCGTTCTAACAGCGGTAGTAAGTCTTGGGAATCCAGGTCGCCGATGTCATCAAGGTCGCTACTGTCGGTAAAGTCCAGCGGATCCGAAGATGCAGCTGCAGCCCGAATGCCGTTGGAAGCGTTCGGGAACATGCAAGCGGCGTCGAAGCAGAGACGTAAAGTGACAGTCAGTGATGTGGCATGACGCGAGGTGAGAGAAAGTTCCTATAGCGCGCCTTCTCAGTGAGCCGAGCACTGTCCTGAGAGGCACGTGGGGGAAGGAGCGAGCAACCAACACAGGAAGGACACACGATAGTGAGAGGAAATGTTGAACATTGATTAGATATGACTTGGCTAACACAAGAGCCACTGCAAAGCATACGATGGAGAGCCAAAAGACATAGTTGGCAAAAACACATTTCGAAAACGACAGAAATTTGCAATGAAATGCACCGTGGTATAAGATCCCCCCAAATGTACAATGCAACGCCGAAAACAAGCAAAACCAAGCATTACAGAGACGATGTACGTATCATCTAGTCCAAAACAACCGCAAGAATGATGATGACCAAGACAATGGCGAGAATGAGCAGCAGGATACACGCCTTACTCCTCGCGCTCTTCTGGTAATTGCTCGCCTGCTTAAGGTTCACATGTGCACCTCGCGACGCGTCATGCGTGACCTCAACGTTCTCCTCGATGATGTCGAGTTGCGCACCCTGCTCGTGCACCATATGCGCAACATCGCGGAACAACTCGTTGAGTTCCCCAACCGACTGCTCGATGTTGCGGATCTCAGACTCGCGCTCGATGATCATCGACTCTTGGAAGTCGACCTCATCCTGGTTTGCCAAGCGCAGCTGCTCCTGCTCTTGTTGTTGCCCAAAGTCTCCTCCCCGCTCTTCGCTTGGCGATGATACGTCTTGCAGGGCTGTGCGTGCCGCCTGTGCCGACTGCTTCTCTTTCTCTAGGGCTTGCTTCTGGAGGTGTTGGAACTCGGTGAGTGTTGCTTTGAATTCGCGCTGGAGCTTCGATTGCGTGAACTTCTGCGAGGGCTGTGGTCTGTTAGCTACCGGCTTCCATCTCAAGAACGAGGTATCCATACCCCAACATCGGGCCAGGTGGTGATCTTCTTCAGTCCCTCTCCAAGCTCTTTGAACTTCTCCGATGTCTCTTCGACGGTCGTCTTCACGCGCTCGCGCACACGAGCGGTCTCGTGCTTGGTCCCTAGCTTGCCCGTCTCTTGCGACAGGCGGGCGACGTTGCGGGTCAGGGCGAAGAGGTCGTCGGAAAGCTTGTCGGCGAAGTCGCGGAACTCTGGGTCATCGGCGTATGACGGATCGTCGTCCCTTCGCCATGTCGTGGGTTGCGATTCGAGGGCGCTGGAGCGTTGGAAAGACATGGTGCCGGATAAGGGAAGCGGCACTCGATGATCTTCTAGAAGAGTGTCTGGACGATGTTTGGAGCTATGCGATCGTGTGTGGGGTTGTTGCAACCTAGTACGCAAGTCCAATCGTGGCTACCTGGAGGTTGGTGCTCGGTGGTTCCTGCGGCGATGACGAAGGACCGCGGCTAGGGCACATGGCTCAAGGCACAAGCGGATCCCTTAGGTAAGCGTGCAGCTGTCGGCGACGAAGTGGTAGCTGCGCCGATCAACAATGTTTGTTTGACAAAGTCGGGCAGCTTTCACTGCTGCAGTACATCAGACTGCCGCATCAGCGCGTTCGAATTACTCTTGGCGCGACGCCATCCTTCTGTTTCTTTGCTATGATATAGCCAGTTCCTCACTCATACGCTCTCTCTGCCCCGAACTGTCGCAAACATGGCGCTCGCACCGCTGGGAACGCAAGTGCGCCCGTACAGAGACTACCTGACGCCTGCTCTGCACCGAAGATTCAACAAGGCCAGTCGATACACGCTGCTGCTATGCTATGCGATCGCATGCTGGATGGGAGAATGGGACAACAGTGAGAAATCCTGAATGAAACCCATACACACCTATTAACAAGCACAGTGCTATGGCTGTGGTTTCCTCTAGGCCTCACTGGCATTCGGACCCTCCTCATATTTCTCTCCGCCCTTTCCATCTACGTCCTTCGCGTCGCACAGTGGCATGTTGGCCGCCGCCAAACAGAGACCCGATTCGAGACGTTCAAGAAATACTTCTTCCGTCCGGCGACACTGATCACGCTTGTCGCGTACGCTTTCTCCGCGATGCTGTTTGTCGAAACTTATATCTGGTCGCGGGGCACTCAAGCCAGGCTCAACTTCATCGAGGCCGGCCGCATGCACGAGCGATTCCGGCTGAACGAGAGGCCGCTCTACCTGCGCTATCTCTTCTACCTACTATCAGCAGCACAATCGGGGGTACACTTGTGGAGGGACTACGACAAGATTGAGTTGCAGGCGATGAAGCCTAACAAGGAGCGGGGTGACGCGACCACTTCCACACCGGCACGACGGGGTCCCAAGCCCAGACATGTTCTTACGAGATCGCTCAAGGGCATTGCAACACATTCGACCTTCTTGGCTTCGGTCGTTGCAGCTGCCGGTTTCTGCCTTTACTACCTCGGAACCCGAAACCTGATCTGGAGCTACTACTACAGCTTCAGTCGATACCTCTGGAGCTTGTCCAAGACTTCCACACCTACAGGACTTGCTCCATTCCTTCCTCTGTGCTTCATGTTCGTCACAGAAGGAACGCTTCTCGTTGTGCTCTGGGAGTTTGTCAACAAGACCTTCGATGTGTACCTCGCACAGGAGCCCTTGAAGAACGATGTGCCCATCACCAACGACTCTACCGACCCCAATGGATCCCTTTTGAACGGACTCAAGTCGAAGAAGGATACTGTCAAGGTAAGAGGAAGTGATACTATTACTACGTTCACTGCTAACTAATTCAGGCCATTGCTTTCTGGGAGCTAGCCCTCATCACCGACGCCTTTCCCGAGCGCCGCAAGACTATCTACAGCGAGATGGATCGTAAGAAGGCTCCGACACATCAACAAGTTACGGATATCTGTCTGGGACAGCTCAAGTGGCTTATCGAACGTGTCAGTGCTGGTCTCGATCCAGCCTACCAGCCCAGCGACGCATCAGGTCAAGACAAGCCAACCGGGCCTATCAATCTGGTTCCTCGTATCGCACAACCGCTAAAGGACGACAAGCCGATTGCTGCTGCGCCACCACAACCAAGTACCAGGTGGGAACATGTCGAAGCAGCAACCGCCAGTATTGCAAAGTCACACAGCGCTCCAGGAAACGCACAGCAAGCATACAGTCGGGAAGCCATCAACAAAGGAATGAAGAAGGCCCAAGAAGGTGCCCGGGAAGCCGAGTCGTTCTTCACGACTTATTACAACAAGCTTGTTTCTTCCCCGGTCGGCTTATTGTTCCAGCATTCCTTCCAACGCACATCGAATATTGTCGTCCTCGGCGCACCTTACTCTCAACTTTCCCAAGTCTGCAATGCCGCGACTGCACTAGCAAACCTTGCAGTGTTTTCTCTTGCCGAAGACAGCTTAGGACGCTTTCACCAAGGAATACCAAGCATAGTGCGCATATTCACTATTGCGCTGAAGAAGATCGATGAGTACATGGACACAGCTCCTATACACTGGAGCGACAAGGAGACGAACGGCAAGCCAGAAGCGGAGAGGAGGAAGGTGCCTGAAGTAGATGAAGCCAGAGAATGTCTCAGACAAGGTCTTGAGAAGGTTCTTGGCAGCTTCAACGAATACCTAAGCGGTATGGGTCTCAGCAGGCTGGAGATTATGGAGGCAAAGAAGGTGGTGGGTGTCAAGAAAGCGCCAGAGATGATTCAGGCGGGGGCGAAATAGTAGATGTCAAAACTTTCGCAACGAGATCTCGTAGAACCATTTGAATGAACCAGTCATAGACACCTTCTCAAGTTCTGTCAATCGCAGTGCTAACAAGACTTTGCCCTCGTCCTAGACCATTGCATAATCAAAACACTCCACTCCCAAACCGATCGTCCCCCATCGGCCTCTCCGTCGCCCATCGCATTACGCCAAGCCCACCTTCCCTTCCTAAGATCGTCTACATCAGCTCTGCCAACCAGCAAATCAAAGCCTTGAACCCATCCTCGCCCCCAGCGAGGAAGATGCCAGATGCCAGACAACCGATGCAGATTGCTGCATCATGCAGCTGTCATTGGTCCTGTCAGACATGACCTCGCTGTTTCAAACGAACGTCGGTTCCAGGGGTAAACACGATGGACGTTAGCGCGCCCCACATTTCTCAACTAGCCGGGTTGCGCGTCCGATGGATCCATATCGTGATAGGGACGGAGAGAGAGCCAAGGACGTCATGTTGGGTGAGGCTTGCGCGGTGCATGGCGCGATGGCGTTGGTACTTTCTTTCGTCTGAACTGCTTTACGTTTCTCATCGTCTTCTTCTTGTTATTTACGATAACTTGGGTTTTCTGTGGCGTTTGGAAAGCTTGAGGGACTGTTTACCTACTTGTGCCTTTTGGATGATCATACCCGCATTGTCCTTCTTTTCAGCCGCACGTCCTACCTAGGTGCCATTCGTTCAGGCGGGTATTGCGTAGTCGTTATCTTTTCTTCTTCTTGTGTATACGTTTACTGCGCCTTGTTATTTACGTTCGTTTCTGGCGATCGGGTTAGATTGGATTCGTTCACGGCTGAAGGCGAACGAGACGCGTTAACAACATCGCATTTGGAACACTGGAAAGCGACTTTGATACCACGATTCCTCGAGAAGACGTCACACAGCAATTGGAAAGGCGAAAGGACTGAAGAGCTCAGACTCTAGATACCGACGTCACAACACCATGCACACCTACCTGCCGACCTGGCTCGCGCTCTCAACGGCAGCAATCCTACCTACAGCGACAGCATTCTACCCTTACCACTATACCTCCGGCAAGACAGCCTCCACATCAACGCACTCGCACCGAACCTCCTCGCCACCGTCCTCACAAGCAGGAACCACGCGCTCCATAACGCTTCCCCTCCGTCGCATACGCACACCCTCATTACGCTCCCGCCAAAACGCCTACAACATCGTCAATTCGAACAACCCCAGCCAAGAAAACAGCGTAGCCATAGACCAAGATGGCAGTGATCTCAGCTACATGGTCGCCGTAACGTTCGGCGACAGCACAGATGAATACCATTTGCTGCTCGATTCAGCGGCGAGCAATACCTGGGTTATGAGTGAGGAATGCGAGAGCGAAGCGTGTAAGACGCATGCGACTTTCGGGACGGCGGATTCGAGTACGCTGAAAGTACGTTATGCTTCTCACCTCCATCTCTCTTGTATCCCTCTTCGGATCGGACATCAGTACGAGTTCAAATGCTAACGCAACACCCAGACCGACGCAACAACCCCCTTCAGCGTAACCTACGGCACAGGTTCCTCCTCCGGGCATCTCGCAACCGACGTCCTCCACCTGGGACCCTCGCTCTCCCCCACCCTCACATTCGGTCTCGCGACGAACGTATCCGACGAGTTCCGCGCATACCCCATGGACGGCATACTCGGCATCGGCCGCGGCGTCCAAGGCACAGGCGACGATGAAATCGCCGCACCGCAGATCATGGACCTGCTCTCGAGCCAGGACCTCATCGGCGCAAAACTCTACGGTATACATCTGAGTCGAGGCGAGGATGGCAAGATGGATGGCGAGCTGAATCTGGGAGAAGTGAACAAAGATCGTTTCACCGGTGACATCAACTACATCGAATGCGTAGACAACGAATCAGGGTTCTGGGAGATACCGTTACAAGACGCTGGCGTAGATGGAAAGTCTGCTAATCTTACCACTGGGGTCGACCGAACCGCGATTATGGACACGGGCACCTCTTTCATCCTCATACCCGAACCAGATGCTCTGGCTCTACATTCCCAAATCCAGGGCTTCGAACAAGACGGCGAGACGTTCTTCGTACCCTGCGACACCAGCGCTGCCATACAATTCTCCTTCAACGATCGTGTATACAACATCTCCACGGCGGATTGGGTGGGGGGTAAAGACGACGGATCGGAGTTGTGCAGGAGTAATATCGTGGGCAGGAAGACGTTTGCCGACAATCAGTGGTTGGTGGGCGATGTGTTTCTGAAGAACGTGTATAGTGTTTTTGATTTCGAGGGCAGTAGAGTGGGATTGGGGGTCTTGGGACAGGAGCAGGATGTTGTTGCTGAGAGTGAGAGTTCTACTGGTATGTTTGGGCCTTTTTCTGTCTTTGACATCGGAGTAACATTGACTGACTTGAAATTTATAGGTACCGCATCTCCTTCGGCATCGAAGACAGCGACTGGGACTGGGGGAGCGAGCTCGAATACAGCGGGTGCCGGACAACCTCAAGACCAGGAGGGTACTGCTGCTGCGGTGTCCTCGACTTCGACGTCCTTCTTCGCGCTCGTGGGAGCATTCACCGCGCTTTCGATTTTCATGTAGCATATAAGATTTGGGTACGGATAAGCATTACTAGCACGGGCGTTCAGGGACACGGCATAGTCGGAGTTGCACATACAACCAGCAGTCTGGTCTTGAGGAGAGACACTACGCGGACACATTGTATATATACCTATACATAAATACATGTATCCACACATCATAACGATTTCACGTGCACATGTTTTCAACACCCAAGATCCCAAGGCAACAAGCAGTACATATATACTTTGCCCAACATCGCAAGCCACCTCACATCTACCATCAAGCAGACAGTGCAGACACCGACAATAGCTTGGTGGCCTGATCCCCCAGCGCATCTCCACTTTCCGCTCTACATATCCACCTATCCACTGCACATTACTGCGTACCCACCCTCCCACACACCTTACCCACCGGCCCAGCCCCAGCACCAGTACCAGCACATCTCAAGCAAGGCCCCAGCCCTCAGACTCCTCCTCGCCTCGCCTCCCGCCTGCATTAAAGGCGGGGCGGTACATCGGAACGGCGTAGCCGGATCAAGAGGATTGGACACGTTAGGAACAGTCTTGGTACATGCGTTGCATAAGTATGGGCTTGGTATGTGGAGAGAGATGTGACGAGCGAGTCAGGAGAGGGAGATAATGCGAGAGATATGCGGTGTTTGGTGCGAGATAAGGGTGGATGCACGATGTGATGATATGATGGGGAGGCGTGTTTCAGATTGGCGCATCATTCATGTATGTCGATGTTGTTGAGCTATCACTCCAGTAGCTTTTGCTTGATGGAAAGTTGGATCACAATGTAGAAGTCACCAAGAAGACAGTCATATTATATAGTTCACAGGCTTCAACGATTGATATGGGTAGACACGATAAGAGCAAAACAAAGCACCGGTTATTAGAAAGATCCTACCATTTGCTCAATCTCGATCCACACGCTTTCTGAGAAGATAACCCCATCATGAACTACCCCAAGATGATGTACGGTCCAAACACACAAAAGATCCAGCACAGTAACGCCTCGTATAGGTGCCGTCAGAGATGAGACTGCAAGCAGACTGGAAGGAGTCGGCTTGTCTGCTACCCCTACCGGCCCATGACATGTTGCCCTCCTTCTCAAATAGACCACTAATTAGACACCCGATAGCCGCCACCGTGTTGCTCTTGTCCAGGCTCAACATCGCGCGGTTGCGGCGGCTCTCGACCTATATCGTCGCAAAGTCTTGTCCAGGCTTACAAGATCAAGCACTTCTTGGTCTTCTTCTCTTTCCGGGTCAACAGGGCAGCCCGGGTGGCGTGCTCGAATACTTCTCGGACGCCCTCGTTCGTCTTGGCTGAGCACTCGAGGTACTTCTGGGCACCGATCTTCTTGCGCACATCCTCGGCCTGGGTGTGTTAGTGGGAGATGGGTGGGTGGAGTGTGGCTACTAACCTGCTCGGGTGTCACGGGCTTCTGCGAGGTCTTGTGTAGCTCCTCAATCGTCTTCTGGTCGAAGCGCAGATCCTTCTTACATCCGACGAGGATGATGGGAAGGCCCTGGCAGAAGTGCAGAACCTCGGAGATCCACTGTTGTGTGTCAGCGGCTGCTTGTACGCGTGTGAGGCATTTGCCGTACCTTCTCCTGGACGTTGTCAAGCGAATCGGGCGAATCGATGGCGAAGCAAATCAGGATAACGTGCGAGTCGGGGTAGGAGAGAGGGCGCAGACGGTCGTAATCTTCCTGGCCGGCGGTATCCCAGAGGGCGAGCTCGACGTGCTTGCCGTCGACCTCGACATCGGCGACGTAGTTCTCGAAAACGGTGGGGACGTAGACCTGCAGGCGGGCACGTTAGTGGGTGCGTTGGGAGGGAGTGCAGGCAGAGATGGCTGCGAGTGCAGGCGGAACAGCTAGGCTGACGCGGCTCAGGGATGCAGGCGAGGCGGGCGGCGAGTACTGACCTCGGGGAAGGTGCCCTTGGAGAAGACGCTGCAGACGGCACCGTTAGCAGCTGTTTTACAGTAGTGTTAAGAGTGATGGGCGAGGGCGAGGACGTACATGAGCAGACAGGTCTTTCCACAGGCGCCGTCACCGACAATAACGAGCTTTCGTCGAATCTCGGCCATGGTGTCGTGGGGGATGGGTTATTGAGGCGGCGGTGGGGGCAGCAAGATCTGTGAGGGAGGTGGTGAGTATGTGGATGGAGAGCTGGACTGGCGGTGATTGAAGTTGGAGAACAGCGGCTTCAGGGTGTTATGGCTCTAGGCACCATGGCCGCAACGGGGGTCGTGCTGCAACAACTGCGGCTGAGTGCTGCTTGCGCCACGCAGCGCTTCGGCGATTGCGGCCTAGCGGGAGCGAAATGAGAGCGAGCGTGACGTACCTGGACAGCTGCTCAGTTGATTATCACGTAGAAGGTTTGTGAAGCGTCGTCGCGATGGCGTGTACTGTAGGTTGGCCGAGAGAAGAGGAGAAGGCGATTAGCTATCTGCATCAAGCGCCTTGCCCTAACCGACAAGGTAAACTACCCATGCACACGCCCCGGAGCCGTCACATGGCAGCAGCTTGTCCCCCGGTGCGGTTTGACATGTCCAGCACGGCCAATAACACGGAGGCCCTGTTCTCATGCACAAGACGGCTGTTCTTTGACTGCAATCGCCTTGCACCAGTTGTTACGGTCGTGTGTTGCTGGTTGCCCCGGCAAGGTCTTGGTCGTGACAAGGGTTTCAGATTGGACCTGACAGCTCGCCTGCCCTTTCCCCAGCTTGTTCTGCGTGCGCGTGCTCTGGCAAGCGCGACCAGTCTCCCACAGGCAGGAACCACTGTCGAACGGCAGGGTCGACCTAGTGCGTGGATCCATACGCCTTTTTCGTCTGCGTTCTAGGCCATCTTCTTGTTCCTGTTCCTGCTCCTGCTGTTTTCTGTGTTCCTCACTATGTCCAAGACGCCTCCAACTCACACACGGAGGAGACTAGACAGGCCCGCTGCAGACTACATTGGTGTAGAACAGGATGTTTATAAGACTTGAACGCAATGTAGACCTCTAGATTAACAGCTTTAGGTGGGTGTCGAGTCAGTTCTTCCCTTGAATGGGGCGCTTCTTAACCGTGCCTTCCGGCTACCTCAACTCACCAACACGTGTACACCAACAAACCCCGCCCACAACACACCTTTGCGACTCGACCTTCACCATGGGCTTTGAGGTTGACAAGTGCATGGATCTACACAACCGCATCGTCGCCCACGCTTGCTCGCACCTTCCACCCGACCGCCAACCTCAGATTCAACGCAGCTGGTTCAGCGCGCACTCACTAGATCCTTCCTCACCCGTTCCCTTGCCCCTAGATATCGAGGAAGAATTCGACCATGACCTCACAGCCTTCCTATCAGGCATCGACATCGTCGTGCCCGAACAACATCAACATTTGGCCTTCAATCCCTTGCTCGTCGGTGTCCCTTCGCCTAACCATATGATCCCCGATATGTGGCTTGGCATCATCGAGGAACGCGAGGATTACATCCTGCTTTACACTGGACCTGGATATGATGCAGGGGGTCTTTTGTACAGCCTATCGACGCAGCAAGTGGGCTACATGGCCTCCCCGTATTCCGAACCTGATGACCTCTATTGGGACGATCTTCAGAATGCGCTGGAAATTTACTGGGACTGCGTTGAGTCGGGGAAATTCGTCATCGATGCAGAATACCTGGGAGATGAACTTACTACGCAGGGATGGAGGCTACTCGAGTGGACTGGCCTTGAGCTGGAGGGCGCGCTGGAGGCGTGGCATAGTTTGGTGGACGCGATCATTTAAAGCCTACCGGGACAAGGGAAAGATGACGACCCGAGAGCACACCAGGAGGAGAAGCAAGAAGAAATGGACGCTGTTTTGGTATCATCTGAGATCTTGGAGCAATATCCCGCTATCCCGTCTTTCGCACGCGCATTCCTTTCTCGGGCGAAGAAGCCGACCTTTACTTCCATCGCTCCGCAACTAGACATTCCGACCGAAGCCTTCGTTCACCGTGTAGGTTCCAAACTACAGGAGCTACACCCCGACGCTTCCATCACCACTCCGGACTATGAAACGGGCTATATACCCAGATTTCTCTTGTTCCCGTGGCGGACACAAGGCCTCGAACTCGTTCTCGAGTCTGATCGGGACCGGTGGAAGGATAGACGGGGACATGCCCACACCCTTGACAACCGCGCTGGTCTGTATCTGACCCCCGATGGCACGCACACACACACAATCTCTCTACTCTTGCCTTTCCCCACCGGAGCTAATGGCCACGTGCGCAAGAACAATGGAACTATCGTGAAGCCGAGCGATCAAGGTCAAGATGCTTTGTACCGGCATGGGATGTGTACCCCCTTTCTACCCGCACATGGCACACCGTTGGCCGCTGTCCTAGTCAACTGGTGTGACCTGGTTGAGAAGGGGAATTGGCACGTTGATGAAAACGGCGTCGCAGGTGAAGAAGATGTATGGAAACAAGCGGATACGGAAGACAAGGCCGAGGATTACATGACAGATTGGGGTTGCTTTTGAACAAACTGAACAGGACGCTACCGCCTATATCAGTATGAACGACTAGGTTTGATAAGATTTCGAGGTCTTGTAGACTTCTAGGAGGTAGGTACCCAGCTTTTCCCGTTGCACAGGTTATCTCGGATATTGTGGGATAGAGAGCTCACAATAAACTGGGGCGAGCAGTGTGAAACCTGTGACCTGTCAAAGGTAAGTATGTCGCATGAGCGTCTTGGTCGACTACGCAGATCGTTTGTCCATCACGAGGCCTCCCAACACCATCATACCAACGTTCGGCTCGACCAGGAGTGATCATAGAGAGGTACCAGTAATACGGGGGGCAATTGGTAAGTCCTAGTTTCTGGAGTCCCTTCTGGACACAACACTAGGGGTGGCTATGTTTTGGGTTGCGTTCTGCAAGGAATATTGCAAGGTAGAAGCATACGTGATCTTAGAAAATGGATGCTTAATACGATCTAATATCGTGCATTGGGAATTATGAAACTGAGGTTCATGATGGCAGGAAGCTGTGAGAAGTGGGTGGTGATGTGAACCAAATTGGTGGTAATGGTCGCTACCGCGTTGGGCAGGGCTCAAGGCAGCGACCACAACTGGAGCTATCTGTCAGATCTGGATAAGCCGGAGATAAGGACGGAAATACAGTCCATGACTATGCACTACTTCGTCGCGCTTCGTCGAGCTTCTTTGGTACACGTGAGTTGGCGAGCGAGGGTGCAGGCTAGAGTGGCGGGGCAGACTAGAAGCTCCGGGACCCGTACCTAACCACAGGCACTGACGCAGTACTGCTCCACGGTTCGCGCCTCTTTCATTCCACGTCCTTGTACCAAAACGGCCACGGCCTATTTCTTTCTTTCTCTTTATACGTTAATCTACCCCACCGCCTCTCTACCGCTCACACTTGTCTCTCAGCTGCCCATCACCGAAGCTCGCTGCAGCCTGAAGCCAGTACATCGCCATCATGGCCGACCAACCGCCCGAGCAACCAGAGCACCAAGACAAGGCCATGTCCGACCAACCAGACAACGCGACATCTGAGCAGCAAGACAGCGCAATGCCTGATGCTGCACCTGCACCTCCACCCGCTGCTGCGCCGGACGCCATGTCTGACGCCGACAAGGTGAGCTCACCTTCCGACCGCCTGTCAAAGAGACACGCTGACGAGGATATCTTCCAGATCCGTGCAAAGCGCCTTGCAAAGCTGGGCGGCCCTGCGACTCCGAATGGTCCTTCACGGCCGCCCTCGACCGCACCTGAAGCCGCATCATCGGGCACTTCATCCCCAAAGCCCACCGAATCACCGGCGCCACCACCGAAGCCCACTCCGACCGCGAATCCCTTCTCCCAATTAGGTGTCAAGACCGACGAGCCGCCTAAGAAGCGCATCACTATCAAACCCGCACAGTCGTCGAGCAGTGGCCCCGCACCGCAGACCGCCCAGAAGGCGCCGGAATTGAGCATAGAAGCGTGGGAGGATCGGACAATCAGCAGCATTTTTAGGGTAACTCTGGACGAGAGCCATACGCACGATGCACACGGACATAAGCTACACTTTGCCGAAAGCGCCAGACGCGATCTTGAGGAACAGGGCAGGCCAATCCGCTTGACTACAGATCAACTGGATTCCGTCATAATGGAAGCAGCGTCAGAAAAGCCACAGGGCTATGCGTTGGAATACACCATGAGTTGCTGGAAACGCGTTTCCAAAGCGCTCAAGAACCTCGCCAATAAGACTGGTCCACGGTTCGAAGTTGTCAAAGAGGCCCGACGAGTGTGCTTCAGCTATTGCATCTTTGCAGCTAGCATGCCAGAAATGTTCCAGGAAGACCCACCCGTGGAGAACGCACTGGCTGATCGCTTACTTCTCGGACCTGACGACGAGCGCGGTATCTGCTACGAGTTCCTCACTGAAGCGAGCCAGCGCATAGGTGAAGACGATATCATCAAGGACACACTTGTGGAAGCTATGGTGGATGTCAGCCGGCGCCTCTCCAAGGTTTCTATGAATGGAGACTACAAGGCACACATGTTGATCCTGCGGGTATTCGTCCGATTTCCGCCGCTCGTAGCTGCTATGGCGCAGTCTGAAACGTTTCTGCCTGCTTACATCGAGGCTCAACATATCGAAACACACAGCTTCTTAGGGCCCTTCTTCCGGTTATCTCCCATGCAGGCTGACGTAGCCATGAACTACTTCTCTGGCTCCGCGGCTGTCGACAAGGGACTCATCGTCAACGCGCAACGAGCTGTCCGCATGACACTTCAAACCCACCAAGAAGAACTGCTAGACATTACAAACACCTTCATCAAGAACAAGGAATCTCGTGAGAAGATGCTAGACTGGTTAGCGCTCACAGTCAATAAGAACCACAAGAGGCGTGCGATACAAGTGGACAGGAAAACAGTATCATCAGACGGCTTCATGGTCAATGTCACAGTGATTTTAGATCGTCTCTGTGAGCCTTTCATGGACGCTACCTTTTCCAAGATCGATCGCATCGACATTGACTACCTTCGCCGATCACCCCGCGTTGATATCCAAGATGAAACAAAGATCAATGCCGACCAGAATGCATCGGATGAGTTCTACAGTACCAAAGCCCCAGGTACCAACAACTTCATCAGCGAGGTCTTCTTCTTGACGGTGGCCGCTCATCACTATGGTTTGGAGGCAGCCAATACCAAGTTGGGTACCCTTCAAAAGGACGTAAAGTACCTTGAGAAGGAGCTTGCTAAGCTCGAGCCCGAGCGACCCAAGTACATGACTAGTCAGGCGCAGCTGGCTGTCTTTGACAACCACATCAAGAAGATGAAAGACCAGATCGAGAAGGCCAAGTGTAGCATCCTGGCCATTCAAGGTGTGTTGCTTGATGAGACTACACAAGCTCGGTCCATGCAACTGATGCGATACGTCATCGTGTGGCTTCTACGGCTTGCTTCGCCCGGTACCAACTTTCCTAGATCAGAGCTTCAGCTGCCTCTACCCGAAGAACAACCACTGCAGTTCAGGTGTCTACCTGAATATTTCGTTGAGGACATTGTTGGAAACTTCAAGTTCATCACTCGCTACATGCCGCATATTATCACAACCACTCAGTGCGAGGAAATTGTCAAGATCTGCATTACCTTCCTGAGAAGCTCAGAGTACATCAAGAACCCATACTTAAAGTCTGGTCTTGTCACCATTCTATTCCACGGAGTATGGGAGATTCACGGTAAGCCAAAGGGCGTGCTTGGTGACACGCTATTTGCACACGACTTCGCCATGAAGCACTTGCTCCACGCCCTGATGAAGTTCTACATCGAATGTGAGAGCACCGGAACGCATACGCAGTTCTTTGACAAGTTCAACATTCGATACGAGATCTTCCAGGTCATCAAGTGCATTTGGCCGAACCCAGTGTACCGCGAGCACCTTGCGACTGAAGCGCGCGTCAACTTGGATTTCTTCGTTCAATTCGTCAACCTGCTCCTCAACGATGTAACATTCGTCCTGGATGAGTCATTCACCGCTTTCAAGGAGATCCACGATCTATCCCGAGAGCTTAAGAATGCCCCAGCAAACATGGAGCAGACGGAGCGTCAAGAGAGGGAAGAAAAGCTGTCATCAGCCCAGGGCAAGGCCAAGAGCTACATGCAACTCACCAACGAAACCGTCGCCATGTTGAAGCTCTTCACCGAAGCCCTCGCCGACTCCTTCACCAAGAAGGAAGTCGTCGTGCGCCTCGCCCACATGCTAGACTACAACCTCGAAGCCCTCGTCGGCCCCAAGAAATCCCAACTCAAAGTCGAAAACCCCGAGGAATACGGCTGGAACCCACGCAACATGCTCGCAGAAGTCACAGACGTCTACCTCAACCTCGAGTCCAAACAATCCTTCATCGACGCCGTCGCCACAGACGGCCGCTCCTACCGGCCCGAATACATGGACGAAGCCTACAAGATCCTCCAACGCTTCAAACTCAAAACACCCGAGCAAATGACACAATGGGAAAACATGTCTGAGCGTATCAAGACTGCTAAAGAACAAGCTGATATGGTCGAAGCTGACCTTGGAGAAATTCCTGATCAGTACCTCGATCCTATTTTGGCGTCGCTCATGGAAGACCCCGTCACGCTTCCTGTTAGCAAACAGATTGTTGATAGAGGTACTATCCAGGCGCATCTGCTGAGTGATCCGCATGACCCGTTTAATCGGACGCCGCTTAAGATTGAGGATGTCATTCCGAATGATGAGCTCAGGGAGGAGATTCAGAGTTGGAAGGCTAATTTGTTGGCGGAGAAGATGGCGGAGCGGAGTAAGGCGGCGGCGGCTGGGGCGGCGGCGGGCGAGGCTATGGATACGTCGTAGATCGTTGTGGTATGGTGAGGAGACAATGCGAGGGTGACATTGGCGTTTTTGGTCGAGTGTTTCGGGGAATCATGGGGAGGGAGGGTTTGCATGGGTATGGACGTCTAGGGTAGAGTTGACGATGATGTTCACGAGGTATACTGGGATCGATGCGGTACAGTGTCACGCCTTATTATGGAGGTCTGATAGACACGTGTGCGTGTCGTAGCGTTCTGGGAGATTATGCATTTTCTCCTGGTCAATGGAATGGATATCGTCAAAGCTATTGTGCGGGTCCGGTCCGTGGTGTGGGTTTGCGTAATGCTAACATCTTGGCTGTTTGTGTTGTTTCGGGTGATATACTAGTATGGTCGTCGTGATTGACTTTTGCGGCTCGTCTTGCTTCGTTCAACCTTCTTGTGGTTTGATGGGGTTTAAAGTGATGGTCTGGAGGGTTGTAGTGTTGCCTAGAGTGACTTGTGAGAATTTCAAGCATGTGCTGTCTTCCTGTGGTCGGAGGTGATATGCTTTTTGTATTGCGATGAGTTGACTTGGGTTGCTTCTTTGCCCTCATACATAGGGATGTTTTTCCAGTAAGGTCGAGGTTGTTTGTGTGGCGGTAATTGCGAAGAAAACGTCAGGTCGAGTGGAAGACATTGCCGCTAATTCAGCTGAGCAAATTGCGTAATGCATGACTGCGGATAGAGACTCTAGTGTAGATTATTAAGGTGATCTCGGGCAGGAAGACACACGGTAGTAGTGTATAGTAGGTCATCGTGGCAGCATAGTGTGTTCGGCCGCGAAGTTCCTGTATCTGGTGTGGAACTAACATTCTTATTACAATTCTTGCCATTCCTCCTTCCAGATCCAAAAATACCCCCCAAATCTCGTATCAAGACCTCTTCCAGTGCCCCAGGCACCCACCATACCAAACGGTGTCATTCGAGCCTCCCACTCATATGACAAGTCTTTTGAAAGATATCGTTTCGTTAAGAGAATGTCTCCATCGTTGTGTCGCACGCGGCCTTCCAGTGAGAACTCTCCGACAGAATCAGTCCCTCGACTCTGCGAATCGATGAGCGTATATGTGGTATAGCCGCCGACATCCCACTTAGGTGTAGTGGTGTCCCGTGCAATAAGTTGGATGCTGTGCATACGCGGGTCGAAGCGTCTTCTTCCCAAGGCTCTTCGCTGGTCCGAGCAGTAACCCGTCCACTGCCCAGATGAAAGGAAGTCGGGTGAAAGCATTTGAGCATGGCACTCGCCGAATGGTACGTTGTCATTTTCATCTTCGTAAGCGGGTGCTGGATTCTTGGCGAAGATAGTCGGCAGGAAGTGCATGAACGAGTTAAAGGGTATTCTGGTAGGTGACGGGAGTGCGGTATTGTGCAATGGACTTGAACCATGTACAGCCAGTTCCAGAATAAAAGTAGGGAGCAGAGTCGTAGCTTGATCCAATCCGAATCCATCGCCATGTCTCTTGCGGAAGGCACCATAGTCTCGCACTCGCTGCCGAAGGCTCTTGATCGCATCTCCATCCAGTCTCACGCCGTTACTCGCCACTATTGGTGGATCTTTTATGTGGTTCACAGAGAAGAAGCGGTCGAAGGGTGCCTTGACTTGCTTCCCGTTTCCTGTAATTTGCAATTGCTTCAAGATAGTGTAGCTGAGGATGAAGTTGACATCGAGGAGATTGGGTGAGTATTCATCGGATTGGAAGTGAACCTGTAAGCGGCCTTGAAGCTCCAGGAAAGTCTCGGGCTTGAGCTGTGCAGCTACAGGATGGTGCAAAGCCATGATATGCGGTAGCCATCTACTCATTTCGTACGAATCGATCTCTTTGGCTTTGCGCAAGGTCCATGTGTCGCCACTCTCCAGCAGAGCTTCGATGCATCTCTCGGCTGCGTATGCTATGCGGATCGTCTCTTGGAGAGACGTTTTGGCTAAGACGGAGTCGGCTTCCGCCCAATGGGTTTCCGATAGTTCTATGCCATTTTCGGAGAGCAGGGGCTGTCCTAAGTTGTACTTTGCAATGTTGTGGAATACTATTTTGTCATTGCAGACGGTTCGCAATTGTGGATTGGCTCTTGAAAGACTGAGGGCTGACGAGCAGGGCAGGAAAGATGCGATATGCTGTGTGAGCTCGTTGGGAAGTAACAGCAAGCTTGTCATAGCAGTTGTGTGATGTGGCTGAATGTCGGATCGATGATCATGAGAGGAGTTATGACGATGTTTGCAGGGGGTTCTCGGTTAGCACGGCGTTAGCGCACGTGACGATAACGATAAGATACCTGTCCACGAGTGCGAGGGCGACGTGATATTTCACTGCGTCAATACACCGACAGACGCGCCTAAAATTGAAGATCTGGCAGACCAGGAGCCGGAAAGTGGTGGACAGGCAGCCGCCACTGCCAAACCGGCACCAACTTCGAAGACGACATACACTGTCGACAACCAAAAGGACGACTGTTTGATTGCCATGAGCATGCTGATGCGCGATTATAATCAGATCAAGGTTGTCATCCAAATAACCTGGGCTCGTTATTACCGGAAGGACACCGACCTTGTTTCGACTGCAGCAAGGACTCAAGCGGCTATGCAGATGATAAAGAGCTTAGTGCATGAGTTCTCGCTTTCCTTCCCCGAGATAAGAAACGTTGAGAGCTTTTGGAATACGTTCTTCGATGATTCTGAGATCTGCAAGACTATGAGAAGAGATACGGACGAGATCCGAGCGATGCAACACACACTTAAAGGAAATGAACGGCGCTGTGAAGTCAAGATCCCGGATGTCTTGCTGACGTATGGATGTCTGTAATCTTACATTCACATCTGGGATGTATTACAACACATCGAGCCTTATGTCGAAGCAGGGGATGTTGCCTATCTTACCTTCCCTGACCGTAAACTACAACAGCTCTCAAACGCCCTCGATGATATTGTATGGATGATAAGACGGGTGGATAAACAACCGCCTGCTATGGATAACTTCACACTGGCATGGTACACATACCTAAGTCGAAGCAACTGCGGGGACCGTAAGCCTACGGACCAGACCCGGTACGGAGGAAACATTTCCCTAGAGATGTGGCTGTATACCGATCTCTACCTAGTCGCACAGGGTGTTGACTCAAGTCAGAACCCTGCCCAAGTGTTGGAAGATTATCATAACGTATGGACGTACGTTGAAAGGGGCGGGTACTTACAGGACGTGTTGACGACATCACCGCTTTTGCAGAGTCCATGGGGGCGTGCAAACCTAAACTCCTTCTTTCGCGACCCTTCCGATGCGACGGAACGGCTGATCTGGTTGAGTTCAGACCCAATCTGGAACTTTCGCTTAGCGAGTGCCCGGCAAACCCACGGTCACGACGAGACCTGGTCACCGGAAACATATGAAAACCGCATGCCATACGATTGGGTCATTATGGATCCGTTCCTCGCTGGAACGATCACGTTTGTGGTCATGCATGCTGCTAGTGACCTGTTACTTCTATCGCAGAACGGCAATGGACTTGTACTGGGATATGCGCACCTTTACAACTTCCTTCATAACGCCCATAGCGCAAATGAGGCAGATTCGTCGGAGAAGTTAGTTACGAAAGACTGGAAAGATATCGACAATGCAATTGCACTGCTTGGAGAGTCCGGTATCTTCATGGGCAGTAGACCGACAGCACTCGACCAAGAAGAAGCAAATTGTTAGTGTGGGTGGTAAAATGAGCGTCCACAGCACTCCACTCATCAACCTCCTCTTCTCGGATGGCGGACCTAGCAACACAACGTTCCTCAATATTACAAATCGAGCCATCTCGGAGCTGCTCATGAAGGAGACCGAGACCTACAATAGCGACATACTTCCTCAGAAGCTTTTCAGTGGGCCTGAGGTAGCTGGGCCTCTTTTCATGCTCCGTGTGCTTCTCCAGCGCGAGTTGCCAGCGCTTCTTTTCCCGCTTGAACAACTACATCTCAGTTGTAAAGAGCCTAACGGTTGGATATTTGAGGCCTTAAGATCCGTAATGACGCAGCAACACATCCGGCCCAAAATAATGCTAGACTGGAAAGAGGACGGAGCCATACCAGCGAACCTCCTGTGGCACAAAAGAACCCATCACAAAAAAAAAATCAGAGTTCTGGATTGATCAACCAAGACTTGACTGGAGTGCACAGTCTTCCTATTCACGAAGCAGCGGAGATAATGACGAGGTTTCTAGACGAGCAAGATGGTCGCACAGGACATAGCCTTGCTGAGCATTCCACCTTGGCTTTCAACCATCACGTAGAGTAAGTGAGGGATAGGAACCGACACATGCACTACAGCTAAAATATTTTGCACAGGCAGTTTCGTCTTCCAAATCCTTTGCGGCAGAGTACTGCTGACATATCTCGTCTTCTGGGGATACGGGTTCGCGTTGATGCAAAACTCAGTCATAAAACCTTCGAAGCTGCACTCTATTCTGAAGCATATACATGGAAGTCACTACCAGGTCCACATGATGAGTATGTTGCGGGACTGAGGTCGGTTGAGGGAGAAGACGCGAAGCTGAAAAGTGGCGAGGCCCACTTTGTTCCAGTCAAAGCTGGTGGTGAAATTGAAGTGGCCGCTTAGAACTTCGCATGTTAAGGTCGGATGTAGAGTACATTGCGTAATAGGAATAGGAGTGCGGTGCCGACAAGGCGCGGATGTGAATGTAAAGCCATTCTTCGTTGGTACTGATTTGGCATGTGTACAGACTATCCAAGCTACATTTGACGACGATCATTTGTAGCAAGAAATAATACATACGAAAGCGCCGTCGAACCGAAAATTCTCAACGATCTGCTAAGCGCAGTTCGCGGAAGATCTGCACCGGACCATCCAAAAGATCTAAGTAGGATCCCGACACGTAAAATTGTTGTTGCTTACAATCCATAGCGGGTACATGTTTGGCAACAGGCAAAGGTCAGATAGCAACGCCGATCCCTAGCTCATGCTCGGTGGGTCTAGATACCACAACAGAGCCACTTATAGCATCGCTAAGACGAAGGATAAGGTCCCTGCCTTGCATGTTTTCAAATGTACACAGCACAAATGAGAAGCGCCACCCACCTTTTTCGAGACCACTTTCGAGAGCTTCTTTGACATATGCAACCGCTTTGAAGGCGTCGGTTGTGATTGACCCATCTTTCAGAGGAAACCTTAATGTTTTGACTTCCTGTATGAATGGGCTGAAGTTCCTGAAAACAAGTCCAACCATGGGGCGATTATGGTCTGGGTTCAACTTTGCTATTTGGCGTGAGCTTGTCGCGGCCCTATCACGAAGCTCTTTGAAAGAGTGAGATCTCACGCCGTAGTCATGAAGGTCGAAGAAGAACACAAGCGCAGTCTCCTCTCCAAAAGTTTCGATGTCTTCACTGACAGTTGCTACTGTCTCAGGAGCGCCGCGAGCGAACTGGTAGGTGATGTTTTGCAGAACTGATTCCTTGGAAAAGGCAAGTGCTGAATTCTCTGCCCTAAGAAGATCTGCCAGTTTGGGAGCGCGTAAACATAGCTCGGTAGGAATTGCTGGTAGAGCGTGGTCCATTAGGTGGATGAAGCTAGCGAACTGTCAACTTCTGATCGTGCGAAAGTACAAGAAGACGTACAGTCGTGCTAAGTAGTTGCCACCGGCAACCTTTACTCTATGGTTAGGTCTTGAGTGGACCCAAAAGACCATGTTTCCCATTTTGATTTCCTTTCGAGAAGAACCATAAGCAGCAGGATCCTCCTGGTCAAATTGCGTTGCGTTTCTCCAGAATGATGCAAAAGCTTCGAGAGCTTCAGGCCGCATGAAAGGTAACCACCCATTCAAATCAGAGCGTTCTTTGAGATATGATACAAGAACATCCCTATTATCAAGATCGCAGGAATCTGAGCATGTTTCGATGATGTCGCATGCAAGGGCCGACCAAATGTCCCGCAATCCCTTCTGGTACAGAATCCAGTGGTGGCTCTGCCAGGCTCGATCTGTCTGAATACTATTGATGAGCAAATCCATGCCAATCTGATCTGGCCCTAGGAGACGAAGGTTTATCAGTCGCGTCGGTATTGGCGCGACTACCGTCTTGACTGAAGTTGGTACAGAATCTTTCACGGCGTACTGTCGTCTCTTTAGAACGTCTCTGATTGACCCTCGGAATGCGCGCTCGTAGACCCCCGTTGAGAAGATGTTCGAGTCGAATTCGAAGATGCGCGAAATCTTGGACAGATTGTCCGTCATCCTGCTAGTGAGAGATGCTGTGTCATGGTGGACATACAGCGATGCTGAGTCCATTTTCGCCTGCTGAAGCACTTTGCGTGTTTTGTTGGTCTCGAGATATCTTTGTTGTGCAGTGATTGTTTTACTATGAATTATAGTCAGCGTTGTCGAATTACCCCATGTCGTAATATTCACCAGTTACACGCTGTGAGCAACAGAGTCAGGGCACTCGTCTGATGCTCTATGAGCTTTTGCACGCCATCCGGACCGCTACTCCCAAAGGCAACCTTCAATCTATCGCGAAGATCCAACGGTTTCTCGATTAGCTGAGCCAGGTTGGAGAAGAAGCTTTCAACCTTATCCATGAGCAATTTGCAGCAAGATATCGAGACGTCTAGATCCATGATCAGTTGATGGTGTGTATCTTGCAGATCTTGTTCCATCCATTCCTGGATTTTGGCTGAGGCAGCCCGTAAGGCTGTGAGCTGAGATGCCAAGCTGAGTAAAGTAAGATCGGCTTCCCCCCATCTGGCCTGGAGATCTCTGATTACACCGATCACTTTACTGATCCCATCCACAATGCTGAAGATTGAACCCACTCCACCTAGAATGCCGATGCACAGATCAGTATTCACATAAAATACAATTACAACGTCAAAGACCTTACCGAGAACAGCGATGACTTCAGCCATCTGTATGACGCATGTCAGCCTTGTGACGTAATGACACACTTCTTGCCAGGATCAAAATGCTAATGAACTTGTAGCAGTAGAGGTTCCTCGACGAAAATTACCAAGAGTACGAAACAGGAGATCGGATGATTGCGTCTCCGAAGGAAAAAGGAGTAGTGAGGGAGCGGAGCGCAGTACACGGAGTGAAGCGCAAGGCAACACACAGCCCCCGCTAGGCCAATTGAGTTCGGCCCCATCAAAACGTGATTCGCTCGGCTATTACCCAGCAAAGTGCTGCAACTGTGTTTGCTGAGATGCGAGTTGTATGTGAGAAGGGGGACAGCGTTGATAGATACGCGAGCATGCAGTATTCAACTCTCGCGGATATTTATGACCAGATATACAGCCTATCGACATGCAAACGAAGCCGCCTGATCAGGTTCGCCTCCAACGTATACCATATGCTTGGGCCATAAGCAAAGCTGCGCCTTCCTACCCTGCGTAGTCTCCGCTTCCAGCATCTCAGGTGCCACGCCCTTTTCTACCCAATCGATGAGGGTTTTAAGACCATTGCCAGGATACCAACCCAGCCCACCGCCGCAGTGATCCACACCAGGCGCCTCAAAGTAGCGATAGTAATCACTGGAATTCGGATCACGCTCATGCACCTCCTGCGCATAATGCGCAGTCGCATCAGGCGCGATAGCCTGATCGGCCAACCCATGCCACGAAAGGAGCTTGCCACCTGCTTTCCGAAACCCGTCGAGATCTGTGTTTGCGGTTCCGATAACAGAGTCGTAGCGGGCTACAGCATCATGGAAAAGCTGCTCGAAATACGTGATGTTCATTCGTGCGGTGTCGTATTCGCGGTCGCGGATGACAAAGTCGGTAATCCAGGTTTGAGGTACGGCAAACGGTACGCCAACGCATGTATTGTTCTTGCTGCATGTTGTTGATGCGAGGCCAGCGAATGAAGCCCCGATGTTGCCGGGGTACCACAGGAAGTCGCCTTCGGGAGTTGTTGCGCCTTGCCATATCAACTTGGCTACCTTGGCAAGGGAATTCGTGATGGTCATGCTCTGGTTGGTAGAGGGACAGATGTATTGTTTGCCGACGACAGTCATTGGGTCAAAGGTGCATTCTTGAGGTGCCAATATGATGCCGTCCTCCAGACCATCGAGACCATCGCAGGCTTCGGCAACAGCAACGTTGAGAGCCTCAAATTCCTGCGGAGTCGGAAACCCTGTTGTATGTTAGTCATTCATCTCTAGCCGTTGTTTGAGTACTGACCATTCTCGTTCATGACAACCTGCGGCCAGAAGAGTTGCATCATCAACTCGTTCCAGTAAATAGCTGGTGCAGCCGCCAAGATACCATCATACTGATTGGGATACTTCTGTGCCATCATGTAACCTTGTCTGCCACCCTGCGAACATCCATTCCAATAGCTATAGCTCGGTGCTTTGCCATAGTAAGAATGAGTGACCGCCTTTGCCAGCGTCGCAGCATCATCTAAAGAGATTGAGGCAAGGTCTTCTAGCAACACCCAGTCGACCTTGCCAGAGTTAGTGAGCGACCAGCTGATATCCTGCCCGATGTGACCTCCGTCTGTCGCGACGGTAACGAAACCCTCACTGGCCGCCCATGGGAGTGTGGTGTTGGTGTCGGGTCCCGCAGCCCATCCTCCACCACCGGCGCCCAAGAGTCTTCCTGTCCACTTCTCAGGCGAGGGTAGCCAAACGACCGTGTGGATAGTGTCATTGGAGCCGGGATGCGTGTACGTGATGATCACTTCACAAGCGTTCAGATCGGTCACGGCAGTGGCGTAATGGTTCTGCTCCGCGGGCGCTTGGAATGATAAGTTCGTGTGTGTTTTTGTAGCAACGTTGAGAATTTCGCCGCCTGGCAGCTCCAGATTTTGGAAGGAAGAAGCTTCGCAGACTGGTTCTCCGAAGACTGGGCATATCAGGAAAGCCAATATAGGAATGAGGGAAATGAGACTTCGTCTCTTCCATGGAGTTGTGTGCTGCATCGTAGTCGCAGGAAAGACTGAGAAAGCTACTCGTCGAGAGGCACTTACACTGCATACATTGCTTCCTTTACTTATAGCAAGCGCATACTGGGCTCATTCGCATATTCATCCTGAACCGAAGGATTCAACTGAATACCCATAGGGATACCTACGTTGGTCAGTTTGCGACAAAGGCTGAGGCCATGCCAATATGAAAGGAGTATCAGCTGCCATCAGGCGCTCTACTGCCATCCAATCGTGACAATGATCGATTCTAGCGTGTCTCTCGATTGTGATATGCAAATTGGTGGACAATGGCTGAGTCATGTATTCATGACTTGAGCCGCGCCTCAAGCTTTTGAAACAAAGGGCGTTTAATCTAAACCCCTGCTGTGGCGGTTTGAGTGGTTTTGAGGCCATTTTGTTAACGCGATGTCTTGCATTGTTCAATATGCTGTGCCGCTTTCGATCATCTTCTCTTGCTCCAGATGTTGCTTTTGTTAAGACCCGTAGATGAAGTGGTAGTGGATGACGACCGGTGATGGTCGAGGTCTCTGTACTCTTTGAGCGCGGCACACGGCTGTCCGTGCCACAGGTCCCATGAACCGAGTCTGTGTGGCTTCAGGCCGCGAGCATCGGATACTGTCTTCGTATGGTCGTCGCGTGTCGCGGTTGATGGAGCATGGATACTTGTGCGACCGGCGACGCAAGGTCTGCCATATGAGGCGGGAGCACTATGCCTATTTAGGAACACCCGAAGACGTCACCACGCGTCAGTTTCGCGAAGTATCACAGACCGTCCTCACTTCCGTCAGCGATCACACCTTTGAGTTCAAAGACACGTTCGTCTTTCCCACCAAGCCTACAATGAAATACCGAGTCGGCTCTTGAATTTACCCCACATACCTCGTGTGGGGCAACAGCTACCCCGAGACCGCCCCGCATCGGTCACGTACCGGTCGGAACTATGCCGCCCGCATGTACAGCATGGCAAACTTCATATCTTTGCGACAATCTCTAGTCTGAGAGAAGAAGTCACTGACACCCCAAGATCTATTATTAGCACACCACGACCATGGATCCAGCACAATTCGGCTACAGCACCATTCCTCTCAACCACGCGCCATACGGCCCAATCGTTCCATCCGCTCTAGATGGATCCAATGCCGGAAAAGTAGCCCTCATAACGGGAGCCGGACAAGGCATCGGTGCCGCCATCGCAGAATCGCTAGCAAAATCTGGAGCTCACTTAGCCATCCTCGACCTAAACACCGACAACCTCACACAAACCAAGAAGACATGTTCAGCTTCCGGAGGAAAAGTTGAGGCATATGGCTGCGATGTCACGGATTTGGAGCGCGTGAAGGAGGTCTTCGCGCAAGTGGAGAAAGAATTAGGACCAATCGACATATTGGTGAACAACGCGGGCATATTTACTCAGCGACCGTTCATCATGGGTAGCTTTGACACGTTTTGGAAACAGATCGAGGTCAACTTCAAGGCTGTAGGTATCTCTTTTCGTACATTAATGTGTCTTTACTAATGTATGTCCAGCCTCTAATGCTCATCCACGCCGTCCTTCCTCAAATGCGCGACCGCGGCCACGGCTGTATCATCAACATCGCCTCTCGCTCCGGTACTGTCGACGTACCCATGACGTTGGGATACGTGACGTCAAAAGCTGCCCTGATGCGTGCTACACATACACTGCAGCTGGAGATGGAATTAGATGGACTGGACCCAGCAATTCATATGTACGCGCTGCATCCAGGTGGAGTGAGAGGCAACATGGGCGGAGGTAAATGCTCCTCATTGGTATACCACGCAGAAAAGCATGCTAACGTAATGTAGCTGGCGCACCAGATGATGTGAAACAGAAGTACGGCGACATTACGGACGAAGAGTTCTTCAAAGACCTTTTCAAGGACGGACCGTCGCTTTGCGGTCAGACCTGTGCGTGGTTGGCTAGTGGAAAGGGGAAGGAGTTGAGAGGACTGTTTCTGGGTAAGAAGCACACGAGCTGTATACCGAAAACTTAGGACTAACAACAAATAGATTGCCGGCAAGATGTGACGAAGCTCTTGGATATCGGACGAGAAACACTGCTGAAGGAGAACCGGAATAGGCTGACTGTCAATTTCATCGATGGATACTGCAATGAGCCATAATGGTTGGAACAGAAAGCCAATGTATATTCTAGGGGGTGAAGAGTCGGCATATTACAAGATAAAAGACAAATATTCAAGAACAGAACAAATTCCATATACAATCCGCCACTTTTCCTCCCCTCCACTCAAATCGTCCTCCTGAATCACTCTCTTCTATTCGCGACATATAGGCGATGAAAACCAAGACCCCTGTGGGATACACCTAGTACACAGGCATCTTGAAAGCGTCGAAAGTGTACGTCCAACTCTCAATAGACGCTTCATCCTGCACACAGTCAAAGTCAGAGCTGTTTCCTGCCCAAAGCGGTCGTGCAGGCCACTGGCAAAGCTGTTGCACTTCACCAGCGTTATCACCAGAAGACACAGTCGCATTGAGGCGACTGGGCTTAACCCCATTCTCAACCCAATCGATAATCATAGCCATGTTGTCCTGTGGGTAAGGGCCAGGCTGGAGCTTATTGGCACCACAGTGCGCTGCGCCAGGCACAAGGTAGAATTGGTACCAGTCAGCCATGGCTTCCTGGGCTTCGGCATCGGTCATGCTGGGGTACATGATTGAACGGACGGATTGCCAGTAATGGACGGAAGATGCGGCGGGGATGGACGGGTCAGATTCACCATGGTAATGGATCAGTTTTGCGCCAGAAGATTGGAATGGAGTGAGGTCGGGTAGAGTGGTTTGCAGGCTGTCGAGGTAGCGGACCATGCCGATGTTCATCCATTCTACGAGGGTGTCGTAGGTCACGTTGTCAAGGTCGGCCAGGTTATCCAGGTCGAGTAGTTGAACAAATTTGGTGACGTACTCGCCACCCGTGGAGGGAATGCTGAGCTCCCACTTGCCGGTCGCGTTGTTGTACGTCGGGTCGGCATCGCTGAGCTCGGAGCCGATCTGCCACGAGAGGTATGCGCGCTCGCCCTTGGAGTTGTGTAGACCGTCATAGACGCCCTGGGCTACCGCTATGTCGTCGGCAGTGATGGTGCCGTTCTGTTCGGGCTGAGCACTGGTTTGGCCGCCCGGCATCTGGCGCTTGTTGAGGTCGCGCTTGCTGAAGCCGAAGCCGAGGGAGGTGCTGGTCTGCGCTGCGCAGTAGTAGTTTTCGCCGATCAAGGAGCTGAGGTTGAAGTTGAGTTTGCAAAGGTCGGTCCGGGAAATTACACCTAGAGTGACTTATGTTAGTGCATTACCACATGGCCGAAGAGATTGTACTTACCATCAGTACGTCCATCCAGAGGATCACAGGCAGCGATAGTGGCGTTGACTATCTTAGCCAAAGCGCATGGTGGAGGATAGTAATCGTTGATGACGTTGATGGTAGCAGGGTACACATGAAGCACCTGCTGCTGCGCAAAGCGGAAAGCAGGCGCACCAGCTACAACGCCGTCGTACTCCTCGCCCCAGCGCTGGACCTGGCTCATAGCCTCGCGGCCACCATCAGAGCAGCCCTCGAAATAGGTATATACCTTGGTGTCGTTCAGACCGTAGAAAGCCTGTGTGAGCGGCTTGCCAATTTTCGTCAACTCACCAAGCGCGGTGTAGGCAAAGGCATAAGTGGCGTCCCAGTTGATGGTTCCATTGCCGTAAAGCACTGCCTCGTCGTAGCTCTGGTCGAAAGCATCGTAGCCCGCCGATGTGGCTCCAGAAGCCGCGTCGTATGGCAAGCCTCCGGTGGCAACGCTCTGGAGAGAGAAACCTCCGCCACCAGCAAGGTAGAAGCGATTCGCGAAGCTCGAAGGATCAGGGAAGGCAAATCTGAGGGGAATCGCGTCTCCCTTTCCAGTATGGGTGTAGCTGACAGTGACGTTGCAGTAGGAGTAGGTAGCACCATCAGTTGTCGAAGCTCCCATGCCGCTGCTTTCAAGGGTAGCATTGTAGAGCGCGCTGGCAGTCACGGTGCCAGGCAGCAATTCGATTCCGAGCAGAGTGCCGTTAGAAGGAAGAGAGGCTTGCACGTTCGATACTGTGCAAAGTTCAGCTAACGAGGCTGCATTGGCGGCCACTGCCATGGCGGCAGCCGTTGCGCAGGAGGAGTGTCGCATGATGGATGTATAACCGAGAAGAACGTAGGAACAAAGCGAAGGTAAAAGATAGAGAAGCTGTATCAGCGGGGTGGTGTTCGGGATATCTGTCGCGGTGTGTCCAGCATTATATACTCCTTACCAGTCCTGACTCGGGCTTTTGACTCCGCCATCGCAGTCGCAGTAAGGAAACCCAATCTGTGGCCGTAGACTCTTTCCATACTCGCAATGACCCCCCGGTAATCTCTTAGTTGACTGTCACAAGATCTGTGGAACCATTCTTGTCCATGCGTGCCCTACCAAAGGTCTGGCCGGCGATGTCTGGCATTGTAATGACGGCAACTTCCGCCTTGCGCAGCATCGCAACACGTGTTTAGTGATGCAAAGAGAGAAGAAACATAGTGCGCCGGCCGTTTCAATCGTTGCGCCGCGTCACTCGCAGGCTGCTTGCTGGTCGTAGACGTGAGCTGAAGACGCGTTCTCGGTTAGCGTGGATGTGGCCCCAGCTTGGAAGAGCCTTCTTCCAGACAAGCCTCGCTGCATACGCTTCGAAAGTCTTTTGCTGTGCAAGGCTTGCAGCCAAGTTTTCGCGCGGATGAGAGATCAAGCGGTTGTATTGACATGAGGCCGCGTATTATCGCAGCGAAGTTTCGGGATTGAGCAATGCAATGGGCAATTCACCTGCAGCAATGGATCAATGTTTACCATGACATTGTTTAGATGTTTACAGGTACACTGTCATATACGAAATGGACGTCACTCAACGCGCTTACACGTCATCTCTGCTTCTGATCACACTGTCTCTTTCGTCTCAACATGCTCCGTGCTGAGCCCCTTCTCAAACTTCTCCTCTTCATGCGCCGCAATCCTGGCATCAGCTTCGATGAATTCGGTTGGGCGATGTAGCTGTATAGCGAGCTTGTTCCGATGAATCAAGATACCGGGTTGCGTTTCAAAGAAGCGATCGATATCTTCAAGCGTCCGGTTGGCCGTCTCTGGGTAGAGGAAGTACGTGATCGGGATGAAGGAGAAGCAGATGACTGCCCAGATGATCCAGAACTTGTAGCCTAGGTTCTGGATACCGGGAAGGGTTGCTTGTACAACGCCATAGTTGCAGATCCAGTTGGTCGCCATCGCAAGGGAAGCGCCTTTGGTTCTCATCTCAAGCGCGTTGATCTCGGTCGGGTACAGCCAAGGCACACCTAACACGCCCATGCCAAAGCTGGCGAAGAACACGAAAAAGAACGCAACAGCGACGATGCCCAGCTTGTACGAATCGCCACCTTTCTCGGTCTGACCCTGCGATGCTGCAATGACGATCCAGCAAATGGAGCATGCTGCGGCCGAGACCATCATGACCTTGCGACGTCCATATCGTTCAATGACGAAGTATGCCAGGCAAGCAAAGATCAGGTAGTCGACTGACCCAGCAGCAGCGAGGATGCGCGATAGAAGCTCAGATATTCCCAAGGCGTTGATGAAGATATAAGACATGTAGTAACTCGTAACGTTGATTCCCGAGATCTGGTTCATTGCCTGCATCCATGCGCCCAGGAGCATGCGTCGCAGTACACCGCTTGGCCCTTTGCCGGTAAGAAGCTGCGTCCATGTGTATGTGTTCATTTGCTCGCGATCGAGAATGTCCTTGATGATGTTGTACTGCGTGATAACCGAAGGTGATTCTGGGGTCGCTCCATGGCCTTCGAGCGCAGCAAGAACTTCCAAAGCTTCGTCGATCTTGCCTTTGCGGATCAGTAACCGAGGCGAATCTGGTAGGAACGGGCACATGGCGTAGATGCACAGGGTGAAGAAGAGTTGGAATGCGAGCGGGAAACGCCATGCGATGTCGCGCGGTGCAAACGAGAAGCCGAGAGTCAGCCAATTCGAGATGCTGAAGCCGGTGATGCAGTTCGCTGTTGACGAATTAGCCACAATATCACACTGTATGTTACGAATGCCGTACCCATCTGAATGATAACGAGCTTTCCTCGACTATTCATCTTACTGGTCTCAGCCTGCCAAACTCCAGCTGTTGCTGTGTTCATGCCAGTACCAAGCCCCGCCACGATGCGCCCAACCATCATGCTCGCTACAGTCCAACTACATGTCTGGATGATTGCGCCGATGCCGATGATGGTCGAACCAAGGAGAATTTGCCTTGGGCGTCCGAGAATATCGCCAGTCCATATGGTACTCATTGCTCCGATGAAGCAGCCGATATTGTAGATGGACGTCATCACACCTTGCATGTTGGCAGACGGGTAGCCAAAGGTGTGGAGGAAGTTCTCTGAGATGATGACATTGCCGAAGACACCTTGATCGTAACCGTAGAAGCTAATGGGTGTCAGACAACCGCGATGCAAGATGTCTTGATCGTAGCTTACACGAGTACTGTACTGGCAGCGATGGAGATCCATACTGTCAGCCGCTCACCAGAGCCTCCAAGATATTTGCGTGCCATGGTCGCGTACTCTCTGTCCAGCTGCCGATGTCACGAAGTCCGTAATCGTGGATGCAGAGTAGGAGGTGTCGTGGAAGAAGGAAGTGCCCCAAATCGAGAGATGCCAATAGCCGATCCAATGCACTGGGCCTGTACCAAACTTTGTCATCTGCAACGGGGTCGCAGCGACGATCAGCTCTTTATACCGGGCATGAGCCCTGGCTCGGGACTTTCTCCGCTTATCATTATCCTCGTCATGCGAAGCTTGTCAAGCCTCACAAGCCTCTGGTCGTCTCCAGATCCACTGAACTTCCCCAGACTCTGATCACATACCCGATACCCCATAGGCCGAGGGCCCACTCGGTCCACACTGGAGCTCTGTTACTGGTGATAGCGGCGTTTTAGCCGAGCGAGGAGGCAATGAGTGATCATAGCGCAAGGGTAGACAGGCGAATGCAGCGATGTTGAGGTTGCAAGTAGGGAGATGATGCATCGCGGAATACTAATTCAGGGAAGGCGGAAAGCTGCGTCGGCTGATGAGCAC